TACCTCTACTCACTGGGAAACCCATGGCCTGTGACCCACGGGGCGCATGCAGCCCATGACGGCTATGAATGCGGCCCAACACAAAATCGTGCATTTACTCAAAACCTTTTTTTTTTTTTTTTGCTCATCAGTTTTCATTAGTGTTTGTGCATTTGACGTGTGGCCCAAGACAACTCCTCTTCTTCCATTGCGGCCCGGAGATGCCCAGACACCTCTGCCTCTTCCTCACCAGGGAGGTCCCCACCCCCTCACCACGGTGACGGCGCCTCTGCCTGTGTGTCACCTCCGCCCTACTACGTGGCCCCGGCTGCCCAAGGAGGGGATCTGTGAACTTGAGGACGCGCCGTGCTGCCCGTGGACACAGAGCGCTCGCCAGGTTTCACAGAAAGTCAGGGACATACGCCAAAGGGGCCCCAGTGTCCCTGCACCTCACCAGGCCGATCAGAACCTTCCCTTCCCGGATCATTTGCCTGGCTCTCCCCGTCTACGCGGGCAGACCCGCTACACACGCGCCTTGCAGTGCTAGTTTGTGCCCTCAGAGCTGAGTCTAGGTCCGGAAGATGCCGCCCCAGGGGGTGCGAATGCAGGCATTATAAAACAACGTCCCCTGCAGACCATGAACCCGTCCAGGGCCGGCTGGCCAGCCACAGACGGCCTCTGCACTCCAGACGCCGGGTCGTCATTTATTTCTCCAGGGCCGCAGAGACATCACCTCAAAGCCCGCTGGTGCCCCATCCACAAGGTTACACATCTCGTGACGTGTCCTCGTTTAATTTTAAAATAGTTAAATTAACATTTAGTTAAATTTCTTTTTTTTAAAGATTTCATTATTGTTATTTTTCTTTAGAGAGGGAAGGGAGGGAGAAAGAGAGAGAGAGAAACATCAATGTGCGGTTGCTGGGGGCCATGGCCTGCAACCCAGGCATGTGCCCTGACTGGGAATCGAACCTGCGATGCTTTGGTTCTCAGACCGCGCTCAATCCACTGAGCTGCACCAGCCAGGGCTTAAATTTCTTTTTAAATTTAAATGAATCGTTCAAGTTAAAATTGTAAATATTTATTAAGTAGTTTAAATAATCCAAACAAGCAGATTTTTCGCTATTTAGAGCCTGCCTGCTTTCCTGCTCCCAGCAAAACCACACCTGCCAGCCTCGGGCGGTAAGCCCCAGGCTGCTGAGAAAGCTCGGAGCTCTCACACCCAGAACTCACGCCCGTGTGTGGGCACACCGCGATGCGGAGCTAAGCCCCCTAGACACTCGAGCCCCTCCCCCATCCCCACTCCCCCAGGGCACCCCGCCCTCCCGCCCTCTGGATGGCGAGGGCCCTCCCCTCCATGCACCCCCTCCAGGCCCCGCTCCATGAGGCCTGTGTGTTACGGCCTCTTCTGTCGTTTCTGTGGATCGGCCCCTCGAGCCCCTGCAGACCCTACCCCACCTGTGTCAAGGACTCTCGGAACTCAACAGTGAGAGAACCACCAAACGAAACAGGGGAGAAATATCTGAACGGCTACGTCACCGAAGACGAAACACAAGTGGTAACTAAGTACACAAACAGGCGGTGGACTCATCACCAGCCACGAGAGAAATCTGAATTAAAACCACCACGAGCCCCGACTGCTTGTTGGTGGTTGTCCCCCAAACCGAAGGGTCACAGGTTCGATCCCCGTTCTTCCTAAATCTGTGAGTTGACACCTACTGCCCATCATTCTTTCAGAACTCTCAGCTATTACCTCCTCGATATGACCTCCCCCCAATTCTTTCCCTCCTGTCCTTCCGGGATCCCAGTTGCATGTATCTCAGTCACTGTGGTTGAATAGAAATGGGGTCAAAGGGCACTGATGGTAAGGGCCCCGTCGCCACAGGAAATTGTCGTCGGGCTGATCACGTTTAGGGACATCAGCCACTCTGACGATGGCAGGCCACGAGCTGGGGAGGAGTGGAGTCAGGTGCCCGACGCCAGGAAGGCACAGGAGTCTCTGGTGAAGAGGGCGCCATGAGGTGCACGATGCTGTGAACGTTACGTGTGTAAGGCAGTAAGAGCAACCTCAACGCGCCGAGGTCTCTCAGGAGGGCAGGAGTGATGACTGAGGGTGCTCCGGCGAGAACCCTTTCTCTGCTTTTACTACACACGAACCGGTGGCCGAGAGGGGGGGTTTCTTCCCCCTCACCCTCCAATGCACGGGTTAGAGGTGGGGGTGCTGGCCAGCAGGGGCAGAGTCCAGGCATGACAAGGCTGGGCTGCCCAGGGATGGGCAGGTGATGTGCAGTCCCCTCGGACACACACACCTAAGTCCCGGTGAAAAGGCGCTATGACGGAGGGCCTGCTTATGCTGCACAGTGGGGCACTGAGGCCCAGAGGGGACCTGGCAGTGCTGGCTTTGTCTGTGGCCCGTCCGTGGAGAGGCCAGGGCAAGCTCTGTGCCCTGCGTATAGGTGCACCCTCTTCCTGTCCTTTACCAACGAGGCCCTGGATGGCCACCCGGCCCACCCTCCACAGGGGTCAGGCCTGGGCCCCAGCCCTGGTCTCCAGGGGCCCGCCTTCTCTGACAGTTTCCACAGGGTGCCCCCTTGGGAAAGGTGCTTAAGGATGCACGTCTTACAGAAGAGGGACCCAAAGCTCAGAAAAGAGACAGTCCCAAGGTAGCCAGTGCCAAGGCCAGGTCTTCGGGCTTTCCACCAGGGCATCTTTCCTCAAGGTCAGAGCCCCTGCCTGCCCCAGGTCCCCCCACCCAGCACACACATCAAACATACACATAGAGACACAAACACCCAAATTGAAGAGCTGCGTGGCTGCAACTCCAGGCCAGTGAGCTGGGCCGGGAGCAGGGGGCTGGCATGTCCGCACCCAGTTCAGTGGGTGTGCGGAACACGGGTGAGTGGCCTCCTGCCTCTCTCCTTACGGTAGGGCTGCGCCCTGCCCCGGCTGGGTTCCTCTGCCCGAGAGGAAGCTGTAGACCCAGAACACCTGTTCCGCAGCCTGCAGCTGCGTCCTCCTCGGGCCCCTGCTGGCACACCCAGCATCCCCCCCAGCCTGGGGAGACCAGGAAGCCCACGCGGCCCTGAGGAGCTGAGATTCCCGAGGTTCTTCAGAACGACTGTGCAGCCCCTCCCAGGAGGCACCAGGGTGAGGGGTGTGGGGGGATGCTGAAAGGTCAAGGCCAAGTCCTGCTCCGGCGGTGACCCTGCGGCCTTGAATGGCAACACCTGTATGTGCCTCCACCCAGGGCAGTCGCTGCTGCGTGCCCATCAGGCCCCTCCCTCCTGCTTTTCCACTTGCCCTGCACTCAGGGGCTGACCTCCCAGTCTGCACCACCATGCACCCCTGCCCTCTGGCTCTCACCTAGGCTGTTATTCAACCGGGGGTGGGGGGGGGCACAGGAGACGGGGACGCAGGAGGAGCACGAGGCCAGGGTGATTATTCCCCCAGCATCCTCCCCGCGAGGGGCGGCTACAGCTCCCAGGGGTTCAGTCCGTGTCCCTCGGGCCCAGGCCGGCTGGCTGCCCTGATGCCCACAGCTGTCAGCACTTCTTTCCTTAAACTCTCTGCCGCACCCTCTCCTCTGGTGAGTGCTGCCCGGTTCCCGACGGGGGCCGACAGGTCAGGATTGGAGACAGGGCCTCGTACCCTCCCCTCCTGGCAGCGCCCACCCACTGCCCATCCACCCGCTGCGCCTGGTAGGGGCGTCCTGTAGCATCCAAGAGCTTCCCATGGGCGCTGGCAGAGGCCGTGGGTTACAGGGCTGCCCCCTCGCCAGCTTGAGGCTTCTGTGGCCACTAATCTCTGGGTGGTTTTATCCTCTTTTGTCCTTCCAGTCCCTCCAACACTTTTATCATCAACCTCCCGTTTGAAACACCCACAGTGGTTTGTTCTGACCAGTCACTCGCTCTCACACTCCCTCAACTACACGCCGAGACACATCTCACATCTAAAACCCCGATTCAGTTAGACAAGGTGAGGTTTCTTACCCACTGAGCCCTAGCTTTGTTTCTACTGGTCCTTGTTTCAATTTCCTGATGAACTCCCCGCTGTGGCCAGAAGATGGCAGTACGCTGCCACCCACCTCACCAACTCACCTGCGGTCCTGCACCAGGGGCTCATTGGCCGCTGGGACAGACCACCGATCCTTCTGTTTCAAAAGCACATATCAGCCAAGTAATCCAAAGGCTTATAGATAAGGCCCAAAATTACAATCGAGAAGTAAATTCCTTTCAAACACCACGATATCCTGGTCTTAAGGTTCTGGTCCACGTTTGGAGTTGGATACACCGTCACCCTCAATGAAGGGGAAACACTTTGAAGGGGAGATCCAGGAGGCACTGCCCGCCGGCTAGAGCGGGCAGTCCGGGGTCTGGGCTGTGGGAGTGAGCAGAGAGCCCACGGGGAGAGCCTCGTGAAGACCCCGTGGGCCCCGGGCTCCCGCGGAGGCCAAGGGAGGTCTCAGTCACCCACCCCCGGCCCCACGGACCCAGCCAGCACGAGACCCGGTGAAACAGCCTCGAAGCTCACCTCCACCTACAAACCAGGAAAACCACCCAGGGCGGCCATCACACGGGCAGGCAGCTGCGTCAGGAGCCCCCACCTAAGGCACCTTGACTTAGAAGACACCCAGTATCCGGGGGCTCCTGAGGACGCCCCAGGCTACAGGGGGTTGGGGAGTTCAGAAACTGGACCGTGGGAAAGGGCCCCGTGGCCCAGTCTGCCTGGGACGTGCATCCTTCCCCAGCTCCTTCCCGGACAGACGGAACTCGAATGCAGGAGCCAGAACACTCACGCTGCAGGTAAGGCAGCCCCCTCCACCTGGGTTGCAGACCACCCCCCCACCCAGGGCCCGGCCTGGACAGGGCTGCCATTTCCTTCGTGGGCTCTGAGCCCAGCTGCCCTATGCCCACCCCAAGGGTGCAGACCCCACACCTCTGGTGCCAGCTAGCAACCGCCCCCCCGTCCCCCCCCCCCCCCCGCCGGGGCAGGGCCTGGGCCCAGCCCACGAGATGGACGCCACGCAGTGTGTTACCCTTTAATGAAGAGCTGGGTCAGTGTGGCCACCGTTCTCCCCAAGGCCCCCCCCAAACAGGCACCCCTTGCCACTGGCTGCGTCCGAGGCAGGGTGGCCCCAAGGCGGTCAGCCCTTCTGAGGGCTCAGTTCGCAGCGGCCTAGGAAAGGCGTTCATCGCTCGGACCCGGGGTGGTGGCAGCAGCAAAGGCCGGGGGCGGCTATGCTGAGGTCAGAGCTGATGGCGGGGAGGGCCGGACAGCCCATGCCCCCCTCCTTCCTCTCTGAACCCCGGTGGAGTTAAGGGCAGTGTTCAGGAACAGTCCAATCTGCCCAGGGGTTGGGGGGCCTTCATACCCGACCCCCCGCCGACTGAGGTCACGCAGCCCACAGCTCACGGGGTCGCTGGGCTCGGGGAGCAGGCAGGCCACCACCCCATCGGCCGCAGGGCCCCAGGCCCGCGAGGTGAGTCCAGCAGGGCCCAGGCCAGCGCCACCAGGAGACAGGGGCCACCTCCCACTAATTCGGCTCATCAGGCACTACAGGCATCTAAGAAGGTGGTTTCTCCCTCGAGGTTCCGGCAGGGCCGAGGCGACGGCAGGGCTCGCCGGGCCCCTACAGGTCCGTGACCTTGTTCTCCACGGCCGCGGCCATCTGCTGCAGCCGGTAGCCCAGCTGCATCCTCTGGGCGGCGCCGTCCTCCTCCAGGGCGGTGATGATCTGGGTGAAGTGCAGAGACGGCCCGTCAGGCGACCTGCCCAGCCTGCTCGGTCACTTCCAGGCAGACTTCAGCGCCCCCCCGCCCCGGGCACTGGGGCACAGTTCGGGGCCCCCCACTACTTCCGGTGTGACCTCAGGGCCTCGTCAGTGGGAGGGAGGGAGGGAAGGCTATCCACAGAGTCACTACTATGGGGTTTTTAAGGATTAGTGACATGGGGCCGGAAGTAGCCCTCAGGGTCGCAAATAGCCACCTCCCCGGGGCAAACCGCTCTCCGTGAAGGCCAGCCCCACCGCCACACTGGCCTTCTCCCCACGAACGCCCCAGAGGCCCTGCCACAGCGCCCCCACCAGGTAATGAGCATTTCCTGAATCCCTACCCGCCAGGTGCCGGGCACGGAACAGGGACCCAACAATGACAGATGTGACCCTGTCCTCATGGGGCTCACGGGTTGGGGGACAGATACTGACCCCCATGACACCTTAAGTGGGGCAGCCACAGCGGGGGCAGCAGGAACTGAGGGGCTTGCCCACAGTGTCCCCGGCCTCCCTGACACCAGGGCCACCGCCATTCGGAGCAAGTGCCTGGACGCCACACTGTATGTCGGCTCCTTTCTCCCCTCAGGCCCAGGGCACCCAGCGGGCCACCACCCCGCAGCCACCCAGATGTCTGGGTAGGCGCTCGTGGCCCACAGCCAGCAGGCTGGCTGGCTGGCTGGCTGGCTGGCGGGTGCTCTGATCTTGAGGCCCAGCCCAGGAGCCCCCCAGAAAGACGATGCCATCGTGACCTCCCTCTCCCCGGGCCCCGTGCCGAGCCCCTCCTCTCTGGTGGCCTGTGCTGCCCAGTCGGGCCCAGGCCTGCAAGAGTGACCGTGCCCAGCGCAGTGCCACCCACAGACTCAGATGAGAATCTGAGCAAGGGCAAGGTCAGGGCAGAGGTGGCAGCTGTGTGCCCCTCCTAGCACATCCTACATACCATCTCTAGGCCTGGTAGATCCCCAGCCGCTGCCCACCACCGGCACCACCACTGGCACCACCACGGCCGCCACGCCTGGGGGCCCCGCCGAGGAGCCCGGACGTGGGGCGGGGACAGGTACCAGCGCAGTCAACACCAGGAAGCATGTCTGAAGAGCGCTCCCCAAACCCAGGACTCAGCTGCTCCCCTAGCCTGTGCCCGGAGGGGTGATCCGAGGGCCCCCCGTGAGAATCCCAGGGCCAGACGCCCCACGCCCCACGCCCACCTATCTCCCCCGTCCCCAGTGAGGGCCCAGGGTGCCGCTCACCTGGTCATAGTATTTGTTGATGTACTTGTAGAGTTCATGCAGGGCCACGCGCGCCCCCAGGTCCCCAGAGTAGTTCTAGGGAGGACAGAGAGAGGAGACGGGGTCAGGGGTGCCGCTACCCACCAGGGGAAGCGCAGAACCCGGGAGGGGGTGGAGGAGCAGGGGGCCTGGGAAGCGGAGGATGGGCCCCTCTACAGACCGGGGTCCCAGCGCAGCTGGGCACAGGGTGGGCCAAAGGGCCTCCTTGGTGGAAACCCCATGCCTGCCGTTTCCGCAGGGTCTGGGGTCCCGCTGGGACCCTGCCTCTCCCCCCTTCAGGGCTCCAGCTGAGACCTGGGTCCCCCCCGCCCCCCGTGACTGCAGAGCCAAGCAGAAAAGGTGCAGCTCTGCTCTCGCCCCAGCCTTGCCCGAGGGCCCCCCGCAGGCGCCCCCCAGGTGCACCTCGGACCATGGAGGTGCTATCAGGTCCCCCAGCCTGTGCGGCACGTATGGGGATACAATGAGACGATAAACAAAGCACCCCAAGATACACAGAAACACCCCAACATCACAGCTGCTTTCACTGTGGTGGTCGGGATTGTCCCTGTCCCAGAAACCCTGTTTGTAAATTCCTGGGTGGGAGTTTGGGGCTGCGTCAGGAGCAGGTGGGGCGCACCCACAGCACCCCAGGAAGCAGAGCGCCAGAAGACATCAGCAGGCCCGCCAGGCTGTGCTGGGCTGAACCCCGGCAACCTCGCTACCTCGGGGTGTCGTCCACAGACCCCACGAGGGCCGCAGGCACCCGGCACCTGGCTGGGTCAGGGTGGCGGCGGCTGCGAGGACAAGACCCCCACTGCTTTCCGATGCGATTCTGGGGTCCCGCTCTTTTGAAGGGGCAGCTGAAACCTTCCACTGCGGATGACACAGGGATGTCCCCGCAAAGGGCCAGCGGGAAGGGCAGGACCCTGGCGGCGGGAGGCGTGTGCTTAACCCGAGAGGCAGAGGGCGGGCCGTACCCGGGACAGCTCGGCCAGGATGGAGTTCATCTCTTGGTCGCTGGCCGGGATGGTCTGTCGGATGTCTGCGTAGTACCTGCCGGAGATCGTGGGGACGGCAGCCGCTGGGGCAAAGACCCACCCCCACCCCGCCGGGGCCGCCTCCACTGCGACGCCCCCCAACCCACCCACCCCGTCCCTCAGGACCTCCCCCTGCCCGGTACCTTTCCACCATCCGTTTGTAACGGGGGATGTCCCGCGCATACAGCAGTTTGTTGATCGGGGAGTCCTGGGCGCCAGCAGGAAGGGGTGGGGAGAGAAGAGGAAGGATGAGACCCCTGTGAGTGTGACGAACTGTCCCAGCCTGCACAGCAACGCTCCAGTTTGAAAAGTCCCCCGTCCCAGGAACGCCCCTCAGACCCGGCAACCGGGACGGCTGGTCACCCTCGCCCACTGCCTTCCACAAGGACCTCCTCCCTTCCACCGGGGCCAGGCGCTGCTCTTGTCACTGCCCTCTCCGCGTCCTGCCCCCCAGCTTCTCCCCGGACAACTCCCAGGCCGTTTGTTCCTCAGCTTGGGTGCCCCCACCGGGCCCGGCAGGGAGCCAGACCGTGGGGCAGGGAGGGGCAGTGTCGTGTGCGCCCTGCTGCTTTCCACGCGCTGTCCATTCCCCGCGCGATCGCTTCAAAAATCGGGGAACTGACCCAGGAAACGAGGTCCCTCGCCCAGGCCAACTCACTCCTGAGCGGCTGGGCGGGGATTGGAAGCAAGTCTCTCAAACTGCGAGAAGGCTCAGCCTCACTCTCAGGTCCGACCCCTACCCAGCCCCACCCAGCCCCCAGGCCCTCGGTGGCTCTGTGGCCCCCTCAGGGTCGGCCCTCACTAGTGGCCCTGGCCTCCTGACCCCCCCCCGCCCCCCGCAGGCTGCACGCACTCCCACGCCTTGACCCTGTGATTCAGCACCCGGCAGCCCCTGCCTGGGCCCGTCCCAGACGAGATGGAGGCACCACCGCCCCCCCAGGCAGCTGAGGGCCAAGAGCCTGGCCCGGAGCCTGTGCACATCCCTGGCCCAAGCACAGCCTCAGTGTCCCCCCCTCCCCACTGACCCGGCCCAGCTTGTGGTCGGCCAGAGTGCAGGCGTCCATGAAGGTCTGCGCGATGACCAGGAGCACCGCGTCCATGTTGTCGGACGTCTGCACGTCGAACACGAACTGCGGGTTTTTGATTATGTTGACCCAGAACCTCAGTGGCAGGCTGCGGGCAGGCAGGGCAGGCGTGGCCGGTGAGCACGCGGCGGGGGCTGGAGAGGAGGAGGCCCGGCGCCCCCAGCCCGGCAGGGGTCCCCACGCCCACACCTGTTGGTCTTCCAGATGTGGACTGTGTCCTGGTCGGAGATGCCGTGCTGCTGGGCCTGCTCGTCCAGCAGGTCAAAGAAGTACTTGATGGCGAGTGGCACGGGGCGGCTGGTGCTGAGGATCACCTGGAACAGGTCGTCCACGAACTTCTGCAGGGTGCCCTGCGGGGGACGGGAAGCACGGAGGTGTGTGGTCAGCAAGGGGGCTTCAGGCCAGGCCCGGCCCGGCCCCAGACTCAGGGTGGAGGCCCGTGGGAGCCCTCCCCGGCCCCCCAAGCCCCGCCCCACCCAAGCCCCGCCCCCACCTTCATGGACAGCAGGCGGGTCAGGTAGATCTCCGGGATGGCCTTGGCTCGCTCGCGCTCCCCGCCCCGAAGGCTGCCCCTCCTCGGCCGGGGCGGCTCCGGCTCCTCACTCGGCTTCACCAGGTGCCAGGGCCGGACGCCGCCCTCGTCCACGTCCTCCAGCATCGGGGTCCCTGCGCCAAGGCCACACGCGTGTCCCCACCTCCTCAGGCACCCCCTCCTCTGAGCCCCAGGCTCCTGCCAACTCCTAGGAGCGGGGGGCACCCAGGGAGGGCTTCTCTGGGTGGGTGGGTGGGAGGGAGGGAAGGAGACACAAGCCCCTCCGAGGCCCAGGGTTCCTGTCCCGTCACTGGGCAAAAGCAGGGGCAGAGGGCCGTGGTGGGGGTGTGGGGTACTCACTCTCTCCGGGGACATAATCCTGGTTTTCCCGAAGAACGTGCTTCGTGAGGCAGGGCACCAGGGCCACCGTTGCTCCATCTGGGACCTGCTGACCACAGCTGGTGGTGACCCCTCCGCCAGCCGCACCCCCGCCACACCCCTCCTCCAGCTCCCAGCCCCCCCACCCCACCTTGTAATGCTGCAGGGTGTTCAGCCGCCGCCACAGACCCTGGACCTCAGAAGTCACGTCCTCGTCCGAGAGAATGAGGTGTCCGGCCACCCCAGACCGCCACTCTGCAAGGGCAAGGGCGACTTGGTCCTGGGCTTCCTCCGGGACACCTTTTCTGCAGTGGAACCTGTTCCTTCCTCCATGAGGACACGTGCCCCTCCAGCAGGGGGAGCCCTGCCCAACCCCTCCGAAGACCAGGAACAAGTGCCCGCCGTCGCCGGCTGTGGGGGGGGTCCCTACACCACCCAGCTGTGCCCCCACTCGGCACCCCACCCTGCAGCGCAGCCCAGCTCTGGCTCAGGCCCCCCGGCCACCCGTCCCCTGTGCGCTCACCGACATCTAAGGTGCGGGGGTCTGGCCGCTGGGCGAGAGGCACCCCTTTATAAAGCTGGTCCAGCATCTTCTCCTTGGCCTGGGAGATGGTGTCACAGTCCAGCACCTTCACAGGCACGCCCTGGGCCTCGCCCGCCGCCGGCCCCACGGCCAACAGTGCATTCAAGGTCTGCACGGGACACGTGGGAGCAGTCAGGCCCCAGCTCCCACGTGGGATGACCGAAACGCAAGGCCAAGGACAGGGGCCATCGGCGGCCCCAGCACCTGGCACAGTGCCCTAGTGACTCTGTCAGGCGAATGGCAGAAGTGAGTGAGCACGAGTCAGGTCCCCCGGCTCCTGGCTCGGCTGCAACACCCAAGGGACGCCCCCCACCCCACCTCACAGATGGCCGGGTGCGGCAAGGCCTGAGCACGATTTTCCCAAAGGCCCTCTGCGCGGGTCCCTGGAGGGAGAGCACACCCAGAGGGACACGAGGGGCAGGTCTGCCAGGGCGGCCGCCAGCCCGCTGGGCACTTGACATTCCTGGCAGGACAGTGATATCGCAGCCGGGCAAAAACACTCAGGCCGGGTACGGCGAGGACTCAGGCTGGCCCCGGGCAGGGCAGCTGCTCCCCAGACCCTGGCTGTGGCCCTCTGACTGCACCCCAAGCCTGGGACCCCCTGAGGCCCCGGCCTCAAGGTCTGGCCCTTAAGCTTCCATCCTGCTCAGCTGGTCTAAGGGTGTCTCCCAGGGGCCCAGGGGGCTGTCTCCCCAGACACAGGCAGCCACACGTGACCACTGGCGCTCACGCCCACCCCCCCCAGGCTGACACCCCAGCGCGCACACACACCCCCTCACCAGGGGGCGGTACTCCACGTCCTCTCTGAGAAGGCGGTTGTCATTCAGGGTGTACTTGGCTTTACCGGTCACGCTGTCGACCGGCCCCTTGTCCACTTGATGCTTAATCCCGCGGAAGAGCATGTACAGAGGCTCCCCGACCGCGTCCTGGGGGAGCGGCAGGCGGTGAGCGTCCCTGGGGCGGGGGACGGGCGCGGGGCAGAGGTGTGTGGGACGTGAGCCACCACCCTGGGGCAGGGGACGGGCGACAGGCTACAGAGGGTAAGGTGACCGTGGACATGGCTGGTGGGCGGGGGGTCCGGGGCTGCGGGGTCTGGAGACGGCCCCGCCTGCAGGGGGAGCCCCACCCGCCCCTGCCTCGCTCACCCTGACGAAAGTGTAGAGGCAGATGGACATCCAGTTGGAGAGCAGCTTCTCCACCACGGTCTCCGTCCTGGGACGGCAGGGAAGGGGGAGCAGGGAGGCGGGGTCAGCAGGGGGCGCCGCGGGGCTCTCTATTTCCCAGACCCCCAGGCCCCGGAGGGCCTGACTCAGCTCCCGGCCCCAGGTGCCCAAAGCCACCAGGCGCCCCCTGCTTCCAACCCCTGCACAGACCTGCGCAGCATCAGCTTGGGGTTCTTGGCCACGTACTGGGCCACCAGGTCACTGAGCAGCGTGCGGAGGATGTCGGTGAAGTACTCGAGCTTCCCGTGCAGCGCCACGGTGAGCAGAGACGCCACGTAGGCGCGGTCCCGCGCCGAGAAGGTGCGCTGGCTCTCCAGGGTGTGGATGAACTGGGATCAGGGAGAGGGGGTGGGAGGGAGGGGCTGATTCGGAAACCCAGGAATGGAGAAGGGGCGGGGCCAGGTGGGCGGGGCCGGGACAGCCAAGGTGTGGGCGGGGCCGGGACAGCCAGGATGTGGGCGGGGCCAGAACAGCCCCGGTGTGGGCGGGGCCGGGGCAGGGCTGGCACCTTGGTGAGGAAGAGCTTGCTGTTGAGCAGGTTGGAGAGCTGCCCCAGGCCTTGTTCCACGGTGGGCCGCCTGCTCTCGGGCACGCCCAGGTCCCGGTGCAAGGGCGACTCCTGGTGCCCCGGGAAGAAGACCCGCTCGGCGTACACCTTATAGTCGAGGAAGGGGATGCCGCTGCCCAGAAGGTCGCTGGTGAGATCCGTCATCTCGGTCATAAGGTCTGTTGGGGGGAAGAAGGCAGGTGTGGGTGCCCCGCGCACGCGAGGGGAGCGGGCTTGGGGGCCGGGCCCCCTGCGCAGCCTCACCGGTGAACTCCTTCTTGCAGCGGTCCCGCACGCTGCTCTCCAGGTTCTCCAGCTGGATCTGGACCTTCTTGTAGTCCCTCAGGGCCTGCTTGCTCTTCCTCCTGCTCGGCACCAAGGTCAGGACGGGAAAGGCTGCAGGGGCCCAGGCCTCCCTCGGCCTGCGGTCTAACCCGGGGATGCCCAGCCAGGCGGAGGTCCAGCCCACAATAATTCAAGCCTGTCCCATCCCTGTCCAGTCACACCCACCCACGTCCTGGGCTGCCTAGCACAGCTGAGCCCAGAGAGCAGCAAACTACAACCAGGCCGAGGACACCGGGGACCCGTTTTTGTAAGGAGAGATTCACTGATGCGTCTGAGTATTGTTTACCGCCGCCTTTGCGCTCCAATGGAAGAGCCGGGCAGTGGCAGCAGCGACCGCCTGGGCGTGCAAAACCTCTCTGGACCTTTACAGGAAGCGTGCCGGCCCCTGGCCTCGTCTGTCGCTCCCAGCCCGGCCTCACCCGGAGGCACCCACCTGTATATGAAGACGATGATGACCACGCCCACGGCCAGAAGAGAGACGCCCGCCCCCAAGCCCGCCTGGGCCGCCAGGGGGAAAGCCGCGGGGCTCTCGCCATCGTACTGCACGTGGCCCAGGGAGAAGCGCAGGTTCCCCATCTGCACCTGCACGAGGACGCTGCCCTGAGCGAGGCTTCCGCGCATGCCCGACGCCTGGCCCCGCCCAGGCCCGGCCCACTGACCGTGAACTCGGGCAGCGCCTCAGGTGCATCCCGGAGGGGCAGGGGCTGCTCCGTGGGGGGCTCGCAGTACAGGTGGTGCCGGGTCAGCGTCTTCACCACGCAGGGGCCGGTCCCTATCATGGCCACGACCTCCTCCTTGGACATTGCAAGGTCCAGATTCTCCCCCTGGAACACGAGGCCACCGATCAATCACTCAGAACTCTTCCCTGAGGGGAGGAGCCAGTGGTCCCTCAGATCCCCTGCCCCCATATGTGGGAGGGCTGGTCCCGAGGCCTGTTCCCAAGAGCAGGGCTGCCGGGGCCTCGGCACCTGGTCCCCTCCCTGTGGGTGGGGTGCGGCCCATGACATCTTCCGGGGCTGCCAACCCCCGTCCTGACCTTTCTCCGCCCTCCCTGTCTTCTTTCCTCAAGTCCTAACTTTCCCAGAGCTTCTGAAGGCTATAAAGTTGTCCCGAATTCTGCCCGGTTGCCTACCTACGGCCTTTCAGTCGCCCGCCTGCGGAGTGTCAGAACACGTGCCAAGTGTGTGCAGGAGCCAGGCTCTCTGATAGGCATCAGCCCAGCACCTGCTGGGTGCCAGCCACGCCCCCCACCCCGTCTGCGCGTGCCAAGCTATTTACATATTGCCATTTGGCCACCTGCTACAGAGGACGTCAGGACCCAGGCCACCGGAGCCAGGCCCAGCCAGGTGTATTGAGCCAGGCGCCCCCCCACCAGCACCCCCAGCCCGCGCCACAGGAGGGGTGAGGCACCAGGTGCACCCACTGGCCCTGGCTCTGCAGCCATGCCCTGCCCCCCACCACACACAGCAACGCCATCCAGCCATGGGCAGGCTCTCGGACACCCAGCAGTACCTCCACAGAGAGCACACTCCCGGGCTTGTGCCGGAACGGCGTGGTGGGGTCCTCGGGGTTGAGGGGCTGCAGAGTGGGGTCAGCCTCATAGGAGAAGGGCGTAGGGTTCAGCGTGGCGAAGTCGAAGACCAGGCTGTCGAGGATAAACTCCACCTGGACCCGGGCGTCCTCGGGCAGGCCCGGGAGGGCGGGCGTGCGGCAGGTGATGAGCCGGGAGGAGTTCACGTGGCAGAGCTCCTCAAACTGGGTGTGGGAGGGGAGGGACCGGGGCGGGTCAGGGAGGGGCCTGCAGGAAGGGGGCCCACAGGCACGGTGCCCGCCACCCACGGCTGTCCCGGGGCGGGGTGTGGGTGAGGTGGACCACGGGTAGCCCAGCACAGGCAGGGGGTGCCCACGGGTGTCCTACGTGATGATCGCCACAGGAGGCTCCGGGGGCGCACGCGGTCTCCGGGATCACGTGGCGCCTCTGCCCAGGCCCCTGGCCCGGCTGCAGCGCTCTTGGTGCCACGGTCACCCGGATCCTTGGTGTCTGCACCACGTCCAAATTCTGGCCACGGACCCGGATCTCACGTCCCCCACTGCAACACAGCCCGTGGGCCGCTCGTGGAGTCGAGAGCCAGGCTTCAGAGCATAGCCCAGCCCCAGCCCAAGCAGCGTGGGGGTCGCAGCCCCCAGGTAAAGCCCTACAAACCCCCTGCCCCAGTCCTGGGCCTGCAGAGACCACCCTACCCCACGCGCCGCAGCCACGCCCTGGGCCCAGCACCTGAGGAAGCTCCTGGTGGGGCCGACAGAGGTGACGTTGGGGTCCGGTGTGTACTCGAACTGGCTGTGCTGAAGCCTCCGCTCGGTGGCCCCAAACCACACAGCCACGGGGAGCGTGGCAGGCGCGGGGTGGGGGCTGGTCGCACACTGCAGCTGCTCTGCCTGCTGCCCCGGCAGTCTAGGGAGGGAGGCAGGAGTAGAAGGCAGGCCGGGCTGCCTGGAGGGGGCGCGGGATGGGGGGAAGGTGGTTCCAGGGCAGGGACCCGCCCGGGCCTCAGCTCACTGCCCTTCAGCATGGACTGGGACTGCCGTCTCCACGGTGGACCCAACAGGCCACACCCCCAGGACAGCCCCCGTGCAGGGAGGACCTGGCCACTTCCTGACAGAGCAGACTCAACCCTCCCCCTCTCTCCTCCTCGGCATCCCGTCCCCCACCCTCCCCCCAGAGAGCCCGGATTTTTGCGGAACAAGGAAGCGGCCCTCACAGGTGACAAGGCTGGTCTCCAACTACCACTCGGATGTCCTCCAGCCGCCCGGTCAGGAGCTTGGAGCCGTGCAGGGTGAGGCGCGTGCCCCCGGCTCTGGGACCTCGCAAGGGGAAGACGGAATGCACCTTTGGGTCCTGCAGGAAGGGGGACAAGGACAGACAGACAGGCATGAGGCCAGAAACAGGGAGGCAGAGGGAGCCTGAGGCAGACACTATGGCCCTGGGCAGGGGAGGGCAGCAGGGGCCCAGGAAGGTGAAACCAGGTGGGCTGGGAGGAGCCACCCAAGGGGGCAGCCCATCAGCAGCGGGGGGTGCCCAGCAGTCAGGCACCTGGTAGGCGAAGTCGTGCTCCGAGACGCCACGTCCGCGTCCTGGCACCTCCACGGTCACAGCGCCTGCCACCTCCCTCCCGCTGGCCTCAGTGACGCACACAAGGCTGCGGAGACAGCACAGGCTGGGGGCCGGGCTGCACCACGGGACCCCCGCCCAAGGACCGGGCTGCCCTGCCCCACCCCCCACGAGACCAGCAAATCCTCTCGCTCTGGAGGGGAACCCACATGGCACACAGGAGGCTCCCGCATCTGAGAACCAGAACCCGTGGTTTCCACTCCCCACGTCGAACCCGAGCCCACTAGCACGGAGGACGCTCTGGGAGGGGCACACGTTTCCAGAGGAGCCCCCGGAAGGCCGGCTGCTGAGCTAACGAGGGGGCCTAACTGGCCACCCTCACGTGCGCACAGCACCCCTCACAAAGTGATGAAAACTTGACTTCCTCGAGGAAAAAAAGTCCCCGAAAGCCTCTAGCCAGGTCTGGGGAGAGGCATGGACGGGAGGTGAGCCATCTGAGCAAGCGCTGGCTCTCAGCCAGAAGACAGGAGCTTGGGGCGAATTCATGTCCGCAACGTGAGCCCGCAATGGCCTCACCCCGTGACGGCGTCACGGTCACCGAGGAAGCAGAACAAGTGGAGTGTGCACTTCGCGGCAGGGGCTTAAGCCAGATCACAGTTTATAATCACTTTGTAAATCACTTCGGTCTCTTGGCTCCAGAATCATTAATGGTCTAGAGAGTCCCCTGAAGTTCTCAGTCATAACACACGCGGGGGAAAACTACACGCTCTGGCCAAGTCCCGTTCAAAGCGCCCGTCTCCCGGCCCCAGCACGGCCCACAGACCCAGGTCTCCCCGGCTGAGGCCGCGGATCTGCCCTGCGGTGGTTGGGGGGGGCTCTGCTGTTCAGCTGGGTTTGGGACATGGTGATCATGGCTATGTCCTTGGGGAGGCCCCATGCATGCGCTTCTGGGACCTTGCAACCACCAGCCAGGTTACCGAGAGCCAGGACCCCTGTAAGCCTCGAGCCTGGGAAGGACCCCGGCACTCAGCAGGTGTGCCACACCTGCCCTCTGGTGGGGGGGGGGGGGCAGGACAGCACCAGGGGAAGAAGGGTCCATTGGTGAGAAGGCCAGCCCCTGAGCACAGCTGTCTGGGAGCTGAAGACCCTGCTACCACAACTACATCCGTGGTCACTCTGAAACCCGGGTCTGGGAACACCTAGGTGACGCCAGGAAGCAGAACCACCTGTCAGCCCAGGCCCAGGAGCGACCCCCTCCCCCACCACAGCCCCGGCCAGGGAGCGGCAGGTGCAACCGCGGCACCGGGGCCTCGTGACCGGAACCAGGGACAGAGTGGGCAGGGAGGGCAGATGAGGCGCGGGTGGGCGGCCCTGAGCAGGAGGCGCCCCGCTCCTGGTGGCCCAGCGGCTCACCTGCTGGAGACCTCGTACTCCTGAGCGTCCACCACGCAGGGCACTCCGGCCACCCGGACCGTGTCCTGCACGTCCTGCACGTGCTGGCCCAGGTTGGAGCCCCTGATGGTGACGCGGGTGCCTCCGTCCACCGGCCCGGTCAGCGGCTCCACCTGTTCCGGGACAAGGACCGCTCGCCTGCGCCCACCTGGCAGCCCCTGGCAGCGTGGGGAGCTCCCCACCACCTCGAGCCCCCGGACCCCCGGCAGCCCACCCTCCCTCCCAGGGTGGCAGCATTCCAACACACCGAGTGGATGAGGGGGGCCGGGCACTGGGAGGCCACAGCCTCGGCGCCACCACAGGCTTCCCGGGCCACGCAGCGCGCATGCTCGCCCTCGCACCACACGCAGCCGTACTGGGGCATGGCGGTTTGGCAGTGGCTGCAGTCCCCGTGGCCCACGGAGCAGTCGTAGAGCACCACTGGGGGCGGCAGAGACGGACGTGAGAGGCGGGCCCGGAGGAGCCCTGCCCCCAACAGCCAGCCCGGCAGCCCCCGCGGCTCACCGTGCAGCCCCTCGGCGCTGTCCACACGCAGGCGGCCGGCCCGGCGCAGGAACAGCCCCACGTGGAGCTCCGGCTGCGGAGTGTCGTAGCTGAGCTGTGGAGGCGGGGGTGGGGTCAGAGTCTGGGGCTGGGGGAGGCAGCAGGCCAGGGGAGGGGTGGTCGGGGAAAGGACCAAAATGACTCATGGTGGGAACACAAAGACCTCGGTCAGACCTGGGGTGCAGGAACCCGTGGGACCACAGGGCCAGAGGCAGAACTGGAGTGTAGGGACCCGGAGGGGCCACTGGGTGAGCAGTCAGCGCTGAGATACAGGGACCCCACGGGACATGGGATCAGAGGTCAGAGTTGGGGCACCAAGACTCCCTCAGGGTCACAGGGTCAGAGTTAGCTAGGGCTGGGACGGGTGTGGCCCCGCTAGCCGGGATCGGGAGCCAGCCCGTGGCCAGGCCCCCCCGCCCCGCGCCCACCCAGGCACCTGCAGCTGCTGGCACGTGACACGGCACCGCGTGTCTGGAGGAGGCTCACACTCGACCTGGGCTGCCACCGCCACCTGGCGGCCCTCCAGCTCCATCACACACTCATGGTCTCCGGGGCTGTCCTGGGGGCAGAGGCCACGGCTGTGGGGGCAGCGTCAGGAGCTGGGCCTGCGGAGCCCCGCGGCGACACCCGAAGCGACACCCGGACCCGCGAGCTGGACCCGCGAGCTGGACCCGCTCACCTGGAAGAGGCGCAGGTTCCTGCCCAGCAGCCGCAGGTGTCGCTGCACGTGCACCGGCATCAGCGTGGAGCCCTGAACGCTCTCCACACAAGGGCAGGAGCTGGGCCCCCCGCGCACCTCGTCCTGCGGGCACCAAGAGCAAGGCAGGCTATGGGCCTCGCCCGGCCACCTCCGTCCCCGCCCGCGCAGGACCGCCCGGCGAGCCAGGGGCTGCCCCTGCCCCCCGCCCCCGCCCGAAGCCCCCTTCCCGGGCTGGGGCCTCACCAGCTCCCAGAGCCCGGGGGTGTCGTACTGGTAGTCGAGGCCGGACAGGAGGATGAGGGGGGCCGGCGGGCCCTCGTGCTCGGCCGAGTCTCCATCACCTGAGAGGAGGGTGGAAGTGGAGAAGGCGGGTGCGTCACCCCCCGTCCACTCGTCCGCCTCGGGCAGCTCGCCGCCTTCTTTCGTGAGCCAGTCCGGAGCGGGCTTCGCGGAGCCGGCGGCCCCTGGGAGAGCGGTGGCGGGAGCCGTGCTGGGGGGCTGGTCCTGGGGCACCGCAGTGGGGGAGGCCCCGGGGCCGGGGTCTGCGGGGGCAGAGGGCAGCGCCACTGCGTCTGAGGGCGACGGGTGGGAGGCCGAGAGGTCCTCGGGCGTGGCCACGGGTTCGAGGTCGGTGACAGCGGGGACAGCGGTTCCAGGTCTGTCCGGGGAGCTGGGAGGGGGGGGCTCCTCGTGGAGGGGAGACTCTGTGGAGGCCGAGGCAGGTGAGGCCATTGTGGGGCTGGGACCTGCCCAGGGCAGGGAAGGACTGGCCTCAGGCGGGGCGTCTGAAGCTGTGGCTGAGGAGGGAGCCTCAGGCTCCGCGGGAAGGGTGTCAGGAGTCGGGGTGACCGTGGTGGCTTCGGGGGCGGCAGGTGGGGAGGGGGTGGGTGCACCTATCGCGGGAGGGGCTGAGGGCAGAAGCAGGCTCTGAGGGGGAGGCAGAGACAGACAGGAGGGGCCACTCAGCAGGCAGGCGCGGGGGCGGGCGGCAGGCAGGCAAAGGGTGTGTTAAGAGGAAAGGGGACCAAGGAAAAGAGAAACAAAAACAGCCCATTAATTCTCCAAAGGAGAAAAGCGGAGGGCAGGCTCCGGGGCACCTGTGCTGAGGTGGGGCCCGAGGCCCAGACCTCCCCGCCGCTCAGCCACAACCGTCCTCTGCGGGACGGTGTACGCCGTCCGCACGAGGCACCACGCACAGCAGCTGAGGTGCACGACAGAGCCGCGGGCGGGCGGGCAGGTGGGCGGGCACACAGACCCCGGGCCGTCAGAGAGCCTCTTACCGGGGGGCCCCGCACCCACCCTCCATGCGCCCAGCCCAGAGTCACGCTCACCTGCCGGCTGGCCACCATGGGCCCGGCGTCGCACGAGGCCTTGTGCGTGCACAGGTGCTGCCAGACGCACCAGTGACACCCCCAGCGGCTGCTCACGCAGGCCTGGCACCTGCACAGAGCACAGCCGTGGGGAAGGGGTCACCCGGGGGCAGGGGTCGCCACGGGGCAGCCCCGGGCCTGGGGGTCGGGGTGAGGGACTCACTGTGCAGACGGGTGGAGGTCGGTGACGGCCACACAGTCGTAGAAGGAGAGAGAAGATCTGGCGATCACGACCGCGCCAAACCTGAGCTCCACGCTCACGGACACGTGGTCTGCAAAGCGGGGGTGGAGCGCCAGGGCTGAGGGGCGGGGAGGGGTGCTCAGCCCCCACGCCGGTATCGTGAGACCACACAGAGTGGAGTTGGCGCCCCGAATGGGGAAGGGCACCCAGGGTCGAGGGGCGCAGGGCGCAGGACACAGGACACAGAATGGGGACTTGAGGGCCTTGGGGACTAGTGGGGAGACTCAGAGAAAGGCTTGAATTCACACCTCACCCAGACCACGCCCCTGGGAGCAGTGTGGGAGGCGGGCTCCCAGGCCCTGGGGCCGGTCCCTCGTCTCACGCACCGGCTCCTCTTGGCAGCGCCGGGGCCCCGCTAGGGTCTGGGGAGGGGCACGTCACACCAGAACTGGTCGACAGGGCAGGGCTCTGGTGTTCCCCGAAGTGGCAGGAGTAGGACTCCCCCGGCCGTAGGGGCGGCAGGTCAGGTATGGACAGGAAGACCTGCCGAGAGAGGCCAGGACACAGCGCTGGGGTCGCTGGGCAGCAGACCGGGGCTGGTGCTCAAGGGGCACCCAGTGTGGGCGGGTACCAGTGGCCACCAGCACCCCCACCTTCACAAACACCCTCGGGCCTGGTTACGAACAGAGGGAGAAGGCGAGGCCCCAAGAGAAGGAACTCGTGCGAGGCCACGTGGTGTCTGGTGCACCTGACACCGAAATCCAAGGTGTGGACCCCCCTCTGGAGCCCTCCCCACCAGGCCCCGCCCATGCTAGTCCCGCACCTCCCTCCTCTCCTCTCGGCTGATGTTGGCTGGATTCACGGCTGCCACCTGCAGGCAGCCCAGCTCAGGCTGGAAGCTCCACAGCCACCTCTCTGGGACCTGGCCCCGCGAGCACTCAGAACGGCGACTGCACCTGGGCAGCAAGAATGACCAGCGTCTGCCTGTGACCCTCACAGGGCCCCTGGGAGTTCATGGGGCAGGACCACCTATGGCCCTGGGCAGGGTCCTCCCCTGGGCCACGACGCCAGGATGGGGGTGCCCTGGCAAGGCAATGACACCCGGGGTGGAGGATGCAGTGAGGGACTGGGACATCCAGAGGTCAAGGGTTGAAGGTGAAGGGCCAAGCACCAGGAATCCTGGACAGGGTGACTTCACAGGAGCACCGAGGGCACGAGGCTGGGGTTAGGGCCGGGGCAGGGGGTGGGGGGGTCACCGACCTGCCGAGGAGCACACACCACCCACAGTAGGGGTCCCTGTGGGCCAGACACGACTCGCAGTCCAGGTGCTGTGCACAGGCGGCCACGGGAACCTTGAGAAGCTGTGACGGCAAAGGGGGCGTGAGGCCAGCAACCCAAACACCGGTGGCTCACCCATCCCGTGCCCCGCCCCAGGCCCCTCCCAGCGGCCCGGCCCCAGCTGTCGCCTGGCACTCACTGTGCTCTGGGTCATGACGTACAGGTGCTCGAAGGCCCCGTCAAAGATGAGGTCTCTGCTCACCGCAGACCCCTGCTGGATGCTCTGCGTGGAGTATGGGTGGCCATCACTTCCCGGGCCCAAGTACACCTGAGATCAGAAACCACGAAGTCTGGGCCCCGAGTCCATGGCCACAGGCCCAAGGGTTCTCCCTCTCCCCACAACGAAGCCAAGTACGGGTGGACTTCCTCCCAGGCAGAACACGTCACGACACCCAGCCCTGGGGGCGGCAGTGGGGACCAGGAGGGGCGGGGATCCCAGTTAAACCCCACCCAGCCCCAGGAACAGGAGCATGGGTCACCTCCCCCATTCTGGGGTCGGGGGGCCTGTCTCAAGCCCGTATGCCAGCCCCAGGGGTCCCAGGAGTCGCCTGGCCCAGGCTGGGCTCCCAGAACCTCGGGGCAGGGCCCAGCACTTCCCGTGGACTCACCCTGTGCAGCCGCCCTTGACTGTCACCCAGGAAAGCAACAGTGTGTCCATCCTCCATGGTGACTGCCACCGCTGTTAGCTGAACCCCTGGCCACTCCAGAACTGGCGTGGCTTCCAGGGGGACACGGCTGGCCATGGGGCTGGGCGTGTGGTCTGAGCCGCAGGGGTAGGCGTCCAGGGTGTCCTGCAGGGAGCAGGGAGCACGAAGCACCACCGGTGAGGCCCTCCCTGCACGGCCTCCTCACCCCGTCCCCCCGGGCACCCCACTGCCTCGCCCAGGCTCTCCACCAGTTCCCCCGAAACAATGGTCCCCTCTGCCGGGCCTCCCGGGCTGACCCGGTCCCTGCCACCGGCCTCCCCAACGATGTCCCCCACAGCTGTGTCCTCAGCCCTGCCGAGCCAGCTTGTCTGCAGCTGCCTCGGCACAGTCTCCGGCCGCCCCTTCCTCCTCGTTGATTCCCGCCTGTCGGGGACCCCACCTCTGCGCACCCCTGGCCTGGGAGCTGCTTCCTCCAGTAATGTAGGCATAAGCTCAGCCTCCTCCCAGCCCACTCCTCCCAAGCCCCCTGCTCCTTGCACGCTCAGCCCCAAGTCCACAGTGGCCCTCGGCCCTGACACGGCTCAGTGACCCAGGCCCCCGAGTGCAGCTTCCCCCGGCCCTTCTCTAAGCCACCCTGAGGCTAGGGCCAAACAGTCTCAACCTCACCTGCCCTCTTGCTGGAAAACCTCAAACAACTCCCACTCCCCTGTCTCCATTCTGGGTGGTCGTCCTGTCCCCCAGACACCCTCTCAATCCACCTACACAAATGCCGCCCCTTCAGAGCCCAGGCCAAGCCCCACCCCCCACCAGCTCTGTCCCCCTGAAGGCCACACTTACCGTAGACACCCCCCCAATGCCCACACACCAAGGAAGTCACACCCATAACGTCGCCGACCTGCTCGGCCCCCACACCGCCACAGGCTTCCCTCCAACTCCCGCAGCACAGCTGCTGGGCAGGGCGAGCCTGGCCGGTGGCCGCGGCGACGGCGGGGGGCCGGGACTCACCACGGGCAGCTGCGCGCAGTCCGAGTTGACGTCGTACTCGATGTAGGCCACCTCGGCCCCGTCCTCGCCGCGGCCCTCCCGCGTGTAGCAGGCGTCTCGCGTGAGGTTGGCGAGGCGGTCCACCTCGTCCAGGCGGAAGGCACAGAGGGCAGAGGCCCCCGACACCCCCGCGGCCGCCGGCGGCGGCCGGCCCACCGAGGGCGAAGCGGCCGAGGAGAAGGCTACGAAGAGCACCTCCCCCCGGGCCACCTCCCTGGACGTGGCCACGGCCGCGGCCTGGATCCGCCCGTAGCGGCCGCCCTGGCAGGCCAGGGGCAGCTCCACGTAGGAGTAGTAGTGCTGGTCCCGGAGGCACACGCGGGACACGTAGGCGCGGAAGGCTCGGGACTGGGCCTGCAGGTCCCGCCGCAGGAACAGGAAGTAGGCGCTGTCCCCACGCGCGAAGGCGCTCACAAAGTGGTGGCTGTACTCAGAGAGGCGGCCCACGGCCAGCTTCGCCGTCTCCTCGTAGGAGAAGACAGCCTGGGGGTCCGGCGGCCGCAAGGCCCGGGTTGTGATGGGAGGGATGCCGCCCCCCACGCCCCTGCTGGTGTACCCCCGGCCCACGAACAGCAGGGGCTCCCCGGCCAAGCCCTGCGCCACCAGTCCCACGGTGCTGACCTCAGGGTCGTTGGCGGCCACATACTGGGTGTCCCCAGGCCGCTCTGGCCTTAGCAGCAGCTGCCCGAGCTGCCCGAGGGCCCGCTGCTCGCAGACCCCCTGGTGCACGCTCCCGCACACCACCAGGGCCCCCGGGCTCACCAGGAGCAGCTGGTTCGGGTTGTCGGTGGGCTGGGCCTGGGGGCACTCATCCCGCACCACGGGCGGCAGGCAGTCCCTGCTGTCTAGCACGGGGCCGGTGGGCACCGCGGCCTCCAGCTGCAGCTCCGGGCTCAGCTGGAACAGGGAGTTGGTGGCCCCTAGGTAGATGGTGCCGGAGGTGGGGTCCCGTGCCAGGTGCTGCAGATGTGTGCCGTTGGGAGTGAAAGCAGCCGGTGGAGGGGCGTGGAGGGCGAGGACCCACCCAGCCCAGAGCACCTGGAGAAGGCCGGGGCCGAGGCCGGGCATGGTCACCTGGCAGGGAGAGAGGTGGAGCAGGGCTCATGTGGCCACCAGAGAACCCCGGGGCCACAGGTGAGGGACAGGGTGATGTCACTGCCAAGATGCCCTTCCTAACCCAGGGGGTAAACAGAAGCACTGTGGCCCCGGCTAACCCAGGAGCATCTCCTAGCAAGGGGTCAGGAGATCTTTCCCGGAAACGTCAAAACTGCCCATTCTCTGCAAGCACTGTTCTCTCGGGAGACCCCGACCCACCCCCCTGCGGCACCCACCCCAGGGGCCGGAGAGTGAGTGAGGGTCTGCAGAGGCGGGGCCATGGGAAACAGCCTGCGCCCCCGGGACCAGGGGTCCTGGGAGGGGCAGGAGGAAGTGGGTGATGGGAAGGGGCCCAGAGCCCGGAGGAGGGAGGGCGAGGCCCCATGGGCCACCTGCAGGTGGGGCAGGGCAAGAGTTGGAGGACGGGCCTTTCGGGCAGGAATCCACAGGGTAACGAGCACAGAACCAAGGGCCGGGGAGAAGAGGGAGCTTCCTGCCACCGGGGAGGAGGCCTTGAAGACTGGACCCCCACCCTAGGGAAGCCCCCGAGAGAGGTGGGAGTCACGCTCCTCCTAGGTGCCTAGGTGTGGGGCAGGCTCACCTGGCAGGGCCAGCTGGGTCAGGAGACAACGGCATGACCTGTGCAGGAGCCACCTGGCCAGGGAGAGAGCGGAGCGTGAGGCTGGAGGCGGGGCCGCGGGCACGCAGGGGCAGCACAGAGGTGCCCCCGCTCCCCGCGCAGCCTGCCGGTGGAACCGGGCCCGGCCTGGCCCTCGGCCACCAAACACATTCCACAGGGGACGCCTCCTCTGAGCCGCTCAGGGAGGGGGTGGGCGGGAGGACCAGGCACCCTCGGGGCCTGGGAAAGGGCAGCTAGGAAGGAGCCCCAGGGCTGGCAGGGCTCTGTCCACTGCAGCCCCTTCTTCCCCGGTCTTGGCACTCTGCCACTCCCACCCTCTGCCCAAACCCCACCTCCCCGGGCACCCAGGAACATGCCTCCGCACCGGCCAGGGGCTGTCCTAGCCCAACCGCCACAGCACGTAAGCAGACACATGCTCGCACACACCGAGAAGCATGAGTCCCATGCACATGCTCGCACACACACACAGATGCACACAGATGCAATCTGTACACACGGAACACAGGCAGACACACCGCCCCCATTTACACACCCACAGAGACAACCTCCTTACACGCACATCGCACAAGCATGCACTTTGCACAGGCACAGGTCACACCCACATACCAAGGACATACACATTTGGGCACCCACATGCAGACTCACGCACACCTCCCCGGTCCGAGCCCTAAGGCCTAGAGGGCTGCGGCAGCCAGGCCAGCTCTTTTGCTATTTTCTCTCCACAAGGTCAAAGGAGATCCAGGGCCCAGGCTGGGGGAGGGGGCGTCCTGGAGTAAGTCGCCATGCCCAGCTGTGCCCCAGACCCTTCCTCGCAGGCCCCAGCTAAGGCCTGCTGGGGCCAGGAAACCATGGCAACACCATCCTCCCCGGGCCTGGTGGTCCTCAGCCAGCAGCACCAAGGCTGGTGAAGGGCTGCGACAGGCCGTACATCCCCGGCCATGAGACACTTCCCCGGCCTGCCTGTACCCAGGCCACGTTGCCCAGCCCCTCCTCTCCTTCCCCGCGGCTGCCAGTCTGTCTGTGGGAGAGCTTCCCTCGGCCGGGTCAGCTCCTCCCAGCCAAGGGCACCGTGGGGTATCCCCGAGGCTGCCTCGGAGTGAGTGGGGCTGGGCCACAGGCTGGGAGGAGGGTCCGGCAGCCCAGTGGGAGCCGTGGCCACTGCCCGGCTGGGCAATGCTCCCGAAATAGCTTGGGGGTTTCCATTTTTAGTGTGCAGAGAACAGGGCAGCTCTATGGGAGCAGGAACAAGGCCGCCTCTGTCTGCCGCCCGAGGGGGTGGGGGGCGGGGGCGGCAAGGAGAGTCGTGAACCCGGCCAGAAGCCCAGGCCTGTGGCAAAGCCAGGCTTCCCAGCAGCCCCCCACCTTGTTTCCAAAGGGTGAGGGAAGAAAGTTTCCTCCTCCGGGAAGGCAGGGTGTGCCCAAGGATGGGCAGAGGCCACCTCCTGCGCTTGGCCGCCGCTCTCCCCCCCACCCCACCCTGCAGCCTCCAGCTCAGGTATGTGCCGGGGCCGGCATCCGTGGCTAGCCCAGCACTCACGCCTCTATCCGCGCACAAACATTTGCTCAGGGCCTTCTGTGTGCCAAGACTCTCTAGCCCCCAAGGGGCAGCAACCCAGACACTCCCCAGATGTAAATCTCCCCTGGGTGGCCCAGAGGAAGACGACGGGCGGGATCAGAACGGCTCCTGAGGGACTAGGCTTCTGAAGTCTCTGACACCCGGCCTAGAACCCCTTGCCCGTCCCCACTTGCCACGGGAGGGGGAGGAGGAAAAGGGCAGGGACAACTTCCCTTCTGTGCTAGGCATTCCTGGCTCACGCAACCTCTGCCGCAGGCCACAGAGCAGCCCCCCCGCTCTCCATCAGCCCCCCTCCTCAGGATCCTCAAGCGGAATCGAAGCCCGTCCCTCCCCCCTGGAGTCTCCGGGGGCCCCGGGGGCCTGCGATGAAGACCGGGCCCCTGCGGCCCCCACCCTCTCCCATCACATGCCTGCAGCTCCCCCACACATGCTCCTCGTGCCTGGCGCCTGCTGCAGGCCGCTGTGCCCCTCCCTGACAGCACGCGGGCTGCTCCCACCGCCTGGAATGCCCACTCCCCCTCCAGCCCATCAACTCAGCTCCCAGCCATCACCGCCCCCCGGGGAGCCTTCCCTGTCCACCGGAGCCGCTGAGCCCACTCCGTGCGGTGAGTGGGCAGTGCTGCCTTGGGCCGAACGGGCAACAGGACTGCTCTGCCCATGACAGGTGACAGGGTGTATGCCTGGCATTAGTGCCACCAACCAAGGCTACTTTCTGCCCCGCTCCACCCACTCTGGACTTAAAGCTCCTTGAAGGCAGGGAGGGTGGGTTTTGATTCAGAGGCCCCGGCGACTGGGACAGAGCAGGGTGACACAAAGCAGCTGCTCCTTGTAAGAACGCCCCTTTCATAGCCAAGGAAACCTAGCCCGTGGCAAGGATGGGGGGCTCTCTGAGCTACTTGGCCTCTCCAAGAACAGGGCGCGAGCAGCACCGTTACTAAGAGCAGGCCAGGGCGGGCTGAAACGCGGGGTTTGGAGCCAGGCCTCACGTCCCCAGCTTGCACAGCCCCGACCTCCTGCCCACTTCGCAGATGTCAGAGCCTCACTCTGCCCGCGTCCAGGCCTGCCCTGAAGTCTCCGCCGGCCCACCTTTCTGGGACCTGAGGGGCAGGGCCCAAGCTGCCTAATTCCCTCCACGAAGAGCAAGCACTTCCTGGGCCCCTCTGGGATGTCCTCACCAACCACCGAGGCTCACGCACTCTGCCCTCCCACATCTGGAGAAGGGTCATGGCCAGCCGGCAAGTTCCGGCTCCTGGAAACTACTGGGAAGCCGGCCTTTCCTTCTCCCCACTCTGCCGGGAAGTTACTCATTGACTGAGCTGCAGAGCGCAATGCTCGCCCCGTTGTTTGTGCGTTGACACGGGGTGGGAGGATCCACCATTTATTTACCCGGCCCCCGCGAGGACTCAACCACAGTTTGTGTGCGGAGAAGGGGTCCCCCCGGGAGATGCGCGGTCCGAGGTTCACCGTCCGCATTTGTCGGCTGCACTGAGCGCAGCCAGAAGGGCTGTTACTACGAGCGGGGAAGCCTCGACCTCCCCATCGGCTCTTCCCCGGCCCTCCGCCCTCCTCTCCCGGGCTGCGGGCAAGGACCCTACCAGTGGTCTTGGGAGGGCGGGGAAGGGGCCGGCCGGTTCCGGCTGAGGCGGTGGCGGCGAGGAGGGGGCGCGGAGGAGCAGCTCCACCTCCTCTGTCTCCCAATCGCGTTACAGGCGCAGCCGCCAGAGTTTCCATTTACGCGGAGAAGTGTGGTCCCAACTCTCAGGACCGAAGCCGCCCACTCCTCACCACCCGGCCCCTGCCCCGTGGGATCCAGGCCCGAGGCCCTTCCCCTTGGGGCACGCCGCGGCGCCGGGTCCCCACCACTCCGGTCCCCCGCCCCGCACTCACCACCCGGCCGGGCCCGCGCGAGGAGCGCGCCGAGGCGGACGCCGGCCGCTCCGGGCTCGGGAGCTGCGCGCGGCGACCTCGCCGCCCCCCTTCGCCCCTCGGAGGTGGGTCTGGCGGAGCCGCAGCTGTTACCCGGAGACCGAAGGGCGGAAAACTGCGCCCGCTGCCCGCCCCTCCCGCCGCAGCGCTGCCACCGCCGGGAACAAAGGAGACAAAGCCCGTCGGCCGGGCCGGCTCCGCTCCTTCCCCCGCGCCCGCCGGGCCGCCCTCCCCCCTCCCGCCGCCCAGGCCAGGCCGGAAGCCGCCGGGAGAGCCGCGCGCGCCCGGAGCCGCCCGGGACCCCCCGCGGGCTCCGCACTTGCCGAGGGCCAGAGACTCGACCCCTCCCCCGTGGGGAGGGACAGGCTGCACCCCGGAGGTAGCCAAGGCGACGTGGATCGCAGCGGGGTAGGGGACGAAGTGGAGCTCCGCTTGCAGGCCGCCCCACCCCACCCCACCCCGCCCCGCCCCCGTCGGGCCTCACCTGCGCGCCGCGAACAACCGGAATTGGGAGCCCTCCCTGGATGGGAGGGGCGGGGAACGCGCAATGCACCCCAGGTGTGGTGGTACCTTGAGCGCCCCGGCCTCTTCCTGCCCGCCAGCGTCGGGTGGGACCCTCGCCCCTCACCTGCTCCTACGGTTCGCTAGCCACCACCGCCTCCGCCCTGCAAAGTCCCGAGCTTCCCCTCTTCCTTTCCAACACCTGCCTCCCGCGGTCGCCCGCCTCCAACTTTGTTTACCTGAGCTCCCAGGCGCCTAGTTTCTTCTGCCGCGCCCGGTCCTGCCCACCAACCCTACTCCCAGGACTCCCAAACAGGCAACCGCTCCTTCCGGCCCCCACCTCCGGCGGTGGTGCGGGAAGAGCGCAGGCACTGGGGCTGAGGCCGGGTTTGCGCCATCACTAAGCCAAGTAACCTGACCCCTGCCACCCCCCACCACGCACCCGCCTATTTGCTCACCAGCAAGTGGAGGTGACACCACCCCTAGCCCCACTGTTGAAGGTCGGCGCGGTCGACTGCAAAAATGCACGAGCGAGGGCGCGTTTCCTTCTTTTTCCCCCTGGCCCGTACCTGGACCCACCCCAAGCTGGGAAGCCTTGGGCAAGTCTAAACTCCCTCACTACCAAATACCTGGGCGGTCCGAGGAGGAGCTGCGGGCAGAAGGTTCTCCCCAGAAGCCCATTTGTGCCCCCTGCTGGGCCTTTCTCACCCTGGCCTGCCCATTGCAAACTCCCGTGGGGATCTGGCCCGTCCTATTACCTACTAGGACTTTTGGAGGATTTTGGCTCCAGGCCATTGCGATGGCCTCCCGGCGGGAAAATCTGTCACACATATGCACCACCCCGGAAGCCCCCGGAGCCTCCACGCGCTAAGGGCAGCCTCAGCCAGAAGGTTCAGGTCATCCCCACTGGCTGCTATGGGAAGAGCTACCGCAACGCCCACCCTCCTCCCACCTGCCGCCCCCCAGCCCCCCCTTAAGAGTCCGCCTTTTGTCCTGGCTGACGTGACTCGGTCCAGTCGGGTGGGCTGAGTCCTGCGAACCAAAAGGTCGTAGGTTCAGTTCTGGTCAGGGCACATGCCTGGGTTGCGTGTCTGCTCCCCAGTCAGGGCGTGTGCAAGAGGCAGCCCGTCAGCGTTGCTCCCCCACATCAGTGTTTCTCTTCCCCTCTCCCTTCCCCTCTCCGCAGTCAATAAAATAAACAAAACTTTCTGTAAGAGTCTGCTGTACTCTCGTCTACTGAACTCTGCCTCCTCAACTCTCCCTTCCCGGGGCCTCGGGTCACGCCCGCTCCTCTGCCTCTTCCCAGCACCGGCTCTGGACCGGCGGCACCCAGTCCCCTCATCCCTGGCCTCCAGCATCAGACGCCCCCGCCCCTCCACCTCATCTCCCACCTTGTGCGCCACACTCCCCCCCCACAGCTGCCACCACCTCGGCCCGGTCGATCTGTCCCAAGTCCCTCCCCTGCTGTGGCTTTCCTGCCCTCGCGCGCACCTTGTGGGGAGCCCCTTCCATGTGCCTGTAACCCTCTCCCCCCTAACTCCACTCACTCAGGTGCACAGCCGTTCAGGACCTACCGCACCCCAAGAGGGACCTGGGGCTTCTAAAGCCCATGGCAGCCCTTGTCTGTACACAGATCCGGCACCTCCGACCCCACCAGGAGTGTGGACGTCCCAAGTGCATGTCATCCCAGGCCATCCTGGGGAACCATTATTAAGAAAACATCGCCAGGGATGAAGTAACCAAACGACCAAGGGGCCAGGTGCTCGGAGGTTCAAAGCACCTGTGGGGCCACGCTCACTTCTCAGGCTTCAGGAAGGGAGGACACCTTTGTTTTTTCAAGATTTTATTATTTTTAGAGAGGGGAAAGGAGGGAGAAAGAGAGGGAGAGAAACATCCATGTGTGATTGCCTCTCATGTGCCCTGCACCAAGGACCCAGCCCTCAGCCCAGGCATGAGCCCTGGCTGGGAATCGAACTGGTGACCCTTTGGTTTGTGGGCAGGAAACCCACTGAGCCACACCAGCCAGGGCCAGGGAGGGCACCTTACGGGAAACACTGCTGGTGCCACGGGCAGCTGCTTAGCACGCCCACAGAGAGCACCTACCCACAGACCCCAGGCACCGCCTCCGTGCGCTCTGAGTTTCTCCAGGCCTGCAGGCCCTCCGACACTCCACGGGGAGCACAGAGGGCCTCCCTACCACTCCTGTTTACTCAAGGCCACCCGTGACCATTTAGTCCAGGAAGCCAAAGGTTGCCCTTCTGCCCCAAAGAGGAACAGGTCAGAGGTCCTTGGGAAGTCCACCTCCGTGCCTCCCACCTCTGGGAGGCCCCGCCCCGTCGCTCTCTCCGCTCTCACTGCTGGCAGGCCGAGCTCTGTCTGTGCCTGTAGAGGCCATCCCTGGGCTGTGTGCGGGAGGACACCCCGCCCGGGGGGCACACGGGGGCTGTGCAACGTACTCTGCACCAGGGACCCAGATTGGCCACCAATCCCTGTAATTATGTCCCCACAATACTTATGAGCACTTTCCCCAATCCCTCTTCCTTGCTTTCCTTTGATTATCCCTCCTGCATTAGAACTAGAAGGTTCTCCCCACCGTGGCAGAGAAAGTGATCCACAGAAGGGATCCATGGTCACCAATGAGTAATGGGTGGCAGCAGGCCAGGTTCTACTCCCCGGAATGCCCAGGCCACCTGCCGCAGGAGGGCTGAGGCACTGAAAGGCAGGTCAGGTAATCCAAAATGAAAATCCAGACCTCGCCCTGGCTGGTGTGGCTCAGTGGATTGAGTGCCAGCCTGTGAACCAAAGAGCTGCTGGTTCGATTCCCAGTCAGGGCACATGCCTGGGTTGTGGGCCCGGTCCTCAGTAGGGGGCACATGAAAGGCAACCACATACTGATGTTTCTCTCCCTCTTTCTCCTCTCTAAAAATAATAAGCAAAATAGGAAGGAAGGAAGGAAGGAAGGAAGGAAGGAAGGAAGGGAAAGTCAGTCCAAAGGCAAATGTATCCAAAACAGTCCTGAACCAAGGACAAGACCAAGAGGAGGTGAGACAGGAACTAAAGGGGGCTATCACCCTGGTTCCAGACCAAACCCTGGAGTCTGGAATCTCAATTTTCCATAGATAAAACTGAGTCTGGTATACATAACTTTAAAGAACACAAACACAAAGACATTTTAATTGGACATTAGCACAGAGTTTCCATAATTAGTATAAATGAGCACTGCCTGAGGCGAAGTGTGTCGGCCGGCGAGCCGCACACACCCCGCTCAGACCCCGGCCGAGGCTATGTCCCCGAGGGCTCGCTGCACTGCTGAGCCCCTCCGCTACACCCACACCACACCCCCCAGACCCTCCAGACCGGGGTCCAGGGGCTAGCTGGCCCTGAACAGCACGTAGAGCATAGGCATCGTGGCCACGATGGTCACACAGGTGACCAGCGTGCTGTAGATGCTGTTCCGGTTGACCTGGGCTTCCAGCCTCTGCTCCACGTCCTCCAGTGCCAAGATCACGCTCCCCTGCTCCAGCGCGGAGCCGGGCAGGGCCCCGTCTGCAGCCTTTGCCAGCTGAACCGCCCCGGCCGTTTGGCTGACAGTCTTCTCCAGACCACGAAGCCGTTCTCGTAAATCCTCTAGACAGGCACGGACCTGCCTGGAATGGCTGAGCTGCTCTTTCAGGGCAGCTGAAAGCGCATCTGTGTCTCTGTCTCGGGTGGGGGAAGTCCCTGCCCGGGACCCGGAGCTCTGCCCTGGCCCGGCTTGCACCAGGCCCCTCAGGTCTACCATGAGGTCGTGGAGGTCCCTCTGCTGGAGGGAGTAGCTGGATGCCTGTTCTCGAATGGCCTCCTGGAGGCTCACTGGCCCCTTCTGCGCCTCCAGGAGTAAGGCCTTCAGCTCCTGCAGCCGCACACGGTTCACGTAGGTGGAGCCGGCCACGCCGATCAGGGCCCCCAGGACCGAGCCGATGAGGGACCAGTTTTTGGTCCTCTCGGCCCGAGCCCGCTCCTTCTCGTGACTTTCCCGCACCGCCGCGGAGAAGAGGGAGAACTGCTCTCGCTCGGAGTCCTCGGCCCGCAGGTAGGCCGCGCGGATCCTCTTCTCCTCCTGCGGGGGCAGAGCCGTGTCATCCAGTGGCCACGTGGCCCCGCAGCCACAGCTGCCGGCAGATGTCCCACCCCCATGCCCCTGAGGCTCAGCCTCGGGCCTGGCGCCCACGACGTGCCGATGCATGACGACAGCCTAAGCCTGGCGGTATGGGGGCGGGGAGCAGAGGAACCGGGGGTGGCTGAAGTGGCTGCACCACCCTCCCGCCCGAGCGGTCTCGGCTTGCACCAGACTTGTACTGATGTCTACGGAACGTGTCTATCGGAAGGCACGTGTCTGGCGCTCTCGGGCCAGCGCCCTCTCCCCGGTGCTCCCTCCTTAGCAACCTGGGGCCAGATCATACTGCCCTGCTCTGGGACCCCCGCACCCCAAGGGGGAGTGGGTGCATGGGCTCAGGAAGCCCGGGGCCCAGCCCCCCACAAAGGAGCTCCTGGTTGACCCCCTTACCAGGTCTCTGACCACCAGACCTTGCCCCTCCACAGCCTGCCAGGCGACAGGTCCCGCCCAGGGGAGGAGGCGCCGCCTCCCGGGAAGCCTACCTGCAGCATCCGGTGCTCCAGCGTGGCCAGCTCCAGGTACTGGTTATCCTCCCGGGACGTGCGGTCCAAGCGGTCCCTCACCTCCTTCAGCTTGGCCTGCTGCGCCTCCAAGTCCCCCCGAGCCTCTCGGACAAGCCCCCGAGCCACCATGAACGCTTTCTCTGCCTGCGGAGAGAGCGGCGGAAGTCTCTGTCCCTTCTCTCCACACCCCACAGGCTCAGCTCTGGCCTGGCGAGACTGGCTGAGAAAGGCAAGTGGGGCGTCAGGGTAAAGGGTGGCAAGACCGGTCCTCAGGAGCACGGTCCTGGGTCGCCCAGCCATGCCCCAAGTGCAGCTCTGGGCTGAGTCACCGTCTGCGTCACCACCGGCTTTGTCCAGTCAAGTGGAAATAACATGCCCCTGAGAAACTCGAAAACAGCCAAGAATGCACCAACCCAGCCAGCTCTGGTCTGATGCCAGCCACAGAGAGAAGAAACCTATGTTCTTAAGATGTTCCGGGTTTCGCTGTATTTACACCTTACGACAGCGCCATGGTCAGGGCCCCCATTCGGCCCACCCAGAAACCCCAGCTCAGCCAAGGTCACGACTTCGAAACCTCCCGCTGAAGCCCAGCTCCGCCCACCTCCCCCTCGCTGTGCTGGTCCGCACCGGGGCAGGAGTGGCAGGAGTGGGAACGGAGACTCCCCTGCCAAAGAGGGTGCTTCCCGGGGCCCCCACCTTCTCAAGAGATGTTTTAATCCCACTCGGGGCTTCGAAAACACCGTGGCCCGGGCACCCTCCAGGCGACTCTCCCCACCCACCCCCAAACGGCCAATGAAGGAAGCATGTGCCAGCCTGACAGAATGGACGCTGATGGCCAGGGGCGCCCGGGTACACAGCGACCTGTTTTCAGGGTGGGTGGGTGGGTTGGGGGGGCACATGCAGAGGTCTTAGGGTCAAAACCAGGCTGGCACGTGAGAAACAGTCAAATCCCTCTACCAGTGGCGCTTGTTCAGGAAGAGGCCAGGCTGGCTGGGAAGGTGGCTTGTCTGGCAGCGGCCCCCAGGCCGCACTCCCCTAGTCGGAGGGCAGGGCCAGCCGCCGGCTCCGGGCTCACCTCCGTCACGTTTCCCTGGGCCTCCCGCACCTCGCTGAGGCCCACAAACTCCTCGTATCTGTCCCACCACGTCTTGATGGTGGAGGACGCTCGCTGCTGAAGGCTGCGCCCCAGGGCTCTTCCCAGGGCCGAGAGGCGCTGCAACAGCCCGAGGGCCACCTCCTCTGGTCTCTTCTCTCTGGGCTGGCTCGGGCCTGGGCTGCACAGGGTCCTGGTCATCCAGTCTCTTCCAAGGAGGCCTCTCCGCACCAGTACGGGGGGCGCGCCCACCACGTGATGCATGGCAGACCGGGGGCTGCACCCTGTCATCGAGCGATCTGTGGGGGACACCGGACAGATGAGCTCGCAGCCGAGAAAGGCTGGGCACAAGTCAGGTTCCAAGGCCCAGGGACAGCTCTGGACCGACTGACCTCCATCGGAAGGCCCAGACTCGGTGCTGCCCTGCTGGGCCTGAGGCCACAGCCACTGGGCCAGGCTCTCCTCCCCGAGGTCAGCTCGGAAAACAGGGCACGTGGGGAAGAACACGCCTTCAGGAAATCAAGCCTCCCGCCCCTCCCCACAATGCCACACACCCCAGCCCCGCCCATTGCACCCGCATCCCCAGGTCGCTGTGATGACTCGTGTAAGAATTTTAGTGCCCAGGTTGCTTTGATGTCATCAAAGAAAATTCTCAATGCTGCATTGTGTCCGCAAAGCCCCACAAACTCCCTAGGAAACCACGGAACTGAGGGGACTTCGGGGACCGACTGCCCGTAAGAGACATCAAAACCAGCTTCCAGATGCCCCGGAAGTGCCTCAGCGCCGGGAAAGCAGAGTGCGGCTGATGCCGGGGGGCACAGGCTGTCTGTGCCCCAAGCAGAAAAGCACGCCCTCAGCTCTCTGCTGAGAAGACGACTCCGGAGGAGAGAAGCGGGGACTTCTTCACAGAGGACAACTCCCTCCCACCCCCCCAGTTCACACCGGCCCTCCTCCTCCTGCTGGCCTCCAGGCCCACACCGCCCAGGCTGTGAAGTCCCCGCCTCTCGTCTCACTTTCCATTAGCTCTCTGCCTCGTCCACCTTAGTCACTGTACAGCAGGTTCGGTTTCATTAACCTCTCCCTCTTCAACCTCCCTTTGATGTGCGGGGCCCAACAACGCCCCCCTCTCCACCTGCACGCACGGCTCCGGGAGGCTCCGGGAGTCTCCCATTACCCAGCGAGGCCCTGCCAGCCCCAGAGCAGCTGGGACTCTGAGGACCAGGCAGGGAGGGCCACTGGCCCGCGCACCTGGCAAACCCCGGCCAGCAGCACCCTCCTCTGGCCAAACCACCCCTCTGCTTCACAAGTCCCCTGGCTGTCACAGTGACACCTGGTGGCCAAACTACCAGGCCAGAGAGAAAAAAAGCAGAGGGAGCTGGAGACAGGAAGACAAATTGGAGGAGACTGGAACAGAGATGGGTCAGAGCATCCCAGCCTCCTCCCCATGCCGAGCTCAGAGAAGCTCCGACGCTCTTGACTGCTAAATGGGGCAGGGACACACCTCCTGGACAAAGTGGGCCGGAGCCACAAACCGCAGAAGGGGCATCCCTGTATCAGCGGTTCCAAGCTGGTGCTGCACCTGAACCCAAGTCCCAGTCACAAGGCCCAAGGGAGCACATGTCACCCATGCCCGAGCGGTCCGGCAGGCCACCTCAGTGCCAGTGCCCACTGCACACACGCTGTGACCCCACAACGATCTTGCACGTGTACCCCAAGCACACAGCCTCACAGCCCTGCCAACCACAGCACCCACTCGCCTCCTTCTGGGCAATACTCAGCAGAAGGTATCCACCTCGGCTGTCACTACTTCCTCAGCCCTCACCTTTTAAAAAAATTTGTCAATTTTTTTCAAGAGAAACAGAAACATCAATTTGTTGTTCTCATAATTTATGCTAATTCGTCGGCTATAGCTGTATATGCTCTGAGCAGGGATCGAACCCACAAGCTCAGCATATCAAGACAACACTCGCACTGACTGAGCTACCGGGCCAGGGCCCCCTTCTCTCTTCGTCCCATTCCACCAAGGTGTTCTCCTGGAAGCCCCACAAACGTCCACCTGGCAAGATCCAGCAGGAACCTCTGCAGCTTTCAACATGCTGTTTTTAAAACCAGCACCCCCGCCATGGCTTCCTCCGACCTTCTTAGCTTCCTTTCCTGGTTCTTCTTCTACCAGCCGCCCAGTCTTGGACCCCAGGAAGGACACCCAACACTGGCAGAGAGGGCAGCTACAGCCCCCTTGGAAGTCCTGGCTTCCTTCCCTGCCCCCACAGCTGTTCTTCACACGGCCACCAGAGGCCATTGGGTCCTACATCAGATCACACCCTCAGTCCCCACCTCACTTGGGAGTAACACCAACCATCCTCTTCCTTCTCTCCGCTCCTGCACTGCCCTCCAGCCACCCTCCCACACTAAGTGTGATCCTGCCTGCGCCCCGCCGCTTCCTCCACCTGGGCCGCTCTTCCTCCCCAAGTCCAGTCGGCTCACCCTGACTGCTGTCTTTGCTCAAATCCCACCTCTTGGCGAGGCCTGCCTCGACCACTCCCTCCCTGGCCACCTTACCTGCTTTATTTTCTCTCTCAGACACATAGTGCCTTCTTTTTAAAAAAAATATTGTATTTAATTTTTAGAGAGAGGGGAAAGGAGGGAGAAAGAGAGGGAGAGAAACATCAGTGTGAGGTTGCCTCTTGTGCGCCCCTCACTGGGGACCTGGCCCACAATCCAGGCATGTGCCCAGCCTGGGAATCCAACACGAGACCCCTTGGTTTGAAGGCTGGCACTCAGTCCACTGAGCCACACCAGCCAGGGCCTTGCCAGGCCCTTGCATGGAGTTCTTGATAAGGCTGGAACACACCAGGCAATCCCCGCTGCGGAGCCTTCACACCAGCTTTCACCGTCTGTACTGCTTGCTCCTTCCTCCGTTTTAGGTCCTGCTCCAATGTCATTGCCACCTAGCCCACCCCAGCATTCCTTACTCACTTTCTCTGCTTTGTTTTCCTCCATGTACATATCATATGACCTACGCTACGTATTTCACGTATTTACTTGTCTTATAGTCTGTGTCACCTTCCAGAATGTCAGCTCTGCCAGGGCAGGCACTGTGTTGTTCACTGCTGCACCCTCAGTGCCTAGAATCCTGTCTGCATACAGTACGTACTCAACAAAAATGTACTGGATGAATAAAAAGAATTTGCAAAAAATCGCAACCTGTCCTATACTATAAAACCCAATATCCTCTGGGGGCCTCCAAAGCTCTAGGACAAGGTGATCTAACCCCCACTTCTGCCACCTCCCTTGCATCTCCCCCCAGCCACACTGTTCCTTCCTAGGTCCCAGGAATGCGCCAGCCTTCAAGGCCTTTGCACTTGCCCTTCCCTCTACCTGCAGTGCTTTCCCCCAACACACGCACGGGCCAGACCTGGAGCCTTCCAGTTAACACCCCTCCCGGGTTCTGCACCTCCCCCGGCAGGAGGACCACTCACCCATCCCCCTTCCCGCGTACCTGTCCCGCCCAGCGGCCGAGCTGCAAACCCCAGGGAGCACTCGCCACTCAGTAGATCTGTGAGCCCTTAGCGCCCGCCTTCAGAGGGCCGCTTCCGGCCGCGGGAGCGCAACTTCCTGATTAGGAGCCAATCAGCGGGCCCTCCAGGAAGTCAAGGCTCAGGGGTGGACCGGGAGCTTAGCTTCCGGTGGCAGGGTCTGGGGAAGGGGCGGCAGGCGCCATGTCCGGCCGCGAAGGTGAGTGCCCGGGGATGGCGGGGGTGGCGGGGCGGAGTGGGAGGGGACCCGGCGAGGGCAGGGATGAGCGTGCTCGTGTCGCCCGTAGGTGGCAAGAAGAAGCCCCTGAAACAGCCCAAGAAGCAGGCCAAGGAGATGGACGAGGTGAGGGCTGCGCGGAGGCGTGGGCGGGCGCGGAGGGCCGGGAGAGTCGCCTGCAGTGACCCCGTTCTGCTTCTCCCTAGGAAGATAAGGCATTCAAGCAGAAGCAAAAAGAGGAGCAGAAGAAACTTGAGGAGCTAAAAGCGAAGGCCGCGGGGAAGGGCCCCCTGGGTAAGAGAGGGCCAGGTAGAGCCCAAGCCGAACAAGTGTTCTGAACATCAGTCCGGACGGGGCGGAGCAGGTCCCTTTTCTCGCTCACTGACGAGTGGGGAGGTGTCGGTTCTTCTGTGCGCGAGGGCGGACGGCCTTGTCCGCAGCACCAAGGGCTGGGGGCCAGGCTGGGTGTAGAAAGGAACCTTCTGCTTCCCGGGCAGTCTGGGCTTCCCTTCCCCGGGGAAGCGGCAGAGATGGAAACAGATTCTTATATCCTAGACGCCATTCATGCGGTTGGATTTCCAGATATCCTCCACAGTTTCTTGCCCCAGGGTTGTGTTTCACCTCTTCGTCCCTTACTTTACTATTGGTATTGTTAATGCTAGTAAGTACTTTTGCATCCTTTTTTTTTTTTTTTTACTTTTGGATGCACTTGTACTAAAATATAATAGGTTCCTTGGCGTGCTATTGCTCCAAAACCTTTTTAGGCCTAATTTCCTACCATTCTGCCTGTTCCTTTATGTTAGAGGAATTCATATCAAGATTTTGCAAGCCCAACAGTCCCAATATTTCCCGTGCTGCTTAAATGCTGTTTACATTAGTCAGTGATTATTTCTTCCGCAGTTGTCTGTGCCTAATCGGATCGCTGTGAGCCACACGGGGGGCAGTAGAGGCTGGGGTGGTGGAGTATCATCTAGGGCTCCCCAAGACTGTCCCCCAGGGACTCCCATTCATTATCGTTGAGCCACACAGCACTGAGATTCTAGCTATTGAGATTCCTTTCTGAATGACGTGATGAAGGATCTTGAACCTTCCCTTAATCTGTGATTGAAGAGAAAAGGTCAATCTTTCGTGAAAGCCTATATACTAGTTTCTGTTGAACTTCATCTGGTTTTTTAAGGGTTTTTTTTTTTTCTTGTCATAGGATTTTCATTGCTATATTAGGCATACTTAATTCTACAAGTGTGTCTTAAGTTACTTACTGTGTGCCAAATATATAGTCATTTGTAAATTGGGTAAAGGTGTTGAGTACACCAGACCCCAGGAACATACTCCGGAAGGTAATGTGGTGTGATGTGTCGGTGAATAGGGGTTGAGAAGTCACGATGCCTGGGTTGGAATCCTGGCGCCATCACACACCAGTTTATAACTTGGAACAATTCCTGACACGAAGACTTCGCTCTGTAAAGTGGGGTGGTAGGGGGTGAGGATTAAACGAGCCGATCCATGAAGCACCCGATAGTGCGGCTCCCCACTGGAGGGCACGGCCATGGCTTGCGGCTTGTGGCCCTCGTTCCGCTTTCCCCCAGAACAGACCATGTTGGTCAAGCCCTGTGCGCGCTTGCGTCGGAGAGAATGCCCGGCGTGAGAGCTGAGCCTTACCAGGACCCGTGTAGGGCCCCTGGGGCTTCCTCCTACAAGAAATGTATTTTTCCCTGAGACTTTCTTTTTTCTTTTGCAGCCACAGGTGGAATTAAGAAATCTGGCAAAAAGTGAGCCGTTCCTGTGGCTGGGGCACTGGCGATCCTTCATTCCCTTCCTGCTTTAACATCTGGGTTCCCTGCCGTAACATCTCTTGCCACCTGTAGCTAGAATGAAGTGTCATCTGGGAGCCTGTTGTACATTTAAGAATAAACTTTTGTAAAAAATAATCATAACAATAGTCACGCAGTGGCTCATCTTCTTAGCTCTTCTCCCTCTGCCATCTCAGCCTCGGCTGTGAGGTCAGAGGGGACCCAGCCCAGGGTCCTGTCCAAGTGTGTTCCTCACACTCGGTTCCATCCAGAATTCTGTACCACCTGGAATTAAACCAACTCGTTTGAAGTGGCTGTCATTTTTGTGTGGGTGTATGTCTGATGGAATACATTACATGAGGCTAGTGGAGGAATTTGTACTTTGGGAAGAAAAGCCATCTTTTTCTGTTATGACATCCACATTGCCCTTTGTTTTGATGGGGTGGTTCATCTGGCCGTGTAAGGAGTCTGCCACGTGTAGACCGTGCTTGCATCTGCAAACGGTCGGACAGTTCCCGTTGCCAGGAAACTTCTCCATAGAGGGAGGGGAGCAGGGCAAGTACACGTGGTACGCAGTGTGAAGGGAAGTAAACTGCGGAGGGAGATTCCCGAAGGCCTGAGAACCAAGCCTGTTCCCGCATCCCCGTGTCTGCATTTTCACGAGGGCTTCAGAAGGTCCTTCCTAGGTTCTTGTGTCTTACACCCACATCCGACCCATCAGGAAAATTAAATTTGGCCCAAGCCCTGGCTGGCGTAGCTCAGTAGATTGAGCACGGGCTGGGAACCAAAGTGTCCCAGGTTCGATTCCCAGCCAGGGCCCATGCCTGGGTTGCAGGCCATAACCCCCAGCAACCGCACATTGATGTTTCTCTCTCTACCTCCCTCCCTTCCCTCTCTAAAAATAAATAAAATCTTTTTAAAAAAAGGAAATTAAATTTGGCCCCTTTACACTTCCAGCAACCCCCTGCACCCCTAAAGCTCCTCACCTGGATTGCAGTCACACCCAGGTTTGTCTTCCTGTGTCTCCCTTGCTTCCCTACAGTCTAATCTTCACTCAGGACCCAGTGATCTTGCCAGACTGTGAAGTTATGCGTTATCTCTCCTTGGCTCAGAATTCTTCAGAGCTTAGAACAAAAGCCAGAGTCCCTACAATGGCCAGCGAGGCCCTACGGGGTCTGGACACCACTCACTGCCCTCTGAGAGCTCCTGTCCACCCTAATCCATGTTGAGCCTCGACGGCCTATATTCCAAGCAAACTCCTGCCTCACTGTTGTCATCAACTCTTCTGCCTGTCTTCTTCTGGATACTGGAGACTCCTTTAGAGAACTTAACTTCACAGTGGTGAACTCTTCCCTGAACATCCTACCAAGTGACAATCCCAATGTCTCTCAACCTGTGTCATTTTTTCTCCTGACATAACCCTTGACTCGAGGAATAAACTCCGGGAGGACAGAGGCTATCCATAACGTACCCTAAGTGCATATGTAATGAAACAATTCAGAGGCACAAGTCTTTGGATTCCCCCTGCCCCAGGATCCTTGATACAACTGAGAGTAATGCTAAGCTCTCTCTGAGAATGTGTTCTCAAAAAGGTTCCTAGATGGTGAGGTTTTGCTAAGTCAAAACTGGAACATGTTTTGATTGAAACCCATTTTATGACTAATGTGCTTGATATTAACAAAAAAAAAAAAGAGCCTGCTCTGGTCCTCTCGCGTGAAGTTGCACAGCCAGCGGCACCTTCTTTGGACTTGAGCATTCCCTGTTGGCCTTGCCAGCTGGCACCCAGCCCTGTGCTGCTGAGAACTACCCTTCCGAGAGCCAGTGCCAGCACACTGCCCCGGAGAGTGGAACCTAATCCCTCCCGACAAATTAAGTGCAGTCCTGTCTTTACAGGACCAGAGACCTGCAGCAGTTTCGAATTCACATTGGACATTTGGGCTGCTGTCGGAGGGAAGCTACCAATTACCTCAAAGAAGCAAACTCAGGTATTCAAGACCCCCTAGGCCCCAACAACCATCTCCCTTTCACTTACTGCTTTCACAAATCTCCATAGGACAGTCATAGGCTAAGTCTGGCACTAAGCATGCAAGGATGAAAGTTACTCTCCAACACCCGGTTCCAACTAACTGTCCTGCACCGGGTTGCTGCCCGATAAAATCTGGTCAAGTCCAGCTTGACTCTGCTCTTTGAAACCTTACCTTCTCTCTCTCATAGATAACTCCTACCTGGAACTCGTGTGGCCTCCATTTGGGTGTTGTATTCTTGTCTGAGTAGTCTTGTGCGCCAGTCTCCTCGCCCACTCAACCTGTAGCACAGCGCTGGTGCCACTTCCAGGGGGCCTTCCTTGACTTGAGCCTCATTCATTTCGCTATGACTAGCACTTGGGACAAAACCCCTCAAGCGCTCCCAGAGAAATGAATGAATGATGTTAACTGGCTGAGCAGTTAGCTCCCACCCCGCTCCAACACAAGTACAACCTTTTCAGGATCGCCTCTTAGACTTTCTTCCCCGGACCTACCTCAAATGTACACATTCAAAACATTTACTGTTGTCAAACATGTTTGTTCATAACAGTTCTATTAAGACTCCCCGTCCAACCCCACTCTCCCGGACTCCTCCCCAAAAGAACCTCTGGGTAAGCGAGAGGAGGGTCCAGGTGAGTTCGGCGGGAGGACAGCGAGGTGGCAGAGACCACACCACCTGAATGCTGGCTGCCTCGATTCACATTCACACGAGTGAATGTCACGGCGCACGCCTCCAGCGCGACTGTGTACCCCACGCACAGCCCCCCGCGCGGTGGAGTTGTTGAGCTCAGCGCCCACACTCCTAGCTGCTCAGAGTGCACGGCAGAGTTCCGGCCACAGACCCACTGAACCGCAGCAGGAGTACAGGAGGGCAGGTCGCGTTCAGTACAGGTAGGCACTCGGCGGAGGACTGCGGCGCGCTCATCTGTGCGTCATTTCTCCGCGCCCGCATGCTGCCAGCTGATTGGCCGGTGGGCTCGGGGGCGTGGCCCCAGCGGCTGAGGCGGTCGGCGGCGCGCGAGCGGTTGGTCCAGCGTTCGGGTCTCGCGGGGACGAAATCCGGTTCCGTGCTTTCGGAGACTGGCCGGCGGCAGGCATGGCTGGAGCCCCAGCGCCGGGCAGCAGAAGGCGGAGCGGGCCCCAGGCCCCCAGTCCCGGCCCGCCGCCCAGCATCCGGCAGCCTCCGAGCAAGCGGGCCCGGGGCTTCCCCGCGGCCGCAGCTCTGGACCCCGAAGACCCGTTCGGCCCTCACGAGGATTTCACCGCGGACGACCTGGAGGAGCTCGACATCCTGGCATCACAGGCCCTGAGCCATTGCCCGTTCGCGGCTCGGGATGTGTCCAGTGAGTGCTCCTAGGGGTCCTTTCCCCCAGGGTGATGCAGACCTCGCCAGACATCCATGATGGCTGTGGCTTCGGAACCCGTGACGACCGCGGCTCTCGATGTCTTGCACCCACACTGCGCCTTCACCTTTTTAAAATATAGGAACAGCTTGATTTAAGCATTGGTTGTGTCCCAAAAGGGCCTTTGATTTCGGGGAGAAATGGACCAGGAATGTCAAACATTTTGCTTTAGTTTCTGAAGTTAGGGCCACTTAGGTTCTTAGTTCTAACGGAGATCCTTGGAACACGACTCCCACCACCATCAGAACCATCACTACCTACGCGTGGAGCTCGTTCTCGTAACAGGTTTGGGAGGCTTTAGATCTGATGAAGACCACTGCCCCGCCTTGAGCATAACAGGGACCTGGCAGAGGCAAGAGATGCAAGAGGCTTATTTTTTTACAACCAAAAAATTGTACTAGGTGCCCAAACCTTAGGAACTGCAGCACACTTAGCAATGAGCACAAGTCAAAAACCCCTTCCTTCATGGTGCTTACGTTCCAGTTGGGGAATGAGTGAAGTCTCCAGGGGGCTCCCAGAAAGAGAAAGGTTTTGAGGGCACCTCGCATCTCTCCTCGGATGTGTCACACGTGTCTTACACTTACATTCCGCAGTCATTTCCCGGAAACCCCGTCATCCTCCAGCATCTCCGGCATGGTGCCTGGAAAAGCAGACATGCAGAAACACCGGTCGGTGACCAAATGTTCTATAGGACAGTGACTAGCACCGCTGTCCATCAGGTGGCACAAGGCAACAGCTCCCTTTCCTTGACCATACATCTAATTCCTTTCCAAATCCCATAGTTTTACCTTCTTTTTGAAAGATTTTATTTATTTATTTTTAGAGAGAGGGGGAGGGAAGAAGAGAGGGAGAGAAATATCAATGTGTGGCTCCCTCCCACGTGCTCCCCTCCACCAGAGACTTAGCCTGAAACCCAGGCATGTGCCTGCACTGGGAATTGAACCAGCGACCCGTTGGTTCACAGACTTGCACTCAATCCACTGAGCCACACCAGCCAGAGCCATAATTTTACCTTAATCTGTCTCTGGAATCCATCCTTTTGGCATCATCTCTACCATCTCCCTGATCTAAGTTACCATCACCCGTCCCCCGCACAATTGTTTGCTAGATTGTCTTCCTGATTCCAGTCTTGACTCCCTACAAGTCAGACTTCACACCACAGCCAGAGTGATCTCTTCAGAGCTCAAATCTGGCTGTGTCTCGCTTTGATACAGGTGAACACCCTTACTCAAGGCCCTTTGATGACTTCCCATTGATCAAAATCCTTAATGTGGCATTGTCTGCCCCTTTCCCTCTTCCTCTCTGGGTGTTAGCCACACTGACTTTGCTTTATTTTTAAATCCTCCTGGCTTCTCTACAACACAGAAAGTTTGCACAGTGCTGTTTCTCGTACATTGGGCGTTCTTTCCTTCCATTCCGCATCCCAGCTCATGTGGTTAATTCCTGCTTGTCCTTCGTCTCAGCTCAGTCACCACTTCCTGCAGTCATTCCGTTGGATCAAGTCCCCTTATTATAGGCTTTCCTGTGTTCTCTGCAGCTCTTCTCCCAGTTGTCATCTACTTTTATACATGTGGTTTTAAAAACATTGTATTTATTTACTTTTAGAGAGTGGGGAAGGGAGAGAGAAAGAGAGGAAGAGAAACACGCGAGAGATACATCAGTTGGTTGCTTTTCACACGCCCCCAACTGGGCACCTGGCCTGCAACCCAGGCGTGTGTCCTGACCGGGAATCGAACCAGTGACCTTTCGATTTCCAGGCCAGTGCTCAATCCACTGAGCCACACCAGCCAGGGCATACATGTGATTATTTTTTTTAATGTCCTGTAAGCTCCATGAGGGTACGGACAATCCATTTTGCTCATATTGTCCCTTTGGAGACTAAATCATGCCTGGCACATTGTAGCTACTCAGTAAATATTGTTGCGTAATCACTGAATTCTGACCAGCGATATCTTCACAGTGCCTTTCAGCCTTTAGGTGAGACTTAAAATTGGGTGGGCAATGGGGAGAAGGTGGCAGGACCTGTTATTTTGTAAGGATCATTTATTTATGAGTTTGAATCACTCCTAGATTGGGAAATACCTATATTGCTTACTAGAGCTTTCCCTAAATTGCTTTCAAGAGTGATTCTTTTCAGCATTGTCTGGCAAAAGTGAGAAAATGTTGGGTCCTGAAAAGAATGTGGGAACTGTTTTTTACAGGTGCTCAGAATGTGCCCAGATTAGATGGAATGCCCCAAAATCCTACAGGCAAAAGCAGAGAAAGTGTTCCAGTTAAAGATAATTTTGAATTTGAGTTACTTCAGGCCCAGTATAAAGAACTTAAAGAAAAGGTAAGTGACTTGACCTACGGTTTTTACAGCTAATTCACCCACTGATGCATGTATTGTGCAGTAAGATATGTGAAAGGTGTTTTGTTTTTTTTTTAAGATTTTATTTATTTATTTTTAGAGAGGGAAGGGAGGGAGATAGAGAGAGAGAGAAACATCAATGTGCGGTTGCTGGGGGTCATGGCCTGCAACCCAGGCATGTGCCCTGACTGGAAATCAAACCTGCAACACTTTGGTTCGCAGCCCGCGCTCAATCCACTGAGCTACGCCAGCCAGGGCTAGATATGTGAAAGTTTTAATACAAGAGTCCAGAAGTCACCCCAAAGTGGGGGAAGGCTGGGAATCCCCAAAGGTGGGGAAAGCCAGAAAACTGAGGCTGAAAGAAACTGAATCCTGAGATTCCTAACAGACCAGGCAAGAAAGGAAACACTGCACACCAGATCCAAAAAGAAGCTGCAAGCTTCCTGTTTTAGCACAGGGGTGCATTCACAGCACGTGTCACATGAGCAACACAAGGTCATAATGGATGCTGTTTTCATGAGGAGTTTTGCAAAAAAGCAGACACCCTTTTTATGACCGACCTGGGTCCCTAGGAAAACCAGGAATGTAATGAGGAATTTTGCTTCTGTGAAGTGTGCGACCCAGATTGTTTAAGACTTACTAGAGCCCCCAGAATCTGTGCGTGTGTGTCTTTGTGTTGCCTTGCCGGATGTGAGCGGTGGCGTCTGGTTGGCGCAGGTATTGTGGGCGCTCGTTGGTCTGCAGCACACTGGTCAGCTGGGCAAGAAATCTCCCCAGCTACATGTTGAAATAAACACATGCATAATTTTCCCTGACCAGCTTTTCACAAAATTGATTTGGGATTTACAGATGAAGGCGATGGAAGAAGAAGTCCTCATTAAAAACGGAGAAATCAAAATTCTGCGGGACTCGCTGCACCAGACAGAGTCCGTTGTAGAGGAGCAGAGGCGATCACATTACTTCCTGGAACAGGAGAAAGCTCAAGCGCTCAGCGACAAAGAGAAGGAATTCTCCAAAAAGGTGACCCAGAGCATTCGTTTTGGTCGGTGTGGGCACCAGCTCCGCCTGCTCGCTGAATTCCTGTAGAAACGGTGACCGCAGTTGCCTGTAAATCTCCCGGGAAGATTTCAGCTGTTCTTTGTGTTAAATACTCTCCGCTGCCAGCTAACTGCGTGTCCTTTGCGCATGCTCTGCACGTGGCTTGGGAAAGGACCCAGATGACCCACTGCTTTGCTGTGGCAGTTGGTCTTGGCAGGAATAAATCACTAGCTTAGACTTTTCAGAAAACGGTCGGGTTCAAACGAGGGCTCCTTGGGCGGATCAGAGACTCAGCTGGTCTCCGCGCGCCAGAGGGAGAGGCATTGGCTTCCTGCCCCGGGTTTCAGGAGGACCTGGAACTGTGCACCGTTACGTTCACTGAGAGGTCGGTGGGTCACTGTGAGACAGGGCGCCTGGGCCGGCTCCATGCCGCGCACTTGACATGGATCATTTAATCCCCCCAACCGTGAAGACAGGTAGTCACAGAGAAGCTCAAGTTCAGAGAGGCTGAGTAAATGGTGTCTGAGCCCTCGCAGACCACCTCACAATAGCTCAGGTCCGAAGCTCTTTCTAGGATGACGTACTGTCTTTCAGAGAGAAGGCTCACGCCTGACCCTTTGGGACACTGATGTCACAACTGACGCTCATTCCCATCCCTCCTCGTGTGTTTTTCCTTCGCTGGAGCCTTGGAAGTCCAGGGGCAGTTTCGTAGGTGCAGTGACCTGTGCTTCTCTGCCTTCCAGCTCCAGTCGCTGCAGTCCGAGCTCCAGTTCAAAGACGCAGAGATGAACGAACTGAGGACCAAGCTTCAAAGCAGTGAGCGAGCAAACAAACTGGCTGTTCCCTGCACCTCCCACGGCAGGTAACCACAGCGCCGGAGGGAGAGTTCGGTCTGGCGTTGTTCGGTGAAAAGTCTGAAGAACACAAAGGCTAGTCCTGAAGGAGGCCGTGCAGCCTCTGCCGTGGCCTGGGTCCCCTCTTTGAAGGCCTCGGGGCCGGGCTGGATGGAGCCCGAATGGTGCGGGGCGTCACAGCGTGAAAGCCCCGCACGCTGGGTGTCTCCCTCTGCGCGGGGCTTTATCAACACCACTGCCGGTCTAGGAAAGGCCAGCAGGATCTCTCCGAACTTTTGGGGTGGGCCAGTCTTCATTTTTATGTAATTTATTTAAAGATTTTATTTATTTATTTTTAGAGCTAGGGGGAGGGAGGGAGAAAGAGCGGGAGAGAAACATCAGTGTGAGAGAGACATCGATCAGGTGCCTCTACGGCCCTAACCGGGGACCTGGCCCACAGCCCAGGCGTGTGCCTGACCGGGAATTGTACTGACGGCCTTTTGGTTCACAGGCTGGCATTCAGTCCACCGAGCCGCCCCAGCCAGGGCTGTAATTTGTTTTAAATAACTGACTTTGCCCCAAGCTTAAGTATAATTCAGCCCCAGCCACTTGGAATACTTGTTCTCATTCACTGCCCTGGACCTGTGTCCAGCGGCCCCTGCTTTTGCTGCAGATGTGAGGGACTCGTGCAGGGCCAGCGTCCTGCTCCCTGCCTGCCAGAAGGGTCTGGCACGGCGTCGGGATCAGCTTGGAAGTTCGAATAGGGTGGGTCAGGGCGTCTTTTTCCAGTCTTGAGCATTCTGCTGCCTTTGCTCCTAACGGGCAGGGTGTGAACTGAACTCCTGCCTTGCGTAGTCCCGGTGAGACGGGAGAGCAGAGGGGTCCACCCTCACCTCTTCGCGCGGACGGCCTCGGTGTGGCCTGGTCTGGTCCGCGACCTCAGGCCGCCTCTCCAGCCTCAGTTCCGTGGCGCTGAGGAGCTAGCTCCGTTTTCAAGTTGCGAGACACCACGCCTTTTAATTGGCCCTCTTTCTACCGAAAATCTTGTCATTAAAAAACAGGTCGTTCCACACTGAAAACATGTTCTGGTGGAATTAGAAATAGTAATGGAATTGTGGCCAGTATTTTTGAGTGATTAGAAAAATATGGAAATAAATGAAAGATTTTTTTCAGCACTTTGGGCCAAGATGCCTTGAATTGTTTTTTCTGCTTTGCATTTTAATTACTGCATTGCTAAGTCTTACTACATTTTTTTTAAACTGGTTAAGGTAACACTGGTTAATAATGTTACACGGATCTTAGGTGTGCAGCTGTAACGCCACGTCTGTGCACCCACTGTGCGCTCGCCACCCAAAGTCAAGTCTCCTTCTGTCACTGCGTATCTGACTCCTGCACCCGCTGCTTTCCCCCACCCCCTTCCTCTTGGCGACCACCGTACTGCTGTCCATCTGTGCGTTTGTTTTTGGAGTGAAGTCACGTGGTTCTCCTTTTTCGTCTGACTTGTTTCACTTAGCATAATGCTCTCCAGATCCATCTGTGTTGTCGTAAATGGCGATACTTCATTGTTGTTTTTTTGTGAAAATGCCTTGGCCTTTATACCGCCGTCCTGACAAAGAGTGACAGTTGTGTAGCAGGTAAAATCTTGGGTCAAATCACCTAGGTATGAAATGTTTAAAGCTTGTCAGGAGGTTTATAACCAGGTACTGTAAGTGGTTTTGGCAGAATCATGCCTTTGCCTTCACGGTTGACTGTTTCCAGCCCTAGGAAAAGCCCCTCTGTGGTTCCAAAGCCAGAAGCATGTTCTCCGCAGCTGGGAAAGCCATCTTTCCCTACAAAGGAGTCTTTCAGCGCCAACACCTCCCTCCCCCAGCCCTGCCAGACGGAGCCAGCATGCAAGGCGCTGGCGGGCAGAGAGGGTAAGTCAGCCTGCCCGTCATCTGTTGCTGTGCAACAGCTCACCCACGCTAGTGGCTTCCAACAGCCCGTATTTATTTTCTCCTCACGTCTGTGGGCCACCGGCTCTGACGGGGCACAGTGGGAGTGGTTTGTTCCCGATATGTCTGTGCTTTTGTGCTCCAGTGTTGATTCACGTTTTATCCAGTTTCAGAAAATAAGACCCACAGTCTGGGAGGTGACCCCGTAAAGCAAGAAGAGTCCCCCAAAAAATGTCTTGTTGACAGCCTGATGCAGACATCGAACACTCGAGGTACCGGCATCCCCGCTCCTTCTGCAGGAGGCGTGCCCGGCTCCCATTATCCTCTGTGATGCTGCCCGTGTCCTCGGCCAGTGCCCGCGGAGCCGTCCACGGCTCTGGGCACCAGTGCCCCAGGCAGCCCTTTCCAGGGTCCAGGGAAGTCGTAGTTGTGACCCAAACAGAAGGCTGTAAAATGGAGGGGCCGAGCAGGTGTGTCCCAGAGCCTTGTACCCACAGGTGTCTCAGTGGGGCTCAGTGGCAGCTTAGAGGACAGCTGGCGTCCAAGGAACGCCCACTTTTTCCTTCTGAGGCCACAGAAAGCCCCCCCCACATCAGAACCTTCTAGAGGCACCTTGTTCTTTGCAGGTTCCATCTTGATAAACCTTCTTCTGCAGCAGCCTTTGACCCCGGGGTCATCTGTCGGGCTGTGTCACCTCCTGAGCAGCGGCTCTGAGGCTCCCGCCGGCACCCTCTCGCAGCCACTGGGGTTCGGCAGGTAAGCGGGAGGCTCCTAAGAAGCCTGTTCAGGGCCTGGCTGGCGTGGCTCAGTGGATTGAGCGCGGGCTGCGAACCAAAGTGTCGCAGGTTCGATTCCCAGTCAGGGCACATGCCTGGGTTGCAGGCCATGACCCCCAGCAACTGCACATTGATGTTTCTATCTCCCTCCCTTCCCTCTCTAAAAATAAAATAAATAAAATCTTTTTTTAAAAAAGCCTGTTCAGAAAGAAGTCTCCAGGAAGTGGGCCTCCTTCTGGGACTGGGCCCGCCCGGGAGGCCTGCGCGCCGGGCGGGGTGACTGGAGAGTGTGGTGGGCAGGCTGTCTGGCGCCCCCCACCTTATCGCCACCTCACGCCTGTGTGTCTTCTCTCATGTCTGCTGCCAGCACCTTGCCTGGGATTTCAAGCCTCAGGACCACCGGATCTCGCGATGGGCCGTTCCCCGTCTCGGCCCTGAAAGAGGCGCAGAACCTGGCACTTACTGGACTGAGCATGATCGCCAGGGACGAAGGCTCGTGCGACAGGGACCCGGCGGAGGGCGGCAGAAGGGCCTTCCCACTCTGCCGGTTTCCCGGGGCCGTGCACCTCCTGCCGCTGCTGCAGCTCTTCATCGGCGTTCACTGCCGGGCTCTGCAGGACTCGTCGCTGTCGGTCGCCAAGAGAAGCGGGGCCCCTGGGGACTCACCAGCCCGCGCCTCCCGCGTGAGCCCCAGGGCAGAGGCCAGCGCCGAGGACGCGCTGTGCCAGCTGGAGCCCCTCTGTGTGGCCTCGCTGAGCGTCCTGCGGCACCTGGTGTGCCACAGCGGGGCTGTCGTCCGCCTGATGCTGTCGGGAGTGGGGGCTGGTTCCGCTGCCGCCGGCGAGGGAGACCCCAGCCTGGCTTGCCCTGGGGCCGGGGCGTCAGATCCCGGGGGGCTTGCCGACCGCCAAGGCCAGCATCCGCTGCTGAAGATGCTTCTCTGCCTGCTAACCTTGTCTTCTGCAACACCGGGTCACCTTCAGGCCCATGTCCTCAGCCAGTGCCTTCAGGTGTTGGTGAAATCAGCTGAAAACTCTCCCTTGGACCTCTTGCCCAGGTATAATGCCGCCAGGGGGTCACGGTTCTTTGTGGCCTTACCTGACCTCTTGAGGCTCCTCCTGTGGCCCTGTACTTTGCTCGTATCCTGACATATCTATACTGCTCAGCTCTGAGCCTTGGTTTAGGTCCTGAGGCTTTGTTCAGGGAGTTCTGACGTGACGGGAAGTGAGACAGGTCCTGGGGGATGAGGGAGGTGGTGCATTGGGCTTCATTCTGCCTCTGTCCGGCAGGGAAGCAGAGGACACATGCGGCCAGAGAAGGCGGTTAGCCGCGGCGGGAGAGTGTCCTGCTCCCGGACACAGGCTGAGCTAGGAGGCCTGTGAGCCTGGGCCATGGGTCAGGTGAAGACCACAGGTCACAGCCTCATTTCGGTTCGGTGGGGTTCCCCGAGGCACCAGAGGGTCTGCAGCCCCCCCGAGAGCCAGCTATGCTGGGAGCCCGCCTGTTGTCGGGCCCGACTCCGGCCTGGGCCACAGGCTGGCTGCTCTGACAGTCGTCGGGAGTGGTGGCGAAGCTCACCTGGCTCAGGTCGCTGTTGTCCTCGGTCCCTGACTCGGGGTCCCAGAGCCTCGCCCGGCCCATCCTCTCACCCAGTGACCCCATCTCCTCTGCCCCACCAAGAGGCCAGGTCCGATGTTGGGGTGCCTCTCCTGGCTGCGCGTATGTCCGCCTCTCTTAGCTCAGACACCTGATTCTAAAACTCTCCCAGACCCGGTTTCCCCCGAATACATTGCGGCTGGTGCAGTCCACCCTGAAGGCGGTGCCCGACCCGGCACTGCAGCCGGTGCTGCAGCGCGGTGTGGGCAGCTCGCGGGGCGCAGGGCTGTCGCCCAGGCGCCAGGATGGGGCCCAGCCCCGTGGCAGGTTGCTCGTTCCACATTTGTTGCGTGAATGAAGACCGGGAACCACCTTCTCACCATTTCCCTGGGTCGATACACCATCATTCCATTCCCGTTCACCGTTTCCATGGGACACCGGAAAGCCATTTGCGGGCTCTCACCGCAGGCCAGACAGACGCCTTCTGCTCACTGGCTCGTGTGACGCCCTCGGCCGTCCCCACACACAGCCCTGCCCCGAGCACTTGGCACCTGCTGAGGGACAGCCCCGCTGGGGGCAGGGAGCTGGGTCTGGGGTCCCAGAGGGAGCTTGCTGGGGGCTTTCAGAGCAGTCTCCTGAGCCACCGCTTTTTTTTTTTTAAGATTTTATTTATTTTCACTGAGGGGAAGGGAGAAAGAGAGGGAGAGAAACATTCATGTGTGGTTGCCTCTTGCACTCCCCCACTGGGGACCTGGCCCGCAACCCAGGCGTGTGCCCCGACTGGGAATCAAACCGGCAACCTTTCAGTTCACGGGCTGGCACCCAATCCACTGAGCCACACCAGCCAGGGCGAGCCACTGCTCTGATCGCTGTCTGGCACCACCTCCCGCTCAGTGTTCCTCCTCCGAATTCCTTCGGGCTGGCAAGCTGAGCCCCACCACTGCGCAGCTTCCACTTGACCTTGGCATCAAAGCTGGAGATGGGTGCTACCCAGGCTCTAAGCCATGTGCGAGGCTGACAGGCTGCGGCGGCGTTAAGGGCTCCGTTGCCCACCTGGGCTTGAGGGCAGGTGACCCCAGACCCTTGTCTCTGTCTTCCTGCTGCGGCTGCTGCAGCACTGAGCCCAGGTCGTTCCCCAGGTGCCAGGGTGGCAGGGGCCTTCGGGCAGATAGGTCTCATTCCCACCCCACCCAGAGCAGTGCGTTCGCTGCTAAAAAAAAAAATCAGAAAGGAGAGCCTGGTGTTATCCAAGACAATTGGAACCCTGGCCTGCGTGGCTCAGTTGGTTGGAGCGTTGTCCCATGAACCGAAAGGTCGCAGGTTTGATTCCCGGCCAGGACACGTCCCTGGGTTGCAGGCTCGCTCCCTGCTCAGGAGGTCCCTGTGTGCAAGGGGCAGCTGACCCGTGTTTCTCACATCGATGCTTCTCCCTTCCTCCCCCTCTCTGAAGTCAGGGAGCATGTCCTCGGGTGAGGATTAAAGAGAGAAATTGGAAACCGCCGTGTTGTATGTAAAGACGGATTTCACATGCAGGTTGTTTCAGGGACCCTGGTGGACGGACCAGTTGGGGGCTTTTTCTAACAACCAGGGCAAATCCCAGTTTCCCGTCAGGTGGCGCACTCCCTGGCGAGTGGAAATACGCTCCCGAATGAGTTTGCCCCGAACAGGGGGACCTTGCTCCCTCGTGCACCCTGAGGGGTGTCCCTCACTCTCGGCGGGCGCCGTGTGCTGAGACGCTGCAGGCGTGGGCGGGCGCACACGTGTAGGGTGGCCTCCCCACCACACGGCTGTACAGGCTGGGCAAACAGCAGTGGCTGTCTTGGCACTTGGTTCCTTGGTGACAGGGGTCCCTTTGGCCTGACACCTGGGGGAGGGTGCGCCCAGAGCCCCTCCCCCGTGCTCACCCCAAGCGCACCCCCTCTCACCCTTGCCACAAGAGGGGCTGGCGTGTCCTAGCAAGTGGAGGAGACGGTCTCCCTTGCTCAGTGAGTGGTCTCACGCGACCAGCCACAGCCCAGTCCATGTCTGTCGCTCCCGGAGCCTGGCCAGTCCTTTGGGAGGGCACAGGGGACATTTCTCTCCCCCGACCTACCTCCGTATTTGGGAGCCGAGGCAGGAAGGAGCCCAGGAGCAGTGTGGAGGCCAGGTACCCCCATCCTCAGAGGTGGCCGCCAGGTACTAGGTGGCACTGTGCCAGGTGAGGCTCTGTCCTCTCTGAGCCACAGCAGGCAAAGGCGGTGCCCACTCGTTCTTGTAAAAGTGGGTGGCAGTCGGCTGCCATGTGAACCCAGTTTGCCTGAACCATGTCCCTTCTTCGGCCGGCCGGCCGGCCTGAATTCCCTGCCCCCTGCAGTGAGAAGGGGGGTCACAGCCCTCTGGGCCCCTGTGTTTCAGGCTCCGGAGTGTGTTCCCCGTGCTACCGCGCTGCCTTAGCCCAGAGACACCTCTGCCCAGCGTGCTGCTCACCGTGCAGCTCCTGTCCCTCCTGGTGGACCACGAGGAGCTCGTGCCTCAGCTCTGCTCCCACTCGGGTAAAGCCGGGCGGGGGCAGGTGTCGGGACTACTCCGGGAGGGTGGTGGGAAGGGTGGCGGCAGGGACAGGTCAGGGCCCCCCGAGGGCTTCTGCAGCTTGCACCGGGCGCCCCCGAGTGAGAGGTGGGGTGCTCTTTTCAGAGGGGTGCCTCCTCCTGCTGCTGTACATGTACATCACCTCGAGGCCTGACAGAGCGGCCTCGGACAGACAGTGGCTGCAACTGGAACAGGAGGTGAGAACGCCAGAGCCCCCGAGTGGACTCTTCGCCGCCCCGCCCCTCGGAGCCACCTTTCCCTCCTTCCTCTGGGACAGAGGGAGCTTTAATTAATTCTGGTAGCAAGAGTTTACCTAGCCCTTAACAGGTAAATGTGTTTGGGTGGCCACACACTACACAGATGGGATAAGGTGGACCTGGGGTGCCTGGGACTTGGCAGAGCTGCCTGATCACAGAACCGACCTTGGCTTTGGGGCCTGGGGACGCGTGGGTTGTTGGTGAGACACAGGTGTTGGTCCTCAGTGGGGTGTGTGAAGCCCCCCCACCTCTTGAAGCCCACTCGTGCAGCAGGCAGCTGGAGCTCTTGTAGAAGCCGGAGGGGGGCCTACTGTGCTCAGCGCCTTGTCCTGGAACAGTCTGCCCCTGTTCTAGGCCGTGTGGCTCCTGGCTAAGCTGGGTGTGCAGAGCCCCTCGTCCCCGGTCACCGGCTCCAACTGCCAGTGCAACGTGGAGGTGAGTGCCCGGGGGCGGGCAGGGGGCGCGGTGGGGCGGGCCTGTGGGTGGGTGAGGTGGCCCAGTGCAAGGACCCGTGCTGCTTCTGACCCTAGTGCCACCATTCATTCAAAACCCTCCTCACTTGGGGCGGCTGGGAGAGGGGCTGCCCAGCTGGGCATGTGGTTGGGGTGCAGGAACCGTGGGACCTGACCCCGCCCCCCCGCCCCCCCCCCAGGTGGTCAGAGTGCTCACCGTGGTGCTGCACAGGCAGTGGCTGACGGTGCGGAGGGCGGGCCGGGCGCCCGGGACCGAGCAGCGGCAGCGGACAGTGCGCTGTCTGAGGGACGCCGTGCTGCTGCTGCACGGCCTGTCCCAGAAGGACAAGCTCTTCGCCGTGCACTGCGTGGAGGTGCTGCACCAGTACGACCAGGTGATGCCAGGGGTCAGCACGCTGATTCGGGGGCTTCCGGACGTGACCGACTGCGAAGGTGAGCGGGTGGGAGGCCCCCGCCCTGCCCCTGCCCCCCTGTGGGGCTCTCCCTGAAGTTCAAGGACCAGGCAGACTTGCTGGCCTGCCGCCCCCCACCCTCCCCAACCTGGGCGGGCACTGGGTTCCTCCTCTCCTCTCCCTGCTCCTGGTCTCTGAGCGGGCCCAGCTGCCTTCCGCTCCTGTCTGTTGGGCGGCCCAGCAGAGCCTCGGTTTTGCCAGAAATATCCCTGTCTGAATTGCCTCTGCGTCCCTTCGCTTGCGGTAGCTGAGGGAGCAGGGCCTGGGCGTGGGAGGGACTGGTTAGTTACTGCGAGTGTGGGGGAGGGGAGGGAGGCCGTGCCCCAGTCCCCAGCACTCCGGGCCCTCACCACCCCATCCTCTTCTGCCCTGCCTCAGAGGCCGCCCTGGATGACCTCTGTGCGGCGGAGACCGAGGCGGACGACCCCGAGATGGACTGCGGCTGAGGTCCGTGAGCACCGAGCCACGTGGTGGCGCCAGCCCCCCTGCCTGCCTCCCCCCAGAGCCCATTAAAAGCAGTGACCGGCTGTTTGAGAACGCGCCAGCCTCCTTGTGTCGCCGAGTCCGCGCTGCGCTGGCCCGCGGAGTGGGCGGGGTGGAACCGAGCGCGGCCCAGGGAAGGCTGCGATCCCGCTTCCCGATCCTTCTCTCCCCGGTTCTGGCTGGGGCGGAGACCAGTCCCCATGGTGACGGGTCTGCCTGGGGGAAGGAGCCCTGCCCTGCCGGTGGAATTGTCCTGAGTCATCGCTTTGGGCCGGGGCCATGGGAAGGAACCATTGTGTGGCCGGGAAGGAAGCAGCCCCCAGGCCCAGCGCCGAACCAGGGAGTCCTGGGGGAGCGGGGCCAAGGGGTCTGTGCTGAGCAGGCCATGGCGGGGCCCCCCGCAGGCTCGAGCCCTGCAGGCAGCCTTCCCCGATAGCCCGGGCGCCCCGGCCCTCGCCTCCCCGCGGGCTCTCCCTGGCGTGAGGGCCCTGCCGCACCGTGCCAGCCGGCGGGCCACAGCTGCCACTCCGAGGCCTGTGGGGAGTCCCAGCGGGGGGGGGGGGGGGGTGTTGGGGAGGGATGGGTGTTGGCAGGAGAGGGCCCCGGCCGGCTGACTTAGCAGGGCGGGCCTAACTCTCACCAGCCCGGTAGGCGGGCTCAGGCTGAGTTTCACTTCCCACCTCTGGGGCCAGCAGCAAGATCCAGCTGGTGTGCGCGGCCCGAGTCCTTGCTGCCTGCCTGCTGCTTGGTAAGTGAGGACCCCCCGAGGGACTGGGCAGGGTGGGGAGGCCAAGGGTCTGGCCCACTACCCCCAGACTAAGTGGGCACCGGGGGAAGAACCCAACCTCCCCTAGAGGGTGCCGATACCACTAAGGAAGCCACACCCTCCCTGGCTTCCTGCCCTGAAAATGGGTCCTAAAGATCACCAGCAGTGCCTACCTGTGCCATGAGGGCCAGAGGTGTGCCCCTGCCCACCCCCCCCCACCCTGCCTTAGGTCTTGTCGGGGGGCACTCACACACCCCCTCTGCGGGCTCCTCCCCAGGCGCGGTGGCGGGCGCCATGTGCTCGCAGGCCCTGCCCCGGGGGCCCATGCAGACCCTCGTCTTCCTGGACCTGGAGGCCACCGGACTGCCCTCCTCCCAGCCCAAGATCACAGAGCTGTGCCTGCTGGCCGTCCACAGGTGTGCGCTGGAGGGCCCCCCGGCCCTCCGGGGGCCTCCCCCCGCGGTGCCCCCGCCACCCCGCGTGGTGGACAAGCTCTCCCTGTGCGTGGCTCCCGGGAAGGCCTGCAGCCCTGCGGCCAGCGAGATCACCGGCCTGAGCACGGCCGCGCTGGCGGCGCACGGGCGTCAGCACTTCGACGCCGACCTGGCCAACCTGCTCCTGGCCTTCCTGCAGCGCCAGCCACAGCCCTGGTGCCTGGTGGCTCACAACGGTGACCGCTACGACTTCCCCCTGCTCCTGGCAGAGCTGGCTGCGCTGGGCGTGGCCAGCGCTCTGGACGACGCCTTCTGCGTGGATAGCATCGCTGCCCTGAAGGCCCTGGAGCAGGCCGGCAGCCCCCCGCAGCAAGGCCCGTGGAAGAGCTACAGCCTGGGCAGCATCTACACACGCCTGTACGGACAGGCCCCGCCGGACTCGCACACGGCCGAGGGGGACGTCCTGGCCCTGCTCAGCATCTGCCAGTGGAGGCCGCGGGCCCTGCTGCAGTGGGTGGACACCCACGCCAGGCCCTTCAGCGCCGTCAAGCCCATGTACGGGGTCACAGCCTCTACTGAAGCCAACTCAAGGTCATCTGCCACAGCCACGGCACACCTGGCCAGAGCCAGGGACACCAGCCCCAAACTTGGGGGGAGCAAGAGGTCCAAGGTCCTTTCTCCAGTGAACGACCCTGAATCCTCACCCGCGGAGGGACTGCTGGCCCCACTGGGCCTGCTGGCCTTGGTGACCGTGGCAGTGGCCACACTGTATGGGCTGTCCCTGGCCACACCTGGGCAGTAGGCTGCAGAGGAGAGTCTGACCAATAAAGAGCCCGCAGCACTGAGCACTCTCTCGCCTCTGCCTTCCTTGGCGGCCTTGGAGCCCCCCCGCACCTCTGCCCACACTCAGCACCTGGGCGGGGGCACAGAGGGGGCAGCCCTTGTCCCCCCGTCCCTCCCCCTCCCCAGCAGGACGACCAGCCGTCTGAGCCCTACACGAGTAGGGTAGACCCGGAACTCCCAGTGCTGGACGGCGGTGGTGCCCGGCCGGCCGGCCGCCCGGTGCCTCCAGCCAAGGCTCTGCAGAAGCGGGGCAGCTCCAAAAGTCCGAGTTTATTGTAAACAGAGGCACAGACCCAGGACTCAGACACACATTGACAGGTACAGAGCTGAGGCAGATCTGGCGAGACAGTAACAGAGGGACGGAGGAACACCGAGGTATCCGTGTCCGGGCCAGCAGCCACCGGGGCCCCCTGCCATCTTTGGTCCAGGTGGCCGCGCTGCGAGGCCAGGACGGACGGGAGCACAGAGCTGGCTGCGCCGAGGCTGGCCCGAGGGAGGCAGGGACTGTCGGGGTTGGACGGTCCCTCCCCGTGCGCCCACCTCCCCCCGGGACCCCGGGCTTAGGCCTCGGAGCAGCTACCTCACACACTTTAGAGGAGAAAACAGGCAACATGTTTGGCTGAAAGTAAAACAAAAACACTGCAGGGAGGACACCTGAGTGTGCAGGTGGACAGAGGCCACCCTGCCACCTGTTGGGAGGGGGCCAGAGCCACGTGATGTGAGCCTCCAGGCGGTCCCAGGAAGGCCGCAGGAGTAGTCCAGGCGCACAGCTGGTGGGCGGGCGGGGCGTTCTGATGTCAGAAGTGCCCCCCACTGGGCGCACGCGACATGGGCTCCGAGGATCAGAACCCGGCTCAGCCGGGCTCGGGCCCCGCCCGCTCCCCTGCATCACAGCTCCAGTTCTTCAAAGGGACGCACAGAACTGCGCCATCCCAGCAGGACAAGTCCCGCCTGGTCTCCCTGGGGCGGCCTGGCCACGAACCCCCGCCCCGTTCTTTGCATTTCGTTTGAGATTTCAAGGAAGCTTCATTTGAAGTGAGGAAGAGAACAAGAGAATGGTCCCAGCAACTCTGGCAGGATTGTCCCCACCTTGTCAGCATCACGAGTGCACAAACACCACACACACATCCTGCACGGGGAGAAAAGGGCCGTGCCTGCAGAGCCGTGTACACACACACACACACACACACACACACACACGACGCATCAAGTGGCAACCGGAGATGCAGGTGTGCGCTCAGTAGGCGGCCTTTGGGGGGTCCATGTACGCCGGGTTGTAAGGAGGCTGGCTGGGGGGGTAGGGTGTGGCTGCGCCTCCTGCAAAGAGAGGGGACCGTGGTTGGCTGAGGGCGCCGCGGGAGCTCTGGGGTCAGGGCGGCTCAGAGTGGGCGGCGGCGGTACTCACCAGCCAGCGTCTCGTGGTAGGCTGGTGGGCCCGTGGGCTGGGCCGGGTAGGGCGGTGGGTACTGCGTCGGGTAGGGTGCTGCCACCATCCCTGGCTGGGGGGCGATGGGCTGGTAGCCCTGGTACGACGGCCCCGGGTAGGTGGGCGGTACGCTTGGAGGCTGAGGGTAGGGGGCGTGCACCACGGTGGTGGACGTGGTGGTGGTCACGACCGCTGCAAACACAACCCCAGTCAGGACCCTCAGGCTTGCCACCCCTCCCCGCAGCTCAGCCAAACCAGGGCCCTGGGCAGCTCCCGGGCCACCCCGGGCCCTGCACCACGGTGGGTGGGTGGGGCGGGCGTGCTTACGGCGAGGCCGGCGGCACATCTTGTACAGACAGCAGCAGGAGCAGGTGAAGCAGGCGATGATGGTGACGATGAAGAGCACGAAGATGGTCACGCCGACCGCAACAGTAGCCCCGAACCTGCCACAGAGCCGGTCGTGACCGGGGGCCTCTCACCCCTAGCCACGACCAGCAGTCCGCAGCCCAGCCACCCCTGGGGGCTCCCCTCTTGCGGGAACCACTCTGGGCAACACAGATAGAGGAACTCTCGGGGTATCCTGTTCCGGCCTCAGTTTCCTCAAGGGGAAAATGGGGTTGCGAATCCATATAAAGCACCCCACCAGGGGTCTGCGCCCCTTGCCCCACCCTCAAGGGCATGGGGGGGAGTCTTTCTGCGCCTCTCCACCACCCACACCTCTCGTCCACCCACCAACTGAAGAGCAAACAGTCATCGAGCAGGTGCCACGAGCCAGGCACTGCAGTCTGAGCCAAAAACTCGGCGAGGCGCGAGACAGACCATGGCCTCCGGGAGCCCGAGGAGCCCCGGAGGAGGGGGCAGATGTTGGAGGTGATGCCTCGGGAAGGCCAGGGGACGAGGATGGGGAGGAGACCCAGGGGAGCAGAGGCCGGCGTGCCCAGAGCGGCGAGGACAGGAATGCAGTGCACCCGGCCGGGCCGGCTCCCAGTCCAGGGCAGGGCTGTCCCCCACGTGACTGCAGCCTGCTGGGCACCAGCACCGTGCCAGGTGTCCACCTGCACCCCTGGGCTCCACAGGTGGGAAAACCAAGAGCCAAAGCCAAGAGCAAAACCAAGACGCCGTGGCGGGTGAGCTGAAGGCGGTCTGCTCTCTGGAAGAGGAGGCCTCCCCGCCTGACCCCGTCCCTCAGCCAGGACCACGGCAGTGGGGGCCCTGGGCCAGCTCACCAACACTGTCTCTCCAGGACGGACAGAGCCTCCCCCCCCCCCCCCCCCAGCTATCCTCCCCTGCCTCCAGAGGTCAAACTCGACTCTGATAACAGGCAGATGCTCAGGAAGTGCACCGAGCCCAGGAAAACCCAGGAGGAGCCTGGTGAGCCTCCCCAGCCTCGGGGGGTGGGGGGTACAGGGTTTGGGGGGGGGTGGACCCTACCCTGGGGGGCTGAGGAGGGGCTTCCACAGCCCACACAGGTAGCACCTCTGCAGGGCCCTGCGCCACAGCCTAGGGACAGCCTAGGGACAGTCGAAGGACAGACCCTTCACACTGCAGACCGAGACACCCAAGCACGTTTGCAAGACAGGATGTCAGTCCTGCCCAAGCCCTCACCTGCCCCTCCCTCGGCCACAGGCTCCTCCCAGACCCTCCGCGGACAGGGAAAGGGAAAACACACGTTCACAGCAACCAGTGACCTGAGACACGTGAGTGCAGGCCCATCACCGTCAGTCTCCCCGGCAGTCCCCCCCCCACCCCGGCTCTCTCATGCAGCATGGCGCCCAAGCTCACCCCATGTTAGCCTCCACCTTTACTCAGGGTCTTCCTGTCCCAGACTGCTCTCTTTCCATCACGGCCACTCGGTTTCAATCTCCTCCCATTTCAGAGAAAAGGAAAGCACTCTCCCCCTCAGCCCTCCCCTAGCTTGACGTCAGTGGCAGGAAGGACAGACACAGGATCTTCTTAAAGACACAGCACAGGTGTTAACTGGTCACACGGCAACAATGGGCAGGGCTCGCTTAAGGCCAAGAGCAGCCTTTTACTAAAGAAGTCATGTGCCCAGGGAGACTGCCCAGCATGACCTGCCCACAGTTAGGAATTCAGGACCAGACCACCCCATGAGGTGAGGTGACTTTCCACAGAGCCCCCTTTTTTTTCCACCCACAGGTTTTTGGGTATAACCGGCAGTCCAGCATACCTTCTACCAGGGAGACGTACAGCTCAGAGGACCCACACCTAAGACAGATACAGCTAAAATATGGGTGACCGCCGACCTCCTGGGGTTCCTGGGCTTCGTGGGATGCCAGGGTCAAAGGGCAAAACGGGCCCCAGAGGGGAGCAAGAACCACCTGGATTCCACAGCAATCAGGGCACAAATGAGGTGACTGGGGGGGAAGGCTGCTTCTCCGGACAGATGAATGGGGGGTCCCGGTCGCGAGGTATTAACAAAAAAGATTTCTGTAACTTATGAATGACCATTAGAAAGACATACCAGTGTGACCAGTGTCACACTTCTTTACCTATGACGCCCATGAGCTAATAGTTGTCTCACTGCAATTTAAAACCACTCGACTTCTTTGGAGTCGTGTACTGAGAATGCTTACGGGTTAGAAACCAACTCCCGGGATATTAAAAGGAGAAAAAAAGGACAGGGAGCGAGCAGCTCAGGCGCCCGGGCCCCAGCTGCTCGACCCGCCCGGGCGGCGGGGGGCCCGGGAGTGGGGAGGGGGCCAGGCCTGGCCGGCCCGGGCTGGCCTCTCCGACGGCCCGTCACCCGCCTCCATGGGCTCCTTCAGCTACCTCAGCGCCCTGCCACCTGCGGGCTCCGATCACATCCCTCCCTTCTCAAAGGCCCGCTGTGGCTCCTGCAGCTCTTGGCCCAGAAGTCCGCTCGGTCGCTTGCCACACTGTGTGTGTGTGCGCGTGTGTGTGTCATATATTATAGTTCCTAGTAAAAGGGGGAGGGAGTCAGGACTTGTCTCACCAGAGAGTGAAACTTGCAACGAGGCAGATTTTAACCTTTCAAGTGTAAATAACATAGACCCCCTCGTGTGGTCGGGGACTCCCACCCGCCCTGCTTAGCCCTGCAGCCACACTGCCCTCCCTCCCAGCACCACCCTGGGGCCTCGGGGCCTTGGTGCGAGCAGTGCCTCCTGCCCCGCCCACCCCTCTTCCTCCCGCCCCCACATCACTGATTCCTGTCTACCCTTCAGCCCTCAGCTCGAAACATCCCCTTCTCAGATGCGCTGCGCCATCGCTGTGTCTCCAGTGGCTGGCGCTGAGTAGGTGGTGGGTCAGTCCCTGACGGATGAGTGAATCCACGAGGGACCCCACAGCAGGGCCAGGCACGATGCCCCGAGGCAGGGCCGTGTCGGAGGGTGAGGGCACGGTGCGGCAGGGGCCGGCGGCCACAACAGGCCCCGCTTCTCGTGGAAGCCTGCCTCTGAGGGGGATGGGGGCCTCCCCGGGCTGGCACTCCCTCCCAGATTGAGGAGTCTGAAGGCCAAGTTCAGGAGGCAGAATGGAGTGGCCCGGAGGAGGCCAAAGACTCCCAATGCTCACATCAGAAAGGGCCATCTCTGGGTCTCTGGGGCTGGGACCCCCGCTCCCGCATGGTGCTGACAGGCGGCAGACCAGCTGTGACATGGCGTGCGCGAGGGTCTCGGAAAGGGCGCTGTGGGGGCTGGGAGTCAGCACAGGCTCACTGCACCCGCGCCCCACCTAATGGACCTCCCTCTCCGTCCCCTGTGCTATCAGAGGGCAGGGGGGACAGAGGGTCGCACGGCCTGCCCAGGCCCTATCGCCAGAGGTTCTACCATTCAAGTGCCAAAAACACACCAGTCCTGCCCTGGCTGGTGTGGCTCAGTGGACTGAGCACCGGCCTGTGAACCAGGTTCAATTCCCCGTCAGGGCACACGCCTGGGTCGCAGGCCGGGTCCCCAGTAGGGGGCGTGCGAGAGGCAGCCCCACACTGATGTTTCTCTCCCTCTTTCTCCCTCCCTTCCCCTCTCTCTAAAAATAAATGAATAAAAATGAATCTTTAAACACACACACACACACACACACACACACACACACACACACACACCAGTCCTGCCAGACCATCCCACGAGTGGCCAAGAGCTAGAAAGGGACAATAAAATCAGGATCCAAAGGAACCGTCATGACAGGGGACCGAGGAAGCTGTGGGGGGGGACGAGCCAGCAGTGACCCCAGCCAGACCGCACGGACAGAGCAGGATGGGGCTCACCTGCCAGAGCTGGGGCTGAGGGGGCCGCGCACAAGCCCAGTGCTGAGCCCAGCGCCAAGCCCAGCACGGCCGCACTCCAGGAAGCAGTGCCCGCTTGGAGGAGGGCCCCACCCATGCCGCCGTGCCAGGCAGACGCGGGCTCACCTGCATCCCTGTGCTCTGACCGGGCGCCTCGTTCTTGGGGACCCAACGGAATCACCCAGAGGGAGAGCCGAGGGCAAGATCCAAGAACGGAGCGGGGGAGGGGGCTGTGGTGGGGAGGGGGGCCGAGCTGGCGCAGGTCCCTGGCATCGAGCGGTCTCTCCCACATCAGGGTTTGCCCAGAGCTCTCAGCCGGGCCCAGGCAGTGGGGCCTGGACCTACCACAGCGCCAGCGCCGCAGCGGACAGACAGCAGTGCCCTTGGCCAGGGGCAGCGCACAGATGCCCACCCAAGGGGGCACCTCCTTACGACCCCGGACAGGTGGCCACCTGAGAGCATTCACAGAAGTGACACTGACTGTCCCTCCACCCTCCAGAAACCTGCGCCTCCAGCCCTGAGGGTGTATAAGGCAGGTGCTGCAGGGCCCCTGGGGCCGGGCTTAGGAAGTTTAGGAGACTGGGGTGCTCCCTGGCCCCCTAAAAGGGTGGCCCTGACATAGTAACCATGACCCACAGACCTGCACATCACCAGGGGTCTCAGCATCCGGGCCCCACCGCTGCTGCCCCATCCCCACACACCGGGCACCGCCAGCACCGCCGCATCAGAATGTCACCACGAGCGCTTCCCACCACCGTACGCTGCCTGTCGGCCCCCCGGTCACGTGCCCCATTGCCCCACCCCCACCAGCCTCTCCACCCCCACCACGTACTCCTGCCCCCTCACCGTGCGCTCACCACCCTCCACCATCGCATCTCCCCCTCTGCTCACCCGCGCCCACACCCCCACCCCCCGCTCAGGTCACTACAAACCCCCACCCTTGGCCTTTCAAACGTCCGCCCCCAACCACAGTCACTCCCGTCCCCAGGGCAACAGGGACGCGACTTCCCAACATAAGGATGAAGGCCCTGGTGGTCAGACACGGCGACAGCTCTCCTGGGACCCCACCCCGGGGCCCCCCCATCCTGGTCCCCACAGCCTTCTCCCCAGCCCACCCAGGACCCGTCACCCCCGCCAGGAAGGTGCGCCCCGTTCGCTGGTCTCACTCACCCTGGCACGTCTCTGTCCATCATGTCCGAGTTAAAGCTCAGCGACGAGGCCAGCTGCTCCGCCTCCTCCAAACTCTTCCTGACACCAGCTAAACTGCAGGGGGGAAAACACCTCGCAGTTAACACAACCCCCCGCCCGGCACCCCAGGAGCAAGCGCAGCCTGCACTGGCGCACACACAGAACAGGCGCTGAGGCCCACTCAGTACCAGGCCGCGGAGGCAGCCCGGACGGCGTCCCGGGAACGGGCGCCACGCGCACCGACCACCAGGGCCTCCGGCGGCCATGTGCCAGCCCTTCCTCTCCAGAACGTGCACCCGGCACGTTCCTCGGGGCAGACCACAGGCGAGGCTACAGACCGGATCTCCACAGATCGGGAGAGACAGCTGTCACACGAAGTATCTTCTCCAGCCACGATGGGGTGAAGTTGGAAAGCAGCAGCAGAATATTACAATGCCGTATTAAAAAAACAAAGAAGAAATGCTAAAAAGAACTCGTGCCCTGGGAAACTAACATGGCAAAAACAACAACAAGAAACCTCCTGTGAGTTAACAAGAAATCATAAAGGAAATTAAGAAATACGAAAAATTGAATGATAACGAAGATACTCCAGATCAAAACTTGTGAAACTCAGCCCTGGCTGGTGTGGCTCAGTGGACTGAGTGCCGGCCTGTGAACTGAAAGGTCGCCGGTTCGATTCCCAGTCAGGGCATATGCCTGGACTGCAGACCAGGTCCCCAGTTGGGGACTTGCAAGAAGCAACCAATTGTTTCTCTTGCACATTAATGTTTCTCTCTCTCCCTCTAAAAGTAAATAAAAAAATTTTTTTAAATTTGTAAAACTCAACTAAAGGAGCTCTTAGAGGAAACATAACTTTTAATAGTGAAATGGTATTAAACTCAAGATAAAAAAACAATGCAACTCCCCCTCATCCCCACAAAGAAGGAAGCAAAAAAAGCAAAGAAAACAGCTGGAAACAATGAAAGAAGATTAACAAAACCAAAGCTGGTAGACCTCTGGCAAGACTAAACAAGAAAAGGAGAAATGATACCAAAAATGCAGGCGTTACAAAAGGGGAAATAACTATAGATGCGGCAATTTTAAAAATAATAACTCATTTGAATTCCACCTTGAACAAATTACCCATGAAAAGACATTTTTGAAACAAGCAGAGTCAGCTGAAGACGGACTCGTATTGAAAGCTATTAATGAACTACTGTCAATTGTGCAGAATGGGTTACTGATATAGTGGTTACATTTTTTAAAGGACTCATTTGTACTGATAAAGTGAACATTTACGGTCCAGACTGGCGTGGTTCAGTGGGCTGGGCATCATCCCCAAAACCAAACGGTCCCTGGATCGAGTCCCAGCCAGGGCACGTGCCTGGGTCGCCGGTCAGGCCCTGCGAGAGGCAACCGATCGATGTTTCTCTCCCTCTCTTCCTCTTTCCCTTCCCATCTCTCTAAAAAATAAATCATCTTTTTTTTTTTAAATGAACATTTAAGGAGACATGTTTATGACGTCTAGGATTTGTTTTCAAATAATCCAGAAAACGTAACAAGTGGCAGGAGGTGCGGGAACAGCAGTGTCACAGTGCTGGGGACCGTGGAAGTGGATGAGGGACACACGGAGTTATTACGATATGCTCTCTGATTTGGTACTTAGTTGCACATTTCCAAAATTAAATGTGTATCAAAATAAAGATTTTAGAGCATGAGGGCCGTGCTTCTGAAGGGCAACCCCTAGAGCTGAGGAGCAAATAAATATGTTTCAAGACCGATGGGCGGGCTCCAGCGAGCAAGGACACAGTGGGGTCTGCCACGCGGGGACCCCGGGGTGGGAGGGCTGGGAAGGCAGATCCACGGAGGGGAGCCCGGTGTCCGAGACTCCTTCTCCTGGGGGCACTCGCCGACTTCAGAGGAGAGCTGAGAGGCTGAGCAGAACTTCTGAAAGCTTCAGGTGGGAAAGATTAGGTACAGAGCCCCGGGGGTGGGGGGGAGGCCCTGGTGAATCCCGCTCAGCTGGGCCGAGACCTGAGACGCTGCAACCCGAGACACGGAAGGGGCCGAGCGGACGGCTCAGTTTCCCGTCGCCTCAGCCTCTGCGGTCAGGCAACCTGACCCCGAGCGCTAAAGGCCCTGACAAAAGCGGCACAAATGCACCTGGAGGAAATCCTAAGCTCCAAAGTTCTACAATCAGTTTATAAACACCCCGTCAGACACACACCCAGGCACTTTCGGGAACACCAGATTAGACACCACACACAGAAAACAGCAGAAATTACAGGCCATGGACTTGTCCACAGGGGCTTCCAATACTGAAGTTACCCGACATCGCCATTAAAATAACAGCACTTACACACCACTCGAGGAGATTAAAGGTCGAACAATTCAAGAGAACTTGCAATATAAGAAAAATACCCTGGCTGGTGTAGCTCAGTGGATTGAGCTCAGGCCTATGAACCAAAGGGTGGCCGGTTCAATTCCCAGACAGGGTACATGCCTGGGTTGTGGGCCAGGTCCCCAGAAGGGGGCGCCAAGAGGCAACCATACATTGATGTTTCTCTCCCTCCTTCCTCCTCTGTCTAAATTAAATAAATAAAATCTTTAAAATTGATTTTTAAAAAATTAAAATCTAGAACTAAAAAATAATACAGCAAATTAATCACTAAACACAGCTAAAGATATAATACATGAACTGGAGGTCAAAATAAATACATGTGGACCAAAGCCAAAAGACACAAAAAGTTGGTCGATGGAAATGCAGGAGACAGTAGGTGAAACATGGAACACAGTATACAAATGATCTTTTATAAAAGGACAGGAACGAGAAAATGGGCTAGAAGCAATTTTTTTAAAAGATTTTATTTATTTATTTTTAGAGAGAGGGTAAGGAAGGAAGAGACCAAGAGAAACATCAATGTGTGGTTGCCTCTAGTGCGCCCCCTACTGGGGACCCAGCCCACAATCCAGGCTGGTGCCCTGGACTGGGAATCGAACACGTGACCCTTTGCTTCACAGTCTGGCGCTCAATCCACTGAGCCACACCAGCCAGGGCAAGGAGAAATTTTTACAGAGATAATGGCTGCAAATTTTCCAAAGCTGATGAGAAACAAGCCAGTGATTCCAGCAGTACTGTAAATCTCAAGCAGCATAAATTCAAAGAAAACCACACCAAGGTACATCATAGTAAAACTGCTGAAAACCAAATTACAAAAGCAAAATCTTAAAAGTCGTCAGAGAAAAAGCACATTATTTACAAAGGAGCAATAATAAAACTGTCAGCTGATTTCCCATCAGGAACAACAGTCATCATCAGAAGACAATGGAATGAAAGCTTTAACATGCTGAAAGAAGCTGATAACTGCCAACCTAGAAATCTATAACCAGGAAAAATATCCTTTAAGAAGGAAGGTGAAGTAGACATTTTCAGCCCTGGCTTTTGTGGCTCAGTGGATTGGGCACTGGTCTACAAACCAAAAGGTTGCTGGCTCGATTCCTGGTCAGGCCACATGCCTGGGTTGCAGGCCAAGTTCCTAGTTGGGGGCACATGCACAAGAGGCAACCACACATTGATTTTTCTCTCCCTCTCCCTCCCCCTCCCTTCCCCTCTCTCTAAAAACAAATAAAATCTCAAAAAAAAAAGACATTTTTAGACAAACAAAAACCAAGAAAATTTGACACCAGCAGACCTGAATTAGGTAGAAGAAACATGAGTTCAAATGAAGCTTAAAGAGAGATAAGCGCCCTGGCTTGTGTAGCTCAGTAGATTGAGTGCCAGCCTGTGAACCAAAGGGTTGCAGGTTCAATTCCCAGTCAGGGCACACACCTGGCTTGCAGGCCCAGTGTCCAGTTGGGGGCACGTGCACAAGAGGAAACCACACATTGATGTTTCTCTCCTTCTCCTTCTCTCTCCCTCTTTCTAAAAATAAATAAATAAATCTTAAAAAAAAGAGGAAGAAGCATGATGAAATAGCAAAGCAGGCTCCCTCTGGAGCGCACTCATGCCTTCCCCATTTCTTTCTTGGCATGATTTTTTTTTCTCTCTAAGCTCTAAGGGTGCCCGTGAGACTTGCAACCAGGGGAGCAGTGGGCAGTGGCAGTTCGTCCCAGGCTTAGCCCCCGAATCTGTCTCAACTTAGGAAAGTATTCTTACTCCCCCACAAGAAAAAAAACTAAGCTATAGAATTTAGGGATATATTCTTAGGTATTACAACTCTAAGGGAAAGCAAGGTTGTATATTTGTGGAGTAAGAGAAGCAACAGTGATTGGAAGTGAGCTCAAGGGGGCTTCTGAGGTGCTGGCGGTGCGTGGTAGCCTGTCTGGTGGCTACCCAGGCGTTCGTTTTGTGATAAGTCACCGAGTATTATATGCACTTTTCTGCATGTGAATTCTATTTTACAGTATAACAGTATAAAAAACAACTTCAGTGGATGAGTTTAACAGCAGATGAGACATGGCTGAAGAAAGATGGAGTGGACTGAGGGGTCAGGAGACCTTTCTAGAACACGGCATGGAGGTGGAAGTATGGAGGCCAGACTCGGAGGCACGGACGCTGGAGTAAAAGACGTAACATCTGTTTGAATGGAGTTTCAGATGGAGAGGACAAGAAGGAGAAAGGGCAATATCTGAAGAGCAAAAACTTTTCTCGAGCTGATGAGACATGAAAGCACAGATATAAGAAGCTCAACAAACCCACAGCAGCATAAACAAAAAGAAACCCACACCTAGATACATCGCAGGGTAACTGAAGAATACCAAAGACAAGGACAAGATTTTTCCTGCCAGATGGAAAGAAAGATTTCTTTTAAGCCCTGGCTGGCGTGGCTCAGTCGATTGAGCGCGGGCTGCGAACCAGTGTCGCAGGTTCGATTCCCAGTCAGGGTACATGCCTGGGTTGTAGGCCATGACCCCCAGCAACCGCACATTGATGCTTCTCTCTCTCTTTCCCTCCCTTCCCTCTCTAAAAATAAATAAATAAAATCTTAAAAAAAAAGATTTAAATGAGAGACAACTGACTATTGAACTGATGTCTTGATGGAAGTAATGGAACCCAGAAGACAATATGGTGAGAGAAAATAACCATCGACTTACATTCTGTTCAGATAAAATATTAAGAATGAGATCAACATAATTTACCATATATGTTGGTGAATTAGAATAAAAATACAAAATCATATGATCATTGCTAAAAGTACAGAAAAAAATATCTGACAAAATTCAAGATCCCTTCATGATTAAAACTCCAAACAAACTAGCAACAGAACTTCCTTAACCTGATAAAGGACACCTATGAAAAAGCTACAGCTGATGTCATAGCTAACAGTGAATGCTTTCTCCCTAATATTGAAAACAAGATGGAGATATCTGCTCTTGCCGCCTCCATTCAACATTGTCCTGGAGGTTCTAGCCAGAGCAATAAGGCAAGAAAATGGAATAAAGGTATACAGATTGGAAAAGAAGGAAACGACGGAAGAAAAAATGTAATAAAAACAGACTACAATAATACACTAAGGGAAAAAGTAACACAGGAGAGATAAATAAAAAACGCAAAATAAGATGGCAAATAGAACCCCAGAATGCCAACAATTACATTATATTTAAGTGGATTAAATGTTCCCATTTTAAAAAAAAAAATTACTAGAATGAATTAAAAACTAAAAAGATCTTGTACGTTATAAGAGACTATCAAAATGCAGGAAGTAAAAGGGCGGGATATAATCCATCGGGAAGGCTCAGGTGCGGCCGGCAGGTGTGTGGCCAGGTGCCGCCATTTCCAGGAGCACTTTGGAAGCCCTTAGTCAGTAACTATGTGCCTCTCTCTGACCTGGCAATTTGCTCCCACATGGACCCCAGGAAATTCTCACACGGTCCTGCAGAAGGTGGGGGAAGTCCTGTGAGGATGCCCCCCGCAGTTATCCGTGACAGCAACTCACACCACGGCAGTGGCGGGCCCCAGCCGGATGTACGCCCAAGAACACGGGTGGGCTGTACAAACCCTGTACTGACTGCAAAAAGGAAGGGGGTCCATTGTACCCACAAAGCAATACAGACTTTGCAAGAACACAAACGATCAAGAGAATATGGCAGACTGGTGGTCTCCTGGGTGAGGGGAATGGAATGGTTGAGGGAGACTAAAATAAATGTGTAAGAGGCTGGGGGGGCTGGTCTTGTCCTGACAACAATGACCACCTGCCGTGAGCTGAGGATGACCCCCTCGACCCTCTGTCCCTGCGGCCACACACAAAAGAAACAAAGAATGTGGCAAAGGGAGGCATATGCAGAAGACAGGAAACTCAGTTCCAGTCCGTGCAACGGTCTATGCCCAAGGTGTGGCGTAAATCCACGGGCCGCACCGGGGGCTCACGGGCACGGCACAGTGAGGGGCGCATGCCCATGCTCTGTGCCCTCTCGGGCCCACAAGACGATGCCTGTACAAATCACATACAACACCCCTAGGTTCATGCACACACTCGTGGGGCACACTCATGCCAAGGTGTCCACCCTGAGGATATGTTGGTACAAGTACACACCCAAGGGTGAGCCACAAAACCAGCTAAGAGACCTGCTCAGCCCCAGGCTGGATGAGCTGGAGCCCTCCAGGGCAGTGGGGAAAGGGGCGAGGGACTAACCAAACAGGGTCTGGGGAGTCCAGCCCAGAGCAGAGACCCCCCCCCAAACCCCTGTCCCAATGCTCACCACCATCTTCAGAGGCCTGAGGGGTCAGAGGGGCGGGGCCATTTCCCTCCCACGCACAGTCCCACTGGGGCACCCACCTGTCCTCACAACTCTCCTTGGCCCATACAAATTTCTTCAGTATGTCGGAGCAGCAGTACTGGTTGTAACAGGTGCCACAGCAAAAAACAGGGCAGGTCTTGGGGTAGAGGTTGTATCCACTGGAATCCACACACACCTCGCCATGGGCTGGAGCAGAGAAACAATTGTTCACCTGTGGCCACGAGATGAAACCTCATACCAGGCCTTGCCCACGTCCCAGTGATCAGGGCCAGCAGGCACAGGCGTGCCGGGCCACCTCTGGCCACCACCCCAACCAGCCTTGCCTTCTCTCCCGGGTCACAGCAGATCAGCCTAACTGGGCTCCCTCTTGCCCCATCGGCCCACTTGCCTTCTGATGGGAGCATGAACTTTCTAAGTGTGAGTCTGACCGGGCCACACCCTGCTCTCAGACCATCCGTGGTTCACGCTATGTCAGGATCAAGCCCACAGTCCACAAGGCAGGGTCCAGACTGCAAAGGGCCTTGAAGGCCACCCCAATTCTCCAGCCCTATTTACACTGTCCATATTCTTGGCTGTTTCCCATCCCCCACCTCCAAATCTACTCACCCTTTAAGGCCCTACTCTAGCCCACCTCCTCCTCCAGAAGCTGCCCAAGCTCAGCGGTCACACAGCGGGACAGCAACGTCCCTGGCCAGTCGCCTGGGGACCAGGCTCTGGACCGGCCAATTCTTGATCCTCATTCCCTCTCTCCACCACCGGCCATGGCAGCCTCAGCCCTGACCGCACCCCCACAGCAGGCTGCCTCCTGACCAATCCACCGTGGGCTGCAGTCACACCCACGCATAGCGTCCACGCAGCCCTTGGTCCCGTGCTGGGCCTGCAGCAGGTGCCTAAGAAATGTCTGTGCCCTCGGTGGCCGGGGCGCCAAGGCAGCGGCACCGGTTCAAGTCCAAGAACCACCACGAGGCTCTCGGCCACCGAGCTGGGATCTGAGGACATCCTCACAGAGGATGGGGAGAGTACAGAGCCTCAGGACACAAGATCACGCTGAGGGGACCTGACTGGCAAGTGCAGAAAATGAGCCAGGGCTTTGGGGGACCACGAGGTTTGCAAGCTTCCAGGAAGATGCTACAGCCATGCTCCCAAGCACCCTTCAGCTGCCTTAGCACAAAGCTAGTGCCCACCAGCAGGACAGAACGGTCCAGGATTCTGCCTGGACAGGCCCCAGGGGGGACTCCAGAGAGCCAGCCTGGTCAGTGTGTCATGTGCCCTGGGGCCCTAGCGGAGCAAGCCCCACTCAGTGACTCTAAGAGAGACAACCAGGAATGGGGAGAAAATGAGGAGATACTTTGTCCTTGGCAGCTCCAAGGAGAGCCGTGCTCTGGGCAAAGCTGGGGGGCAGAGGGCGGGACCCCCGCAGCCCGGACCCAGCCAGATGTCCACGCGGCAGTAGGTCTGCCCAGCATGGCCCAGTGGCTGGGATGCCCCGCCGCCACCTCCAGAAAGTCCCCACAGCCGTTAGAGCCACAGCTGGAGGGCCTGTCAGCTGGGGCTGATGGCAGACACCTGTGTGCCCGCTTGGGCCACAAGCCCATGACACAAGCGTTCTTTGACCCCCCCACACACTCTGGGCAAGACTCTCCAGACTGCCCCGAACCAGGGGCCACAGCTCTGCCTGCTCCCTTGCCCACCCCAGGCCCTCCGGAGCCCTCCCGGGAAATCAAGCCCTCCCTGTAGGGGAAGCCATCCACCCAGAGGGATCCTCGGCTTCCCAGGCCTGGGGGTGGGGAGCTGTTGCTCCAATTCCTAACCCTAAAAAGCCCCCAGCCCGGTCTCCCCATCTGTGAATCATCCGTCTACAATCAAACCATCAAGGCCCTGACCCTGACCCTGACCCTGGCCAAGGTTGCGGGTTCGCCCTCCAGTCAGGACACAATCAACCAATGAAGGCATAAATAAGTGGAATAAATCAATGTCTCCCTCTCCCTCTCCCTTCCTCTGTCTAAAATCAATTTTTAAAAATTTCACAGCCAACCAGTCTACACATACAGTTGGCTGTCTCCTCCCATTAGGCCACCCGGCTGTCTCCAGGGCTCCAGGGCCTTGGAGGCAGCGGCCGGGGGCTCCCAGCCAGTAAACACAGGCGCAGGAAAGGCCTGCATGGAGGGGCAGGCCTCCCGGAAGCCACCACCCCGGCGACGGCGACGGCCAGGCAGGAAGCCCTTCCCCAGCCTAGGCTGACCCAATCCCTAGGAACATCAGAGGGACCGTAGATCCCCACCCCCACCCCCACCCGCCCCGATTCCAGGGCAGAGCCACGCGGGCAGCGGCCTGGGGTCTGGGGGATGTCACTTCAGGCGGGGAGGGGTGCTGGGGCGTAGGGGAGGTCAGTCCCGGGTGGGGGGGGGGGAATTGCTAACCGCCTGGGTCCTCCGGGGGCCGGCGCGAACGTGGCCGACCCGGTCCCCGGCCGGGACGAACGCCCCCACCCCAAAGGCTCACCCCCCGGGGGCGGCGGCAGCAGCAGCAGCAGCAGGACCAGGAGCAACAGGTTCCGCGGCGCGGCCATGGCTGGGCGGGCGGGCGGACAGACAGACACCCAGACAGACGGACGGGTCGCGCGCGCGGTGCAGCCGCCGCCTCCGCGACCTGAGCGGGCAGCTGCCTCTTCGCCCCGCCCCGGCGGGTTCCGGGTATCCCGCCGGGAGGAAGAGGAGGGAGGAAGAGGAGGAGGAGGGCAGGCGGGGGGAGGAGAAAGGCGTCCTCCCGCCCCCGGCAGCCCGCGCGGAAGGCCCGGGACCCCTGGGGACCCCTCTGTCGTCCTCTGCTCCCGGGAGACTTCTCCGCCCGGCCCGGCCCGGCCCGAGGCGGTGGGGGGTGGGGTGTCTCTCCGCGGGAACCTGCGACCCCAGCCGAGTGCCCGGGTGCCCTGGTGCTGCTGGAGGCCAGCTTGCCCCCCGCCCCCCACCCCGCCCACCCCGCCCCCGCTGTCACGGGCCCAGCGGACCCTCAGGCCCCTCACCCAGGGGCCAGGGGAGGTGGGACGGCGACAGTGCCCGGAGCAGAGCTCGGCACACAGTAGGTGCCCAACTAATGCCCGTCCCTTCTGGAAGTCTAGACCCGAGGCTTCCGGCGACCCCTGCTCTGAGGACACAGCGTCGCCTGGGCCTCTGCGGTGACGCCTCTGCCCCTGTAGTCCTCCGCCCCTAGTCCAGGCAGCTGAGCCCCTAGCCCCGGGCAGCCTGGCTCGGGGCCTGGGCTAAGGGACAGCAACTAGCTGCCCCCAGGGACAGCTCAGGGCTCCGGAAGGCCGGCTGGCCCGCATCCCTGTCTGCCCCCAGAGGACGTATTGGCCACAAGACACCCCACGTGGTGCCAGGGCTACCAGAAGCGGTGACGTGCCGCACGCCCTGTCTCAGTGGTTCAGGCTGTGGAACGAACCCTCAGACTCGCGGATGAGCAATGTTTCTCACAGTTCTGCAGGCTGGGAAGTCCAAGATCAAGGTGCCAGCAGATTCTGTGTGTGATGAGTCAGCCTCCTGGTTCATTCGGGGCCCCCCTCTCCCTGTGTTCTCCGGGCCCCCAGCCACCAGTGCTCCCCGTCTCCACCAAACCACCTCCCAAAAGTCCTGCCCCCAAATGCCATCACTTTGGGAGGTGCGATCCCAGCATCTGAATTTGGGAGAACATGGACAATCGGCATTTTTTTGCACCTGGCCCAGGCAGTACGTTATGTTTCGGCAGAAACAGGACACGTCACGCTGACTGGGCGCAGGTGAGCCCGTGGGTGCACTCTGGGTGCCCCCGCCTGCTTCTCGTCGGAAGGCAGGGAGGCCCTGCATCCGGGCGAGACCTGAGGGGGCGACCCAGGGTGTCCCCAAGGCAGTTCCCCAGGCTGGGGTGCGAGAGGAGGGCGGGCGGCGGGGGGGGGGCTCCTCCCTAGGTCCCCAGCACCGCCTGCCAGGGAGAGGCACAAAACAAATTCAACCAAGTCAATTTGAAAATCTAGTCGGCTTTAAACAAGCGATTCCATGCCAGGGTGCCCCAAGGGGTTCTACAAAATGGAAGGTTTCTATAGGGAGACCAGTGAGTGGGACAAGGGAGCCATCAACAAACCAAAGGAGGATTATTCTTGGCTGAGGACCCCTTTTCTTGAGGTGGGGAGAAGGGGGAGGGTGTTTATCAAGCATGTCGCCTGTTCTCTTTAGGGGCGTGGAGAGGGCCCCAGTGGCAGATGGCCTCGTTGGTGTGGACCAGCAAACCCCATACTGGCTGATTAAGAAAGATTATGTTGCTGGCACAGGGTGAAACTACAGTTACATCAGGTGTTAGCCTGGGTTTGATATCATGGGCTTGTAGCTCAAGGGAAGCCATTTTGGACCCATGGGTTGTGTCTGTTTACAGCACAGCAGGTGGGAGCAGAGGCCTGCAGGTTCCCCGGCAGGAAGAGGGGCCCTCCCTGGCGCAACCCAGACCCGTCCTGCCCGGCTGCCTCCGCCCCCTCAGTTCCATCGAAAAAAGAAATAAAGGAACCAAGTTCAGCCCACTGACCACTTTCCCCAGAACGCCGGCCCCAAAACCACTTCCCCGGGGTGGTGTGTGGGGGGGGGCTGCGTCAGGCCCAGTCCCCCCGCCCCCAGGGTGCCCCTCGCCCCAGCCTCTCAGCACTCACCGAACAGGGCTACCGCTGCAGTGCGTCCACCTCCCTACCCACCCTGTCAGCTGGAGTCCTCGCTGCCCTTGCACCGCACCCCACCCAGTCCTGAGGCTCCGTCTTTGGGACTTCTCCTATTTAGTCACCCAGAGGCAGCCCCGGGAGGCCAGAGGGTGGGAGGAGAGGGCAGGGGTGGGGCCGTTCTGTCCCTGCTCCTTCCGGAGGCTCCTGCCGGCAGTCACACTCACACACACTCACACCCCACCCCACACATGCACACCCACCCGTTGCGACACCGCCCCACTGGACCCCTTTTTTCAAGGCCGTCTGCTGAGAAAGCTCGCGGTGCTAGAGCCTGTGCCCAATGCTCCAAAAGAAAAGTCAATAGTCAATACATCGGAGTGTTGGAGCCAGGAAAGTTTTATTGATCGAGAAGGCCAAGCTCCAGGAGACGGGAGAATTCTCAAACCCATCTTAGGAGAGCCGAACGTTCGGGTGTCTTCTGTATCAAGGGAAGGCAGGGGAGGGGAGGCGGGGAGGCGGGTGGGGACTGTGGACAGCCAGGTGCTGCAGAGCGGCCGGGGGGGGGGGGGGGGACTCCCACACTCCTCAGGGTCGGCCACCCCACAGAGTCGGGTTCTGCCATCATTCCTTCGGGCCTGCTTCCCCACGGCTCCGCCTCCCAAGCAGGGGCTGTAGTTAACCGGCATGTCTACAGCAGGAGCTGTTTATTTGCCCGCAGGCCGGTACTCAGCTTCGTAAGAGTGACTTTCTACAGCTGGAACTTTGCATACAGCCGGGAGCCCAGCTGCAGACGGAAGTTCTGCACGGGGCGCGCAGGTCAGGGGTACGGCACCAAGGATGCTCAGAAAGCCCAGTGCGAGACAGGGCGTGGGGGAACGCGACCCACTGTGGGCCACTGTGAGGGCCCCTGCCACCGCTCTCCACCCTGAGCCCGGGCTCCCCTCCTGGTCTCAGGAGGCGGAAACGCCACGTTAGTCATGGCTTCCCCAAGGGCTGGTACCCTCCCTGGGGTTGGCAGGGGGCCGGCAACCAGCAGCAGCGGGACAGCACACTCTGCGGCATCCAGGGCGGTGGTGAGCCTCGCTGTCCCCTTGTCACAAACGAGGGACGGGGACTGAGGTGGGTCTGCCCCTGGCACGGTCTGGAGTGTGTGAGCCGTTTGCTCCTAGGTGTCCTCGGTCAGGGAAGGTAGGACCTGTGTCTCAGTTTCCCTATTTCACTTGTCACAGAGCTTTCCAGGCCTCTCACCGTCTTGCCTCGTCCTGCTGGCCCTGCGGTGGCGGCGGCGGCGGCCACGGCTGCTCGCCAGGCCAAAGCAGACCTCGACTCGGGTTGGAGGTGAGGCGGCGTGGCCCCTGGGTCTTGCCCTTCGGGCAGCCTCTGCACAAATTCTGCTTCTGCTTGAAGTGGGCGGAGTCAGCTTCCTGCCACTGACGGAGCTGTCACCAGGAATGGCAGTAGGTGACCAGGGTCACGGGGGTGCGCCAGGGTTCGGAGCCACAGGGAGTGGGAATCCGACCAGGATCCGGGAAGAGCCCCAGCAGCCCTGGAAGGCCAAGGGGACGGCCAGGAAAGCAGCCACTGGTGCGGCGGTCTGTGATACTCAGAGTGGCTCCTGGTCCCTTCTTCCGGGCTCCGGAGCTTGGAATGTACTGTCTTTTGCATGCTAATGAGGTGACTCCAGGTCTGGGGGGGGGGGTGCGGGGGATGCATCCCCCCCAGAGCTTCAGGATGGGTCTGCTTAGCAGAAAAAGCAGGCCCTGAATGGAGGGCTGGAACTTTCAGCCTCAGCCCCAACCTGGGGTTTGGTTCCGAGAGACTGACTGCTGTCGCCAAAGGCTAGTGATCTCATCCATCCATCCATCCATCCACCAATCACACCTGTGTAATGAAACCTCCCACGAAATGCCCTGGACAGTGGAGTTTGGGCAGTTTCCGGGGCTGTGAGCACACTGACGTGCTGGGCAGGTCCGAAGCTCCCAGCCCCCCTTCCCCACCCCCTGACACTCCGCCCTGTGCGTCTCTTCCATCTTCCATCAACTCGTAACTGCAAATGAGGGGTTTTCCCCGAGTTCTGAGGTCCAGCCAATTATCACACCTGAGGAGGGGGGTTTAGGAACCCCTGATTTACAGCCAGGGGTCAGAAGTTAGTCCAAAATCTTGGGACTTGGGACTGGCCCCTGAGGTGGGCGGAGTCTTGAAGGACTGAGCCCTGAACCCGGGCGGTCTGCACAAACTCATGAGCTGGTGTCGGCATGGAGTTGAGCCCTGGCCAGGTAGCTCAGCTGGTCGGAGCATTGTCCGACATGCCGAGGTTGCGGGTTCGATCCACGGTCAGGGCCCATGCAGGAAGCAACCAACGAATGCATAAATGAGTGGAACAACAAAGCGTTGTTTCTCTCTCTCTCCTCTCTGCCTCCCTCCCTCATTACCTGCCAGGGGTCTGTACCTGCGTGGGTCTGCCTAGGGCCAGCTGTAGTGCCTGGGTTCCTGATTTCACGTAGGAAAGATTTCAAAACACGCGTCCAGGTGACATTCATTAAAGCTGGGGACAAGGAAACAGGGGAGGGCCGGCACAGGAGAAAGGGGAGAGCCGAGGCTGGGCTGCCGCAGCTCACGGGGAAGTCAGAGGGGAGGGGCTTCCGGGGCGGACTCAGGGGGTCAGACTGGGTGGGGCCCGCTGCCCGCCCGCCCGCTGCCCATTGCCTCAGAGTCTAGGAGAGGTGAGCCTAGAAGGAAGAAGTGGGGGGTGGGGGAGCCGCGGGGCGGAAGTAAAGGAGAGGAAATGGCCGGGCCCAGCGGGAGGGCAGGTGGGGATCTTGAGGGGGGGGGGCCCGGGGAGGGTTTCAGTGGAGTGTGCCTCGGGTCTCCAGGTGTGCCCGTTCGGAGTCACGGTCTCCACCCATTGGTCAGTGACAGGGCGGGGCGGGGCTCTTCAGTCATTGCAGTTGGTCCCGGCATTGCCCACCTGGTTTTGCTGCTCTTCTGGGCCTGGCGCTGAAACGCAGCTGAGGCCTACGTGTTGTCTCCAGGGAGGGGAGGTCAGGGGAGGAGAGAAGAGGTCCTTGTTTGCCCAGTTTGCCCCTGCCAGGCCTTCGCCCTGGTGACCCTCTGCACCCTGGTGACCCTCTGCACCCGGCTGTCAGTTGCTGGGCCATTGTGTTCCGCTGTCTGTCTCCGTGTCCCCACTCCGCTCCCAAGGAATCTTCCAGCTTCTCACTGTCCTGTCTCACCCCCTCCCTCCCTTCCTCTCTCTCTCTAAAAACAAAGAAAACAATTTTAAAAATGAGTTGAGCCCTGGCTGGTGTGGCTCAGTGAATTGAGCACAGGCTGTGAACCAAAGCGTCACAGGTTCGATTCCCAGTCAGGACACATGCCTGGGTTGCAGGCCAGGACCCCCAGCAACTGCACATTGATGTGTTTCTCTCTTTCTCCCTCCCTTCCCTCTCTAAAAATAAATAAAATCTTTAAAAAAATGAGTTGAATTTTTGAACACCCAGTTGGCGTGGGAGAATCTGAGAGTTGGTTGTTAGTATGAAGAAGAAAACCAATGTAGTATCCGAAGGGATGTCAGAAAACAAGACACTGCAGGTGGTCGCTCAGTGTCTTGGTGAGGACAAGGCTCTAGGTGGCCAAGGCGCTCACCTCGGAAGCGCCCGAGGCCCCTCCCCCACCCGGCACAGCCTGGGGCCGCGGAGCCTCGCACTGGCGGTGGGATGCGCCGCAGCTTCACCCAGGCCCTGGGTCACCTTCCCGGTGCGGCCGTCTTACACGCCCTGCCCTCCGGGACGTCTGTGTACACATCAACGTACTTCTTTACCGCGTCTCCCACCTCCGGAACGTCAGCTCTGGGGGAGCAGGGGGCTGGCCTGTCCTGCTCCTGGCAGGGGTGTGAGCGGTAGAATAGGAAATCAGATTTCTTTCTTTTCTTCCTCCCCCATCACAGCCTTAGATGATTAAGGTAACCCAGTCATCAAATGTATAGGTTTGACCTCATGTTCCGGCTGAGGTTTTATTGCAGTTTTAACAGCGGACCAGGAAAGAACAAAGGGACTTTTAACCCAGCCCTGAACCTCAGGCTGGGGGTCAGCGGGAGAGGGAAGACCTTGGCCCAGCTGGCTCTGTCATCCTTATCGGAATGCGGGCCATTGCGTCCCGGAAATCGGTCATGAAGATACTCATCAAGATCCAAACCCCGACCAGGACTCAAATGCCAAAGCCTGGGCATCCTCAGGACCACGCCCCCGCCCCCCCGCCCCCCCCCTCGCGCGCTCCTTTCCCCATTCCCTTCCCGCGTGCCCCTCACCACTGGGGGGAGGGGGTGGAGAAGGGGGGGCCGTGTTAGGGTCTTTACGCGCCACCCCCTCAGATTTCCGGCATCGGGTAGTGCGCCTATTAAACGCGGCGTTTATAATCCAGCCCGTCTCTGCTTTTTGGCTGGGTGGTGACAGGCAGCGGGAGCCCCGGACTCGGCTGACCTCGGGTTTCACTGACTGCCCTCTCCCCACTGCTTAGCACAGGGTAGGTACGTCGTCCTGTTTAAGTCGTTACTTGAACAGAATCGTGTATGAGAAGACCCCGGAGGAATCAAATCGCCACCCCACCTGGCCCTTCTGCACCGTCCTCGCCCAATGCAGCGAGGTGCTCCCGGGCGCCCCCTGCAGACCTCCTGAGGGAACTGCTGGGCAGTCTGGAGCCAGCTCTTCTCGCGCTGTCCCCCAACTCCGAGGTCTCCAGTGCCTTACACTGGAGACAAGCTCCAGCTCAGGTGAGCTCGCTCCCCCTCCCAGGAGCACGCCCGCCTGCGCCTTTCCCCTCCCCTCTTCTTTCCCCGCAGGCTGCATCTCCTAAACGCTGAGGCACAGGTGGCACACACAAGGCCTGAGGGCCTGAATGCAGCCCCCCACCCTGTTTTATCTGGCCCAGCACCTTGTTTCTACCCAGTGGCAGCGCCCAGCTCCTTGCCCCTAGTTTAAAAGTAGTTACATTTATACAGTCCTAAAGTTACCTTCGGCCCTTTGAAGGCCAAGGCCAGGCTGCTGTGGCCCCTGGTGAAAATGAGCCTGACACCCCTGTTCTAAGGGGCCCCATGAGGCTGAGGCTTGCAACCAGGGGGCAGCGGGCAGCAGCAGCTCCGCCCAGGCCAACCCCCGGAGCCTGTCTCCCCCGCCCCCTTTCCTCCAACTTCCCAGCGACCCAGAGCAGCCCCGCCCCGGCCCTCCTGTGGCTGCTTCCACCCTACGCCCTTCCTTGTTTCACTATCCCTGCCTTAAAATTTAAATAAATAAATAAATAAATAAATAAACTCTCAAAAAATAAAAATAAAAAAAAATTCCAGCATGTTTGGAGACCTTATTGCAAAGTCAAACCCAGAAGGGAACGCTTACATGTCAAAAGAATTGTAAGGCTTTGTTATCTTATGTTGGCCAAAATATAGAGAATTTGTATGAAAAATCCGAGGTCCCAGACCAAGGAGGTGACTCGATGTTTAGCTTGGGCTGTCTATCAATACAGGTGTGCTTGCCAGAAATTCTGGACACAGGTGCTGACCTCGGCCCTTGGGGTTTGTTCTGTGTGTCTGTTCGCTTGACTGAAAGGAACCTGGGGCTCACTCACTGCGGCGGCGGCGGTGACGCCAAGGGCTCCCGGGGAGAACGTGGAGGAAAGAATCCAAAGCCTCAGGAAGATGCCCTGATTTGTTCAAAATAAACGCTGGACTGAGTTTCTTACAGGCAGGTCACCTTTTGTCCGGGGGTCCCTGGGGAGGGAGGCACCCTCCGGCAGGGCCCCAGGCAGTCCGTGCACTGCGGGGGGCATCTTGCAGGGGAAGTCCCGTTGGCTGGGGCTGCTGCAGTGAAGTGCCCCCCACACACGGAGTAAATGACAGCCACCGTCTGCCTCACAGTTCTGAAGGCGGGAGTCCGAAGCTAAGACATCAGCAGGGCCCTGCGCCAGCTCTCCCAGGGCGCTGGGGAATGTGGGGTTAACTCCCCCCACCCCACTCCAGTGTTACCTCCCTCACGACATCTTGCAATGGCCCTGTATCCATATGAGGTCACATTATGAGGTCTTGACGGTTACGTCTTCAGTGTATGAGTTTGGGGGGGACCCATGAGGCAGCCCATCACAAGCACCATAGTGGCTGTTCCCCAGGCATCAGCACTTCTGACTGGGGGCGCTGTTGGAACGGCTCCTTGATTTCAGTGCCGATGCCAGGACCCTGGGGGGCGGGGGGACCGGGGGGCACTGCTGAGCCACCGAGAGAGGCGCGGAGACGGACTGGCGGCAGGACTCCCGTGGTGTGCAGAACAGAATAACCAGGGCTGACCAGCGGAGACCGGGCTGCGACGGAGGGGGTGTGTCACCGTGTCCCAGGCAAGACCAGTGCACACACCCAGGGGCCCTGCCCGAGGCGGGGAGGGCACCCTCTCAGGGGGGCCCCGTGGAAGGAAGTAGCACAGGTTCACACCCCCACTCCCCTCCCTGCGCTTCCCAAAAAGACCTGCGGCCATGAGCCAGGGCCGGGCAGACGCGAGTTCTGGTCCGCTGCAAAGACATTCGCACTTTGCACCTTGAAGGTTTATTTCCTTTTACATCTATCTTCAGAGAGAGGGGAAGGGAGGGGGAAAGAGGAAGAGAAACATCGATGTGAGAAACTCCGATCGGTTCCCTCTCGCACACGCCTGGCCCAGGGGCTGCACGGCAGCCCAGGCGTCTGCCCCGACCACCGGGAGTCGAACCAGTGACCTTTCTGCTTTGTGGGATGACACCCAACCCGCTGAGCTGCACTGGTCAGGGCAGCATTTTTCACTTTTAATACAATAATTTTGATCAAACACCAGGGTGCCTGGCCCCAGGGGGTGAATCCTGCTGGCACAGGTGATAATTATATATGATTTTAATTATAATTATTATAAACGTATTACTGAAACTTATGTCTTCGCAACATTGCATTCCATCCAAATACCCTCTGATCCTACCTAAGGGCCGTTATTCCTTCGCAACCCAAAATGCTACAAAGTTCTCAACGCCACAGCAGGTACTCCTTTGCTCTTTCTAGGTTGTGGTAGAACATTGGACCCAGAGGAAAATTCTGATAGTTGCATTGCATTCCTTCTGCTATGGTTTTGCTGCTAAAAGTCTTCAACGCCTTCTTCAAACGTGCCGAAGCCCCTCAGGAGGTCAGGGGTCCGCCCTGGGAGCTCAGCGTGGGGGCACAGGACGAGGGCCACCGAGCTGCCCCCCGGCCTCACCTACCAGGAAGGCCGTCGAAGCTGGGAGCCCTCTGAGACCCTGACTTTGTCACCCACCACGACACAGCCGGGGAGGGCGCAGCCATGGCTGTTGGCGACCCCTGAGCGGCCCAGAAGCAGCACAGCCACCGCCACCCTCTGCGCTGACACCCCAAGAGAGGTGCGGGTGGGCCTGCAGCTGTGCCGGGCCCATCACGTCCACAGAGGGGCACCCCTGCTGCCTGTGCTCTGCAAAGCCCAGCCCCAGGGCAGGGGGGCGGTGGGGGGCGCAGCAGGAATTCCGATGACAGTCCGAGGCACAGGAAGGAGGAGGCTGGATCCCTGGTCACCTCCGCCAGCCAGAGGCAGGGGCCGACTAAACACGCCCCCACCCGCAGCGCCAAGCGGTGGCTCCATCCTGGACACAGAGCCCGGCTCCCCTCCCCAAGGGCGCCAACGTTCGGGACCCACATTCTCAGGGACCTCAGAACCCTCTGCTTCACAGTGCTCCCCCCAGGTCTGCCCCGTCCCCACAGGTGCCTCTTGCTCAGAGCGGAGAGCCCAGGGCTCACTCCAGGGACAGTCTTCTTTTCAGGCAGGGCAAGGCCTGGGGGCGGGAGCTGGAGCAAGGCCCCCAGCACAGGCCCACGAGAGGCCACAGCAGGGGGTCTGCGGGCTGGCCCCAGGAGGGAACCTTAGATTAGGATTAAAAAAAAAAAAAAAGGCCCTGGCCTGCGTAGCTCAGTGGATTGAGCTTGGGCTGCGAACGAAAGCATCGCAGGTTCGATTCCCAGTCAGGGCACATGCCTGGGTTGCAGGCCACGGCCCCCAGCAACTGCACATTGATGTTTCTCTCTTTCTCCCTTCCTTCCCTCTCTAAAAAAATAAATAAATAAAATCTTTAAAAAAATGTATTTATTGCAAAGAACGCTGGACACAGTGTGATGCGCGGCGAGACCCAACACCACCCGCTCTGGGGAGAGCAGGAAAACAGCCACCACAGAAGCACAGTGACTGTCGTGGCTGAGGCCTGGCAGCCAAGAGCCATCGCAGGCAGAGGCGGGGAGGGCCGCCCGAGGCCCTGCTGCGGCCCCAGGCCCAGTCCTCGGGACACACCCAGGTCCCGCAGGTCCTGACCCCCCTCTGGACACGGAGCGAAAAGGCCTCGCTGGTCTCGCCTCAGCTGGCCTGAGGTCCCGGAGGGGCGGTGACATCCACAGACGTGCGCCACCGACCGAAGGGCCGAAGGGACCCGCTATGGCTAACAAGTGAGTGTGTCCATGTGGTCAAGTCGCCAAAACCCCAGTGGACACAGGGGCAAAGGCAGAAGTCCCCCCGACCCAAAGATGGGGGCTTGGTCCTCCGGCTCCAGGGCTCTGACGGGAGGTGAGTCCGGGGTGGGGGCCGCTGCCCCGGCCTCACCCGACATCATCTCCCCACCACGTGTGTCCACAGCGGCTGCAGCACACAAAAGCGAGACCCCCCGCAACGGGCAGGGCACACGCTCCCCCACCCCCGCGGCAGGAGGCTCCCGGGAGCTGCACAGCCCTGGGGCGTGGGGCAGGTGGGCTGCCCCGCCAGGCCTGGCCCTGGGAGGGCTGTGGGGACCAAGTGGGCTTCGGGTCCCAGGGCCTGGCTCCACCAAGGTCCCCCGTGGGCAGGAGGCATTCGACTACAAACCCAGACATCTCCACCCCCCACCCCCCCGAGCCTGCAGGTGTCTCCGGCTGCTGCCTGACCTGCCTCTCTGGGCCCCGAGGGCTCAGGGGCGTGACAGATGGCAGACCCCCGAAGTCACTTCCAACAGGCTCCTGTGCACGTGCATCAAAGGCTGCGAGGTGTCCGAGAAAGTCCCCCGTGGACCAGCTCCCTCCGGGTTCCGGCCTCCCTGCCGCTCAGCACCACAGGTGGCGGTCAGCCAAGGCCAGGCCCCCAGGCCGTGCGGGACCACCACAAGCTCTTCCGAACCTTTCACAGCAAACGTCCGTCCCCGGCCCGGTGCGCACGCCTGTGCGGACCCAGGCACAGGGGCCCAGAGGAAGCCTGGTGGCGGGGTGGCAGGGAGGGGCAGGAGATGGGCCGGCAGCCTCCCCTTCGAGTCGGGGCCTGGGGAGGGTGATTCAAACAACCCCCCGCCACCCCGGCCCCATCTTTCCCTGGTTTCACTGAGAGAGTAGTCAGGAAGGGGGGCCTTGGCTACCGGCTCCCAAAATACTCCAGTGTACGTGACTGGGAAGGGTGGCCACGGTGCTGAGCTCCGGGCACGTGCCTGCACGTCGCGTCGCATCGATGCGAGCCCGTCACCTTCCCGAGGGGCACAGACCCTCGGGTCTGGCCGCCCAGGTGTCCGCGCAGGTGCAAGCTCTCCGGCTCCAGGCAGGGCTCGGCGACCAGGGCGCTCCTCTCAGCTGGGGCGGCGGACCTCGGCAGCCGTGAGGACCTGGCCTCTCACGCATGCCTCTGGCTCAGGAGCTGGCCGCAGACAGGGCGGCAGAGCCCCTGCAGGCGTCCCCAGGGGCGCGCAGGCGGCTTGGCCGTGGTGGGAACACCCGGTTTCACATTGTAGGGTTTCACGCTAACGGTGGGAGGGAAGACCTGAAGGCTATACCGGAGCAGGACTAGGCAGGGGCTGGAGACCTCACACCGCCCGGAGCGGGCACAGTCTGGCTGAATGACTTTTAGTGGCATCGGGCACCACCCCGTCACTGTCGACAGGAAACAGGTGGACTGGGGCGCGGGTGCTGGGGGCCCCGGCCGCACATGGCTTCGAGGGTGTTCCTGCGTCAGTTCCGCGGAGACCGACGCCTGCCCGGGGGTCGCAGTGGATGAGACGGGGTCACTGGTGAGCAGGGACTGTGACCAGGGCTTCCTCTGGAGGCCGCGAGATGTCTACATTCTGGGCAGAAATAGAGACACGGAACACTCGCCCTGCGGCAGCAGCGGATGGTCCCCGCCGTCCCGCTGTGTGCCCGCCCCCTCGTGCCGTGGGCGCCCGGGCCCCCGCTCTCCCTCCGAGGAGCCCAGCTGAGCACGCCGGGCCCCGACCGTGCCCGAGAGCCGGGGCTCAAGTGCCTCTGCGTGCGTGGCTGGTGGACAAGCCCAAGGGCAGCAGCGGGGCCGGGGGTGCCCCTGCGAGCATCACGAAGGACGCCTGGTAGGACGTCCGCGCCGGTCACCTGCGGGTGGGCCCGGACCAGGCCTTCGGGGGCAGTGGGATGGGGACAGGTCCAGGTGGGGGGCAGCGGCTCTGGGAGGACGCGCCCCACGGCCCCGCTGCCTCGCCCCCTCACCAGGCCCTGACGGGCCGCAAGACGGCTGGCGTGGTCGGCCGGACGCCAGAGCACGCGGTCAACACAGGGCGATTCGGCGCATGCGAGCCCACCCAGGGTCATGGGCGCCGTTTATCGGGCCCAGCCTCGAGGCTGTGCGAACGCTGCTTATCAGGCCCTTTCTCCAGGTTATGGGGACCTGCTGCCCTTAGTTGCCCAGACACTCGGGGGAGGGCGCCAGACTGCCTCCGTTTACCCTCCGGCTGCCCGAGGGGCCCAAGGCCAAGGGGCTGCCCAGGGCCCAGAACGCCCCATCGTGGCTGGCAGCAGGCCCCAGGGGACTTCTTGCCGCAGGGGGCTCTGGGAACGGGGTTTGGAAGGGGCAGTGGTCTGCCCTTGGCCTCAGTGGGAGAGGTAGCCGAGGGGACGGGAGGACCCCACGTGGGCGGAGAGAGCGATTCTGGGGAACCCTTGGAGGCACCTCTGTGTTCAGCGAGGCTCGGGGGGACGCAGGGCAGCGAGCTGCTCTTCTGAGGGGAATCCGCCCAGTGCCAAGGCCCCTCAGCCTCCACGCAGCCCCTCCCCCAGGAGAACACACCGTTCTCATTTGTACAGGCGCCTGAGCTGGGAGAGGTGCTCGGGAGCCTGGGCTGCGGGGGGAGCATGGAAGAACCCTCACCCGCCCGCCGCAGGCCTCCAGCCTCCTCCCCAGCTGGACGCCCTCCTCGGCTCGGACCTCTGCTGGGGGCTGCTGGGGAGCTGGCCATGACCCGGCTCCGGGGCATCCCAGCTTCGTGGCCCAGCTCCAGGGGTTTCCCCGCCCCCAGGGCAGCGCCACCCCCAGGCCAGGGCCTCCCCTGCAGACAGGACAGCAGCCTGCGAGAGAAGTCGAGCCAGCGGGGCCCGGCCCTGGACGGGCCCAGACAGACACCCCTGGGGAGCTGCCGCCGCCCCAGCAGGGACCCCGCCGGTACCTGGGGCCTGTCCCGGTGCGTGTTCACCGCTACCACATTCAGGTAGATGGACTCCACTTTGCAACCTGCCAAAGGAAGATGCAAAGCCATTCCCCTCCTGAACGGCAGCGGGAGCCACGGAGGGGAGAAGCTTCTCCCAGGAGGAGGCTCTGGGTGCTGCGGAAAGAACAGGTCTTACCCTGTTCCCCCACCCCCCACAGACAGCCCTGGCCCCCCCGCCCATGTCAGGAAGGACCAGGCACCTTGTTAGGCCCCTGCTTGTCAAACGCCACCGCCCAGCGCAGCCTCGGTGAGGAGCCCACACTGAGGACCCCGGGGGCGGGGAGGTCTAAGGAGCCACAGGCCGTGCTCAGCTCAGGGTCCGTACGCTCAGTCCCCAGGGGCCCCAGACCGCCCCCGCCCCACCCGGTTACACACGTCGTGCCAGGTGCTCAGTATGGGGGGGGCGGACCAGAGGATGCGCACACTGGCCTGACACCAGCTACCCTTGAGCCGTCCGCATCCTCCAAGGGCACGACCCCCCGAGACACCTGGCGACCTGTGTCGGAGGTGACTTGCCCAGACCCCAGAGCTCGTCGGGAAGCTGCCTGGGGTCTCCGCTGGCCCGACCCCAGGTGGGGGGGGGGGGGGGGGTAGGGCTGGGAAAAGCCAGTGGAAAAGCCCTTCACATGGGTAGGTGCTGGTTAAGGAGGGCCACTGGGGAGGCGTCCTGTGACCACAGAAATAGAACCCCCCAAAATTTAAAAGCAAATCGGGAAATGCAGGGGGATGGAGGGAGGAGGGGCGAGCCCCTAGTGGGGTTCTCAAGGGACGTGCGGCAAGTCACGGGGCCACAGGCAGCCCGAGCCTGGCAGGCGGGGCGGCGCGCGCGTGGGAAGCGTCCTACCGTACGCCACAGGGGTCAGCTTCAGCACCGTGTGCAGCGGGCACCTGAGGTAGGGCAGCTCCTCTGTGGGCACAGACGGGGAGGGCTGGCACTCCAGGGACGCCGGGGTCTCAGTCCCCCGTGCTCTGTCGTGCACGCCGCCCCGCCCCCCCACCTCCCCGGGGCCCGGCCCGCACCCGCCGTCTTGTCCAGGAAGTAGGCCAGCAGGCAGCGCATCACGGCCTGGTGGCAGATGACCAGCACGTTCTCCTGCCTCTCCAGCTCCATGATGACAGGCTCGAGTCGCTGGACCAGGTCCTCGTAGGACTGCAAGGACCAGCAGGGAGGGTCCCTCAGGCCCGGATCCGGGGCAGGGGGTAGGGATGAGCCACCCCGGGGGGTGGCCAGGCCTCCCCCAGCTTGGCTCCGGAGGGCACGGGGGTGGGCAGCTCAGGGCTGGAGCCCGCCCCACCGCAGGACTGTGACAGAAGTCACCTTGCGAGGGAAGCTGAGGGACCGGGGAGGACTGGCAGTCTGGGACAGGGGTCACCTCCACCCGTCCAGGGCCAGGCCCCGGTAGGACCGAGAGAGCGGGGCTGGGCCACAGGCTGCCATCCCAAGGGGCCACCTCTGTGCCCACCCACAGGACTCTGGCAACTGGTGACGTGGAATATACACAGCTCCCTTCCAGCTCATAGCAGGTGGGGGCAGGGGGAGCAAAGACCCCTGCCCCCCACAACACTTCCGGAGCTCGGCCTGCCGGAAACACCCGAGGTCTCAGGAACGTCCCGGGCCTACAGTCGACCTGCTCTGTCTCCCTGCCCTGCGCCCAGGAGGTCTGGAGATTTCCCCCGGGAGAACCGAGCCCTCGGGCGGCACCAGGAGCAGAGGGGAAGTCCTACACTGGCTCTGGGGTAACTGCGATTTCCCTCCTGGCCACCCCCCAACCCCGCCCCGGATTCCCAGGGTCGAGCAGGAAGCTGCTTTGCTTCTTTCCCCTGTGCTCTGGGCTGGTTCCAAAGCTCAGCTCCGCGCACTGCACTGTGTGGGCAGTGACTGCCGCACCCAGAGCTGCCCAGTTCCCGGGGACAGGACGGCGGCACAAGGGCCTGCCCGGGAGCCTGGCCCCTGTGGGGGGGCCTCCATGCCTGGGCACACGTGTGTCTGTGCGGGGTGTTTTGATTTGGCCACTGTCCCCGGTCATGCCCTGAGGTTGTCCTGCTCCCAACCCTGGGGCCCAGGCCACGCCTCATCTGGGAGGGTCCCCCAGGTCTGGATTCAGGGCTGGGGGTGGGGTCTGAAGCGGCAGGGAGAGAGGGATCATCCCATGATGCCCCCCCCCCCCGCCAGGGAAGGGGGTGGGCAACGTGGGAGGTGACAAGGACAGCACCGTCCTTCCGGAGAAGGGGACTGTAGCCTGGGCCCCACGGCCAGGAAGTGGTAGAGATGATGGGCACACCCAGCCCAGCCTGCCTCTGAGGCCAGCCCCCAGTGCTGCCCCCATGGCTCCCACAGGGCCCCAGGCTCCCACAGGGCCCCACGGGACCTCAGCCACAACGGGTGGGCCCCCCAGGCAGGCAGCACGTGCCTGGGACAAAGCACCCAAAGCCCACCTACCTCCCCCTTGGGGTACCGGTAGCGGTATTTGTCCTGGTCCCGCAGGGCAAACTCCAGTGGATAATGCTCCTGGATTTCCTCGTAGGTCATTTCCTCACAGACGCCCTAGGGAGACACCGGGGTCGTTACACCTCCCATGCCAGGCTGGGGGGTCGGCCCTGGGGAGGGGGGCTGGGCAGAGGGGACCGGGTTCCTGGGCCGTGGAGGCTCTCCCAGCCCGGGGCAGGGACCCGCCTGGGAAGAGCTGGCCCTATGGCGACACTGAGCAGGGGCGGCCCCCTGTTTGTGCAAAGTTATCAGAACAGTCTTTTCCGGCTATCCAAGACCCACTCACCCAACCAGAAAGCAACTGTGTATCTTTTCTAACATGTCTTTTGTCTTCTGTGCTGTGGACACGCTACTTCTCAGTATGGACTTTGTGCAGACTATAAAGCCAGACCGCACCTGTGTCACTCAGGGTACACGCCCACTCCCACGCCCACGGAATCTGGGCCTCTGTCTCTCCTCAGGACTCCCTGCACTCTCCCTCCCTCCCTCCCTCTCCACCAGCGCCCCCTCCTCAGCTTGCAGACGGCCAAGTCTCCCCGGGCTCAGCCTCCTTGCTTCCCACTCGCTCCCCACCCACTCCCCCTGGGCACCAGCCCCACCCAGTTCATGCCAAGACACCCAGGGACCTTGTTGCTACATCCCAGCGGTCAGTTCTCAGCCTGGCCTCCCTGGGGCATCCCCCACACTGACCACTGCCTCCTCTCTGCCTTGACTTTCACGCCCCTCGTCTGCCCGGGCCCCCTCCCACCGCACTGGCCGCCCGTCCACAGCCTTCTCCATGGCCCCTCCGATGCCGGGGCTCCCGGGCCTTTGTCCTGGGTCCCAGCTGTGCTCCCTCGGCCCCCTTATCCCTTCCACAGCCTCAGCGATCATTTCTGGGTTGCAGGCCAGGTCCCCGATTAGGGGCATGTGAGAGGCAATCTCTTGTGCGCCCCCCACTGGGGACCTGGCCTGTAACTCGGGCATGTGCCCTGACTGGGAATCGAACTGGTGACCATTTGGTTCACAGGCCGGCACTCAATTCACTGAGCCACACCAGCCAGGGCAATAAAAATCTTATATATATAAAAAAAAAAGGAGAATCCAGGGGGTGGGGAAATGGGTAAAGGGGGTCAAAAGGTACCAACTCCCAGCACGGTGACTATAGTTACCGATACTGTAACACATATTTGAAAGTTGATGAGAAAGCAGATCTTAAAAATTCTCATTACACAGGCGGGGGCAGGGGGGAGTTGTAACAATGTGAGGTTATGAATATTAACTTAGTGTGGTGATCCTTCTGAGATACATACATGCATCAAATTGTCACGCAGTACACCTTAAACCAATACAATGTTACATGTCAGTTAGATTTCCATGAAACTAGGAAGAAAGAATCCAAGCAGGAAGTAGGGACTGAGTGGACAGAAGCTCGGTCGGCCTGTCAACAATCTTGGGGTCAGGAGACAAAAACCAGAAGCTTGGGGGCCACGAGTTTTCCAACAGAAAACTCGAGGAGGAGGACCTGAAAAAATTGAGTAGCCTCCACGGAGCTCAAAACGCAGCTTTAAAATGACTCTGTCTCTGAGTAGACCGAGGGAGTCTGCCCCAACTGCCGGCCAGAGGCAGAGGTTCACCCTCCGGAGAAAGGCAACGTCAGCCAGAACCTCAGATTATCTCCGTAAGTGTTCCTACGCAGTGTCCGGCCCTCCATCCGAAAGGACCAGGCATGCGTCGTGTCCAGAGTGGAGTACTTCAAGAACTCCTGAAAACTGGTAAGAAAAAGGCAGGCAACCCAACGGGGGGAAAAAAGAGCAAAAGACCTCCCAAAGGAAATCAAATGGCCAGTATGTATAGTAAAAAAACTGTCATAATTAAAACTGTGGTACCGGCGTGTGAACAGACACACAAATCATACGTAAGAACTGAAAATAAAAGTAGATAAAGTGAATCAACAGGAAAAAGACAGATGGTTAGAGATAACCACCGTGTGAATTAACTGGGGAAAGGTCATGGTTAAGGTTTATGTCGAAATCAGTTCTGGCTGATGTAGATAGTTCAATGCAAAAGAGGGAAGGAGCAGTGGGAAGGCAGGGAGAGAAGGGGAAATCGAAACCCTAAACCACAAAGAAAAGTGAGGGAGAAAGCTCCGCCCACCCTCACACACACCCTGCCCTGGCTGAGCACGGCCCCAGGAGCCCCGGGCCAGGACGGAAGAGTCAGAGATTAATTACCGCGTCGATCTCATTGAGGACCTTCCACTGCTCGTAGGGCACGCCCAGGGCCTCGGCCGTCTGGATTGTCCTCTTCATCTGGCTGGTCCAGACCTTCAGGTCCTTGATGTTCTGGTCACTGATGAACTGGGCCAGACTCTTGGCAAACTGAAACACATCACAAGCGAATTCAGGCCCCAGAGACGCAACGGTCCCCGAGGTCATGGCCAGCCTCCGAGAACACAAGTTCAGTAAAAACATGAACTAGCCTCCCAGTGACACCCACAGCCTGTGCATTCCTCCCAGACCCTGGGCGTAGTGCCAGCCATCCGCAAGGTCCCCTGCCGCTGCCCCGACCCTTGACCCTGGGGTGCCCGAGGCTGTATGACCTCCCCCCGAGGCCTCCACATCACCCCCAGACTGGGGCACGGCCATCAGCTGCACTGCAGGGACTCGGGCCACCCCCAGGCTGTCACGCCTCTCCGAGGGGACAGCTCACACGCAAGCCAGAGACCCAGGCATCTGCTTCATGCTCGGTGACTTTCTCCACATGCCTGGAACGTTCTAGACTGAAGGGAGGCCATCCGTCTCGATGGTCACACGTCGGCCACGAGAGCTGGAGCCCAGCCCCGGCCCCTGCCGCGCGAGCACAGCCGCCCCGAGGGGCCGACGCGCAGACACGCACTGACCTCCCGGCCCCGGGGGGACAGCCCCGGGTCCCCGCCGATGCGGCCCTTGAGGTTGAGCTCGCTCTCCCCGTGCCGGCAGAGGTAGATGGAGCGGGGGGTGACGTGGATGTTCATGAGGTAGTACACGATGCGGCTCTGGATGTGGTCGGCCACCCGGTTCACCACGTAGCTCTGCCCCACGTCCATGATCTTGATGTAGGACAGATCCCTGTCCGGGGAGGAGGTCGGGAGAGGCCTGTGAGTGTGGCCGGGGCCCTGGGGGGCGCATCCCGCCGGCCGCAGGACCTGGCGGCAGGCCCTCGCCTCTCCGACCACCAGGCTGGACATCGCGACACGTGGGGCCGCCAGCCAGGGTGCGAGTGACGGGGCGAGGCTGGGGCAAGGCCGGGGCGACAGGACACGTGTGACACACAAACCCTGCGGGAGGTGCTCAGCACTCAGGCTCCCGAGAGGTGACACCCGAAGGTGGGGGGGGTCAGTCAGGCCGCACTGTGCCGTCCACCACTGCTCTGCGACCCCCAGGTCCCTCCTGCCTCTGGCTCTCAACGCACTGTCCGCAAGGGGAACACGGAAGAGACTGCTTTCTCCAGCAGAGATCCGCAAGTAGCTCACAGATGCTCTTCCCCTCCCCTCTTCCCGGTCAGCCATCCGAGGACCTGGCCTTTCCTTCCTCTGGCGACCTCGCCCCCTGCAGCTCAGCCCAGGTCATCCACGCGCAGAGTGGCTGCCACAGCCCCCAGCAGGCAGCAGGCAGCAGACAGGAGAAAGGGGGGAGAGGGGGCAAGAGGCACAGGAGGACTGTGCTGGTGGCGGCAGCCGAGAAACCCAGCTCAGCCCCTTTGCCTGCTTTGCAATTGTGCAACTTTGTAGCCTGGAGAGTGCGCTTCTCTGTTTACGGTTGTGGAGGGGGTGGGGCAGCAGGAGGAAAGGTGGGATTTCTCGGGGTGTTCTCTGGGTGTTCTCACTGGCCAGACCACAGGATGTCGGCCTAGGTGTAGGGGCGTTACCCAGATACCACCACCAAAAACAGCAGCGACTGCCCTGGCCGGGTGGCTCGGTTGGCTGGAGCATCGTCCCGTACACCAAAAGGTTAGGGGTTCAATTCCTGGTCAGGGCACGTGCCTGGGTTGTGGGTTTGGTCCCCAGTCAGGGAGCATATGGGAGGAAACCAATCAATGTTTCTCTCTCTCTAAAATCAATACACACATATATTGTTTAAACAGCAGTGACATTTGCTGACAGTCCAGCAGCAGCAGCTGCAGACCAGCTCCTCTCCTGCGGTCACAGCACAGAGCCACGAGCGGGAAGGCCACGCTGGGAGAGCAGGGGATGCACGGAAAACCGGGAACCCAGAGAGCAAGCGCTGCGTCGTTCCAATGGCGCGGGCAGGCCGGACAGCCCAGCTGGACTCGGGCCCTCCACCAGCTGCCCCTCCCCTCGGTCCGCAGGCCTCGCACACTCTCACGTAACCAGAAGAGGCCCGAGCACAGAGCCACAGTCCGGCCTTGTCACTCCCTGCGCGGCACAGGCGCGGGCCCACGTCTCTTTGGTCTGGTTTGCAAAGACCGTGCAACGCCTTACCGAGGGGCCGCCTGCTCTTTCCTAAAGCGCCGCCACCACCACGCATGCGGGCCAGGAGCCGGCAAACCGCGGCCAGCAAGTCAGACACAGCCCCCGGCCCGGTGACCACGGCCACGCCCATCCGTGCACACGCCGTCTCGTTCCCTCTGCTCTGCAGCCGCAGAGTCGGCGGCTGCGTGGCCCGCGGCCTCCAACCTGGCCTCCTGCCTCTCTGCGCAAACAGTTAGCTGCCCGCTGCTGTAAGCGCCCCACCTGAATGGCCACCACGGACCTGAGGGCCCCTCCCCACCCGCCACTCGCTCCTGCTGGATCCTCCTCTCCGGCGGGAGGGAGAGGCGCCGCCAGCTGTCCCCAGGCACGGTCCGGCCACCGCTCCCCCTTCTCAGAACGCAGGCTGTGCGTTTAAAAAGGAGCAAGTCCAGTCTGCAGATGCCTGCGGGAGGCCCCTCTGCATGGAAATCAGGCTTGATTTCACGATGGAGCAGGAGAGAACTCGGACACGCGGAGCTCCAGCAAGGCAGTGGGGACTCTGCCGGGCACCGCTGGTCCGCAACTTCTGCCCCAGGGCAGAAACAACAATGGCCAGACCATCTCTGGCCACGACCCACCGCCACGGGGAGCCGCGAGGAGGCAGCCGAGCGGGCCCCTGCTGCCCACCCGTCACGGGGCTTGGACACGGGGCTGGGACACGGGGCTGGGACACGGGGCTGTCCTCGCTCACCTGTCCAGGTCCTCGTCCAGAGACTCGTACGAGCTCTCGTAGCACTCGATGCGCCTCATGAAGTCCTCCGTGGCCTCGTCGCTGTCACGGTTGACGTAGTCGGGGCTGCCCAGCTTCACTTGCTGCCAGCGCCAGGCACAAAGTGGGGACCCGTCAGGGCTGGCGGCCACATGCGGCCAGAGACCAAGGAGGGTGCGAGGGTGGGGCTGGGGGTGCGGGCCCTGGGCTGAAGGCCAGGCCAAGGCCGGGGCGCAGGGCGGGAGGCCAACCACGGGCACATCAGGAGGAGCCCAGTGGCCTCCTGGTCCCCGCACTGGAGCTAAAAGAGCATTCCTGGGCATCCCAAGGTCAAGCCCCTCCTCTCTGTGGGACGGGGGAGGGGGAGGCCCCAGGACAAGGGGACTGGAAGACCCTCCCCACCTGAACGAACTCCCCAAACCTAGAGTTCGTTCCTTGAATAGAAAGAGGGTAGGGGAGAGGAGTCAAGTCTCCTTCTCAAAATGCGAATAGCACCCTCCACCCCGACCCAGGGGCTGCAGCGTCTCCCCACCGTCCAGGGGACCGCCGTGCGGGGGAGGGAAGAGGAGGGCGCAGAACGAAGGCCCACCTGCCACACAGCCCTGCGGGGGGAGGCAGGCTCACCTGACCCAGCATTCTCCTCTCTCCCACCCCGGCCGGCCCCGAGGTTCAGAAAGACCAAATTAGGGCTGGCCCAGGCACAAGCCCTAACCTGGAGGGGGACCCAAGTGCCACATGCCACCTCGGTTGCACTACTGCCCCGACCGGGTCAGAAGGGCCACTCACCACGATGTTGGCAGCTATGACCTCAGGGTCCACACAGATGGACTCCACGAAGAAGGTCTGCGGGGAGGACCGCGGCCGGCAGGAGGGAGGGGCCACGGGCACGGTCAGGGCTCCGGCCTGGCCCCGCAGAGCCCCCACCCCGCCGAGGGCCAAGCCGAGCAGCCGAGCGGCCGGGCCCCTGAGCCCCTGGGCTGGGAGCGGGGTCCGGAAACACAGAATCAAAGCAGGCGGCACCTGCTCCGGGACTCGGCCACCCAGACCCTGGCCTCCCAGGAAAGAAGGCCCTGGCTGGAGAAAAGCAGCCGCTTTCCCCCCAGATCCACTCGGGGGCTGGCCTGTCCCATGCCCGTGAAAGGGGCCCCCGAGGGCCCCAATGCGCCCGGCCAAGGACTCGAGCCAACAAGGTCTCACCTTGTAGCCGTTCTGCTCCCCGAAATTAAAGATGGTCGCCCTCCGTTCGCGGGTGGTATTCGTTGCATCAAAAACCTAGGACCAAACTGTGGTTAACTGGGCCTCCGGCCCCGGGGGAAGAGAGAGCCACCCAATAGGTGCAGGGCTGGCTCTCCCACTCGGACCCGCTGCTGGCCGGGCCCTGCCTGGCCAGTCTCCTCCAGACCTTCGGGGGCTGGGCTGGTCCCCCCCTTCCTTGGGGAGCACACCCCCAGGAAGCTGGGAGGAATGAGTGTGCTTTGCTCCCCAAGGGCAGCAAACCCTTGGCACGGAGGAATGCACTCAGCACTGCTGTGCATACAGCAGGCGCTCAGTTCATGTTTGACCAGCAGGATATCCTGTGAAACCAGTTAAACCTGGAGAACTGAACCCACATGTATCTCCGCTGCATCCCGAGACCCCGGGGGACTGGGAACAGAAGGATCAAGAGGACGGGCGAGGAGCGGGGAGGGGAGACGTCACGAGGTTCTCTGAGACAGACAGACACACGGTCGCCGACTCTGAACAACCGGGAAACCCGAGCAAGCCCCCATGGACCCGAGCACACCCGCTGGTGCAGAATCAAGACGCGCAAGGGCGGGGGCACCGGCGTCTCCGACGAAAGGGACAGGCGGCGGGGGAAAGGGACCGTGGCACGGTAACGGAGAGCCGGCAGAGCCCCGGGTCCGGCCGTCCCACCTCGTCCAGCTGGCTCGGCCGCCTGCGCTGCTCTGGAAGCCCCTGAGGCCAGCCTGGGCCCCCTCAGGGGCAGTCCGCACCCCTGCACACCCAGGCAGCTTTTGAGCAACCCCCTCTCGCAAAAGGGCACGCAACCAGGGCTCACTGGACACTCCAAACACACCTCTCACGTGAAAAACAAAATAAATCAAGCAATAAAAGGAACTTCGAGAAAATGAAGACAGAGCATGGGAAAAAAGAAAATGTCAAGGATGCTCTAATAACCACACAACAAGAGCAGAGTTCTGGCCCTGGCTGGGTAGCTCAGTTGGTTAGAGCACTGTCCCACTATGCCAAGGTTGCAGGTTCGATCCCTGGTCAGGGCACATACAAGAATCAGCCAATGAACGCATAAATAAGTGGAACAACAAATTGACGTTTCTCTGTCTCTCCCTTCCGCTGTCTCTCAAATCAGTAAAATAAAAAAATATATGAAAAAAAGTTGTAATAAATTAGAACATGGAACGAGAACTTTTAAATTTGCAAATTTAAAATGTCAGCACAGAAACTTTTTAAAAATTTCAACCAGCCCTGGGTGGTATAGCTCAGTGGATTAAGCCCGGGCTGAGAACCAAAGTGTCGCAGGTTCGATTCCCAGTCAGGGCACATGTCTGGGTTGCAGGCCATAACCCCCAGCAACCACACATTGATGTTTCTCTCTCTCTATCTCCCTCCCCCTCCCTCCTTTCCCTCTCCATAAATAAATAAATAAATAAAATCTTTATTAAAATTTTTTCAACCAATCCTTGTAAGACACTGTCTTTATGAGATAAAGTTAGGGACCAAGCCTAGTGCGCAGCCACCAGCAGTTCCAGAAAAAGCAGCTCTAAAAAAAAATCAGAGCCCAGTGGGGGGTCACTTATCTGAAAGTGGCAGATTCATCAAAGTAGTGGGACACAACAACTTCTCAGGCCTGCCGGGGAGAGTTGCCTAGTGAAAACGGCCACCGGACCCAGCGTGGTGGAGGAGAGAAGACTCACCGTGAGACACCTCAGCCCAGAGACCCCACACGCCTCCCCAGAGGGATGGCCACGAGAGGACCCCAGCTCCCCCCACGAAACCTTCAGGAATATCAGCACGTCAGAAGGACATCAGACTTTCCCACAGACACACTAGAAGCCGTGACACAAAGGAGGAATGTTGTGGAAATGCTAAGGGGAAAGGACTTCCCACCTAGACTCCATACCCAACAATCAAACTCTAAGGATAAAAGGAACATTCCTAGACACGCAAGGTGTGGTGAAATTTACCTCCAAAGTACCTTTCTCAGAAAGCTACCGGAGGATGTGCTCCAGCAAAACAAGTTAGTAAGCCATGGAAAAGGAAGACCGATCCAGGAGTGGGATGGTGGGATACCCCAGCCGGAGGAAGAAGGCAATTCCCAGTGTGGCAACTGTGCCACAGACCGAGAGGGCAGCGGATCCAGATGGAGCTGGGGGACAGAGGGCTCCGGGTGGCACACCTCCGAGGGAAAAAAGTAAGAAAAAACGTAGTTTCTGTGTTTGCACAGCGGGGGCGGGTAGGAGCCCTTCCTGCAGACACTTGGCTCAGCCTTGCTCGGCCCACCCCTTGCATGTGACCACAGGGGCCAACACACAGGACTCGACTGGCTCCTGAAACAACCTTTAAATGCTGGACGGGCGTCTCCCTAGGGCAGGGGAAATCACCTTTGCTCAAGACCAGGTAACAGGATCCCTCTAACCTATGAGGTGGCCGGCAGTGCCAGCACTGGAAGTCTTGTGGGGTCACGGACAGTCACAGGCCCAGACGGAAATGCCCGGCCCACAGCCAGCCTCGCGCCGCCTCCTGCACAGCAGCCGCGGACTTTCCCCAGGGTCGGGTCCCCGAGGGGCAGCCGGGCCACACACACCTGGCCTTCCCCTCCGGAGGCCCAGTGAGCAAAGGGGGGGATGCACGTGGGCTCCCGTAGGCCTCTCCCAGGTGTCACGAGGGCATCACACTCACCGCCACATGTCCCCCCTCCTCACTGAGGAACCGCCGGACGTCACGGAGGGCTGCCAGCGCACACTGCCTGCAGGGGAGAAAACACGGGGTCAGCCGGACCTGACCCGGGCTGCAGGAGGGCAGTGGGTGAGGGACACACCCTCCCCTGGCCAGGAGAGGGGCTGGGCTGCAGGTGCCTTGAGCTCCGTGAGAACCCTTGAACAGAGAGAGCTGGAGAGCGTCCAGGTTGGTGGGTACACGGAGGGGCCGGGAGGGCCATGCGCCCTGAGAGGGTGGGGACGCCCCCGTCCCCGTCTGGGTGTCTCTTCCGTCTGGCTGTGCCCAAGTTGTATCCTTCATAATAAACCAGTAAACATCACTAAAGCATTTCCTGAGCTCTGTGAGTGGTTCTAGCAAACCGCTGGACCAGGGAGGAGGCTGTGGAAACCCTGAGTTACAGAGGGTCAGTCAGAAGCACTCGGGGGGGGGGCCCCCCGGGGACTGGCGACTGGTGTTTACAGTAAGGGCAGTCAGTCGGCAGGGTCGAGCCTGTGACCTACGGGGGCTGACGCTGCTCCCGGCGGGCGGAGTCCGAACTGAACTGAGCGGGACGGCAGGACGCCAGTTGGTGTCTGAGAAAACACCCCGGTGCCCCCAAGCCCTCGTGTGCGGTGAGTGAAAAGGCACAGGCACGACCGCGTGCACACACGTGCGTGCATGGGGTTCGTGTGTGTGCACCCACGCACGAGTATAGGTTCTTGTGAGTGTGCCCAAATGTGCACTCAGGGTGTGCATGTGCGAACACCCATGCGAGTGCACATGGGGTGTGCCCACGTGTCTTCGTGTGGTGTGAGCACATGAGTGTGCTTAGTGTGTTGACGTGTGTCCATGTGTGTGCACAGGGTGGGCACCCGTATGTACATGCTACATGTGCCAAGAGATATGCAGGTGTCTGCGTGCAAGAGTGGGCACCCACCTTCACTTGTCGTGTGACCACGTGTGTGAAAAGGGTTAACACGGCGGCCTGAGAATCCCGACCTTCGAACGGCCTCCTGCAAGGCCGGCCTTGGGCTGAGGTCTGGGAACTTGAATGGTAAACAGCTCCCTGCACAGATTCTTTCTTTTTTTTTTTTTATCTCCTTAGTCCTGGCCTTGGTGTGCACGTGAGATTTGTAGGTGTAGGTGGTTCAGGCGGTTCAAGCACCATCTCATGCACCAGAAGGTTACGGGCTCGATCCCTGGTCAAGGCACGTGCCTGGGTCGTAGATTCCGTCCCCAGCCAGGTGTGTACAGGAGGCAACCAGTGCATGTTTCTTTTTTCTTTCTTTTTTTCTTTTAGATGTTTCTCTCTCACATCATTGTGTCTCTATTTCCCTTCCTCTCTCTCTAAAATCAGTAAAAACATGTCCTCGGGTGAAGATGGAAAAAAAGTTTCCTGGACAGTTTACACAAACGATACAGTTTATACGGAACACCTGCTTTCCTTCCGGGATTCTGCAACACTGGTGCGAGCCAGGCACGGAGTGTGCGCACGGCCCGCCCCGCCAGACCCTGGACGCGCGTCCGCAATGGGCCGGCCTGGCCGCAAACACCTCACCCGTGTCATCACAAGTTCACGCCGGAGGACCTAAGGGCACCCTGTCTGAGTCTGGGGCAGAGTCTCTGGGAAGCTGGTTTGCTCCAAACTTCAACCCATTGGCCTCTCCCCTTTGCTGACACTTTGTATCGTTTTGTGTAATAAACCTTAGCTGGGAGTGTGGCCACATGCTGAGATCCTAGCAAATCACAGAATCTGGGTGGTCTTGGGGAACCCCCCATGCCATGCTTGAGTGTGCCTGAGTGTGTATATGTCTACACAGATGAGCACAAGTGTGCCTCGGTGTACACATGAGGTTTGCAGGTGTGTGTACGTGTTCTTGCACACTATGCCATCTTGACTGCACATGCGTGAGTCTATGTGTAGGTGTCCATATGTGTATACACTCACAGGTATGTGTGTGTACACATGGCTCTGTGTGTGTGTGTGTGTGAACCCATGTGTACCCATGGGGTGTGTCAAATAACTTGTTATCTTGTATGAGACTTCTGGGCCTCGATTTCCCCATCTGTAAAAATGGGGGCGGGTGACAATGGGCATCACACACCCAGCACACAGCAGGAGTTCAAATAGCAGTCCCCTCCCTTTTGTCTGGGTCCATATCACCAGAGGGTCCGGCCTTGAGTTTGACCTGCAATTTGGCCGCAGAGGCCTGAACGTCAGACTCGCCTTCCCTTCTTGGTTCATTTGGAGGATGAGCCAAGCAGCCCGGCCCAAGCCATTGACCCAAGAGCAAAAAACAGGTCAGAGGGCCAAGGCCCACGGTGGGGAGCTCCTGCCACCTGGTGGCCAGAGAGAGAGCTGGCTGCCTAGTGTCCAGGCCCTGGCGACTTCTGGCCTGGGGGGCCCTGTTTGACTTGTTTGACTTGGGGCCGTTAGGAGACCTTGGCCAACCTCTGCTCCGTGCCCTACTGAGGGCGTGGGGCCCATCAAGGGCAAGGACGCTTCTTGACCCCTCAGCTGACACCAGACAGGAAGAGCGTAGTGCGCTCCTCAGATACAGGCTGGTGCTCAGTTTCTCTGGAGAGGGGACTCAGTTGAGGTGGGGTGGGGGAGGGGGGGTGGGGGTCATATGCAAGCAAATTTCCCCCTGGAGAGTAACAGCAGGATGCCAACCAGCCACCCAGCGCGGCTACAAAGCCAGGTCAAGGTCTGCCCCACACATGCCAGGCACGCGCTAGCCACCCCCCAAATGCACAGGAGGGAGCCTCTCCTGGGGCACGGGAGGAAAGGCACCGGCTCCGGCCCGATCCTTCTGCTCTGCGAGGCCCCAGGAGGTGGCCGCCCTCCCCCTCCGCCCGACCCCTGAGGACGGTACGGGCACCCCCTCGGCTCCACCCACGGAGGGCGGCCCTCCCCTGCCCTGGCCAAGGGCTCGTTAACACCAAGGAACCACACAGCCTGTCTCCTGGTCCCCGAACCCACCGCATCCCCAGCCCTGTCCCACCCGAGAGGTCAAGAGGCCCGCCCCGGCGCAGCCCGCGGGGGGCACAGCAAGGCCGGGGCTCAGGGGCAGCTCCGTTGTCCCCGGCGGCTGGCCTCCAGAGGCTCCACGGCCCTCTCTGTTCACACGCGCGTGCGTGGCCACTCACTTCCTGATCCTCAGGCCCTCTTCGTTGTCTGGAAGGAAGAACTCGAAGGAGGTGTACGTCCTGACCACGTTCCGGCGATACTGGCCAACGTTGAACTCTGGGGGAGAGGAAAGGCAAGGCTCAGCTTTCCCACGACAGCAACGGCCCCCGAGCCCGGGCCCCATCTCTCATCCCCCCCCCCCACGCCCCCACCCACACACCGCCCCAGCGCCCGCTCGGGGAGCCAAGGCCAAGTCTCACCCCGCGTGGGCACGCCGATCCAGTTCAGGTAGCGAGTCAGCTTTTTAGAGATGTAGGTTTTGCCCCTGGCTGGCAGGCCCACCATGACGATGAGCGTCGGGCAGTTGGTCATGCAGACTGAAAGGCAAGGGGCACAGGTCAGACAAGGGTCAGGACCCCTCCCGGGGGGGGGCCCTCCCTCCCTCGCGGCCCAGGGCTGGCATCAGACACGCTTTCCAAGCCTCTCCACATCACGCAGGTCCCTGAGCGCCCCAGGCCCGACCTCAAGCCACCACTGGCTTGCTCCGGTGGGGGTACAGAACGAGTCGCCCCAACATGTGCCTCTGTGATATACAGATGGCTTTGGGTGAAAGGCAGCTCCAGCCACAGGCTCGAGAGAATCTTCTGCCCAGGCCCCATCAACCGCAGAAAAGAATTTGCACTGCAGGCCTTGCCCGTAAGCTTTCACCCGAGATAGCTCCTTTGAGCTATCTGCGGGGCAGGGCACACGTCTGTTTGCCAAAGGTCAGTTCCCCTTATCTGCGGCTCAGGGCGTCTTCTCTCCCCCTCAGCCCCCCTTTCCTCTCTGACCCGCTCGCGTGCATGGGCTCTCGTACGTACGTATTTAAGTTGGTTATTTTCTCTTGCTAATCTGTCTCGTGTCTATTTGATTGTTAGGCCAGGCAGATGAACCTTGGGGTGGAGGAAAGTTTGCTCCTTCCCCGACACCCCCACTCCCCAGGGCTGCCGGGGGCCCAGCAGACACCGTGGGACCCCCCCCCCTGCTGTGCATCACCAGACACAAAGCCGGACCGGCCGCGCCCCTGGCTGCGCGCCACTGGGGAGTCCCACAGGGAGCAGAGCCAGAGCCAGAGCCTGGGGGCTTCCCACACGGTGGATTCCCATCCGGGAATCTCACGGGTGCGCTCTGCATTCCCGCCACGCAGTGCCGCTGCGCGCTCTCCCCGGGGTGAGCTTCCCTTCGCCGTGCAAAGCCCAACTCAGAAACCGCTCCTTCCGTAGGCCTTCCTCCTCGGCGCCCCGTGCCCACTGGCGGCGTCCTCTCTCCTCGGCCCAGCCAGCCGTCTCACTGAGGAGTCTGCGCCCCGAGACCCGTCCCTTGGAGCGAGAGCAGCCGTGGGGTGTCTGAGCCATTTGGGGTCCTCCAGTCTGGCACAGAGTCGGTGGTGCTCAGAATTTACGGGCAGGAGGGTGTGGGGAAGCATCTCGAAGCCCAGCAGGGTGACGGCTGCAAGGGGCTGAGACCAGAGCCCCAGGCCGACGTCCACAAGGGCACAGCCCACTCCCGCCACCCCGTGTGCCACCAGGACCGTGTGCCAATCAGAGGAGCTGCCGGGCTGGCTGCAGGGAAGGGTCTGGCCACAGCCCCCCAACTCCCTGGCCTGCCAGGACAGGCAGCAAAGCCGCAGCAGGTGACCCAGCTCAGCCATCCGTGTGATCTCCACTCAGAAGCCGCAGGAAGCTTCCCTCTCGTCAACCCCAGGAACTGGGCCAGGTGATGCCCCAGCAGACAGAGATGGACAGATGTAGGGACCCGTCAGGGCCCTTCTTTGACCCCTGTGGCTCTGCAAGTGCCCTTACCTGGTAGCCCTCCTCAGACAGACTGCCAGGCCCGACACCCCAACCCTCCGGCTGAAGCACAGTGGCCCCAGGGCCGGCGCTGCCTGGGGGTCAGGAGTCAGGGAGACTTGGGTTCTTACCTTGGCTCTGTCAGAACCTATAGGAGGGGCTGGTAGATAATCCCTCAGGGAGGTCCAGCCCTATCTCCGTGTGAAAGCACTTCCCGCCCTGAATGGTGTGGCTCAGTGGGGTGGACATCCTCCTGCCCACTGAAGGGTCACCTGTTCGATTCCCGGTCAGGGCACATGCCTGGGTTGCAGGCCAGGTCCCCAGTAGGGGGCGTTAAGAGGCAGCCGGCAGATGTTTCTCTCTCACATCAACGTTTTCTCCCTCTTTTTCTCCCTCCCTTCCCCTCTCTAAAAATAAATACATAAAATCTTAAAAACACATAAATAAACGTACCCTGGCAGAATGCCAGGCTAAGGACACAGGTGTACCTCAGCACCAACTGCCCGTGGGGACTTGGGGTGTGGAGGCACTTCTGTCCCCAGGGAGAGGTACAGGGCCCTACTCCCCAGTGGGAGTGCCATCGCTGCTGTGGGCAAAGGTGACACAAACAGTGAGCCCCAAGGGACGACCGGAGAGAATCCCCCGGAACAGGTGAGCAAGAGTGAGGGAACTTGCGAAAAAGCCTCAGCGTTAGCTAATGCAAGAGAAAAACAAGTTAGGCAAGGCCCTGTGTCCTCAAGGCCAGCTGCAAGGGGCCCTGGGCCATTTGCACAATTCCTAGCTGGCCGGCCGGGGCTCAGGCAACTGCAGGGCAGCGCAGGCCTACTAACCAGGGCGGTGCATCGCTACCAACCGTGGGGGAGGACCTGAACCCTTCCTGCCCCCTGTGACGATGCCACCTCTCCCCGCCTCAACCCCTGGAGGGTTGGTTCCTCCTCGATCTCAGGACTGGGCTCCTGCATCCCCTCTTCATCGGTCTTCCCAGAGACGCCTTGGCCTCCCCCCAGGGGGTCTGCTCGGCACCCTCCCACCCTGGGTGCACAGCCCTGGGGGGCGGGCAGGGCAGCAAATCCAGGCTGGGTACAAAACGAGAGCAATAAATTACCTATTACTTCTGTTCCTCAAGATAAGCTCCCAAGGAAATGACCCAAAAGAAAAGTCAAAGTACAAGTCCTTTCACAACAGTTCTGCGTCCAACTGCAAAACACTGGGAAGGCACCAGCCATGCAGAAGGTGCACACCAAGGCCCCCGTGGGGGTGTGGGGTGGGAAACCCGCTGCATTGGGACACAGAGCTCGCTGACCAGGCGAGCCGGGGCGTGCAGCTCGGGGCGCTGGAGCACCCTCACAACAAGCAGCGCAGGGCCCTGGAGCACCCTGACAACGAGCAGTGGGACAGCGGGACACAATGTGTAGGACATTGGGTATATGCGGAAGGAAATCTGAAAACATGTCACCCAGCTGCCCTCTCTAGTTCCCCTTCCTGCACATTCGTCCGAGGCCACGGGGACCCTAGCACACAAGAGGCCTGAGACAAGCCTCGTGCTGGACAGTGAGCGATTTCTGGGGAGGCCACCCCAGGGACAGCCACAAGTCCCTGAAGAGGGTTCCAGGACTTATTCCTGAACTGCGCCTGCTCCGCTCCCCTGGGCCAGGCGCAGGAAGGAGGAGGAGCTCCTGGAAATAAAGCAACATGGCACCACTGTCCTGTTCAGAGGGGACAGCAAGTCAACTCTCCTACTGTCCTGCACACACCCCAGTCATGTCTGCACCCTGAAGAGTCTTGCCACCTACTGGCTAGGAAAAGCCACCAGACACTGTCCTTTCTGCTGCGCTTCCTGAGTCCCCTCTTCGCCCTTGCCTCACCTGCCCCCCGAAGCACCTCCAGGTGCTGAGGGGTCAGTGATGAGGGAGGTAACAGCTTCCGGACCTCAGGTGTAGCTCTGATTTTATCAAAAGGAGGAAGAGCTGCTAATGAGAAGTGGGGGTGGAGGAAGCACAGGATGTCCCACAGCCACCCATCAGCCTCGGGTGCCCAGAGGACAACCCACCACACAGCACAGACCAGCCGTGAGCCCCGCACCCTCTTCTCTGCAAACACCAGCGATCGAGTGGACTCCTACGCACCACGCACCCTCAGGTCCACACCTGTCCTCCTACCTGGTCATAGGCCCGCTTTGCAGAGCATAAAGGCTGCAGGAATGCAGCCTCTGGGGAATGGACCTGCTGCACGTACAGGTTCCATCCGCGGGTTCACTCACTGCTGAGTCACACCCTGCTGTGAATTCTGGGACCCTAACCTGGGAACCTCCCCACACTCTGCAGGTCTCATCTTTGGCCTCTTGGGTGCCACTTCCTTCTCCAGGAAGCACCTGGGGTGCTGGGCCAGCCCACACAATCCCACCCACCCCGTGCAACACATTGTGATGGGCATGAGCCCCTCTGCCCAAGCCAGAGCCACATTTTAATCAAGACAGGCCCCGCCCAAGGGGCTGTGAGACCTCGGCAAGTCCCCTCCCCATTAGGCTGCAGCTCCCTTCCCACCTGTAGTGGGGGTTCGCTCAGAGCTGATGCTGCAGCCCCAGGCCTCGAGGGGACAAGAGGTGAAGAAAGAGTGGTGAAATTACAAAATGGCCAGCACCCCCTCCTGAGCACCTACTCATTAGGAGGCTCACAGCAGCTTCACGGAGCAGGATGGTGACAGTCTCATTCCACAGGCGAGGAGCCCAAGGCCTAGAGGCTCAGCTCCCTGCCCAAGGTCACACACTGGAGCCAGGAGGCGGCTTGAGTGCGCCTGCCTCCAAAGTCCAGGCTCTTACTCCTTCCTCTATGTGACAACGGCAGCTACCACCCAGTTCAGACAATGCGGCCCCAACGCAGACTGGCTGGGAGCACAGAAGGGGGCCTCAGCCTCCTCCACGCCTCCAGAAAAGTCTGGAAGGAAGGCATGGCCATAGCCCCCGAGGACTCCGAGCACTGCATGGAAAGCCATGGGCCCGGGACTAAAAGCATGAGCACAGGCTCCGTCTCCCACCAGGACCTGTATCACGGTCAAAGCCATGGCCACCGCCTGCCAGAACCCACAGTGTGGAAGGAGATACACACACTTCTTCCCGAGGACGGACATCGTGGTCACAGCCAAGGCCCCAGGCTGGCCTCCATGCTGGACAAACGAAGAACACTTTCCCCTCCCTTATCAGCCCCAAGCAGAGGTCGGGAGTGTAGGGAGACCCTCACGCATACCCAGTCTCCTGGGCTCCATTCCATTCATGCACCAGGAGCTGGACTAGATGTTCTCCGAGGTCCTTGCCAACTTGCAAATTCATCACAATGTTTCATTATTCCTAAAACAAACCTTTGTTTTTCTTCATAATAAGAAGGTTGCAGACTCATTTAAGGACATGTAGAAAGTCAAGGTAGTGGATTAAATGCCCAGGACTCCAGGAAAGGCGAGCCCCTTAACAATGTGTGAATTTCAGCATGGCTCCTAGATGTTTCACCACAAATGTTACCATTTACCCATGACCCCACTGGAATGCTTCCACACCCCTGGACACAAAGACAGGCCGGCATGTCGCAGTGCCCTCACTATCTCTGTCCTAGTCAAAGCTGCACTTTCCTGACATTCCTCCCAAAACTCGATTTTAGGCGAAGAGGTAGGTGATGAAGGCCAAGAGGTAAGCCTTCCTCCCACTGCAGGGCTAGCCTACACGTGAGCCTTTGAAAGTTCTGGGCTCAGAGAGGCCAAGCAATTTCTCTAAGGCCAACACAGCTCAGACCCAGCCCAATTACCAGGCCCACGCTCTCTGGTCAGCAGAGAGGACGGGGCAAGGGCTCCAGGCCCTCCCCTGGCCTGAGGCAGTGGAGACACTGTGAAGTGCTAGGTGCTGGGGCCTCTCGCAGAGGTGAAGACCGCAAGACCCAGCCCCCAAGGAGACAAGATTTCCCCACATCCCCGTTTCCGTCTCCTGCTCTGTCACACCTGTCTCGGGCCCACCACCTGTTTCTGCTCCCCTCCCACCCGTCTAGGCAGCCTCACCCGTCCCCAGATCCGCACCGGTTCCCGGGCCCCGGCCCCCTCTCCATGCGAGACCACTGCCCAGGCCACCCTATCCACCCATCCCCGTGGACGGCCCTCCCCGCTCCCCGGGGACCCCGCCTCACCACCGCGCTGGCAGGCGTGCAGGGCGGGCCGCCCGTTGCTGTACGGCATCCAGATCTTTTTCAGGGGATTTTGAGTCAATTCCCTCGGGGATGCCATCCCGGAGGCGGGAGGAGTCGGAGTGCGCGGCTCCCGAGCCCTAGAAGCCCGGCCAACTGGTGCCGCTAGAGACCCCGCCCCTCGGCCCCGCCTCTCCTCCAGCCGCGTGATGCAAGGCCAGCACGCCGCAGGCCCCGCCCCAGGCCGAGCAGGCTCCACCCCAACGAAAGGGGGCCGGGCCTCCGCCGCGCGTGCCCAACTCGCCGACCAGCCGGCCCCCCGCCGGCCCGCCCTTCTTGCGGGGAAATACAGGCCGCGCATGCCCAAATCCCTACGGGCCCAAATCCTAGGTGGTGTAGGCCCCTCCTCCGGTGAACCAGTCCAGCACACCCGACGCGACCGCGCTGACTTGCATGGGTCTCTCCTAAGGCCTCGTCCCCAAGGCACCCGAAATTCTGCTCTTTTACCACGCGGGACCTCAGGGACCCCAGGAGGGACGACTTTACCCGCAGTAGGGCACAGTCTACTTGACACGCGGGGCTTGACTGGTCAGGACCATCCTAGAGGCTTCCGCGCGACAGTAGTCACCGGCCTGATGCCCCAACTGTCCACTTCGCTCTGCCCCGACCCTCTGGTCTGCTCCAAGTCCCGGGGCTCTCCCCCAGCCTATAGGAACGATCCGCTCAGCCATGCTGAAAACGCTCCTTCATGTCATGGACAGGGACCCAGGAAATATTTCAAACCTGATCGTGTCTCTCCCTTTGCCTTAGCTGCTGGGGAGCTCAGGCTAAACCCCAGGCGCCCTGGAGCCAGTGAGTGGGACGCGGGCGGGTGTGGGACGTAAGGAAGCTGTGTGGGGAGTCCGCTGAAAATGGAAGGTGCAGGTCATCCATCTTACAAGATCCTGGTACAGAGTGTGTGTGCCAGTGTCTGAAAAATCCACTCTGAAGCACTCTGAAAAAACCACTCGTTCATGTTATCACTTATTATATTATGTGTCTACTGTCTCTTAAAACGCAGCGGAGACGAGGCGGAGGTCAGGAAGTTCAGAAACCCTGGGGCCACTCTGCTGTCTTCTCCGCTCAGCCTTGCTGAGCTTTGGACATTTTCTGCCCTGGGGCCCCTACGGGCACGGCTGAACTGGCCACACTGCCCTCCAGGGAGGCTCTCTGCCACTCCCCTTGCCAGGAGCACTGTGCCCTACCTGGACTTCCCTCTGACCAAACTGTGGCCCGTCAGGAGCCAGATGCTAGGGGCGCGAGCAAGGAAGGGTCACCCCGGTACACCGCAGGTGCTGCAACCCCTCCCCCTACCCTTTTCGCCACACCCCTGCCTTGGGTTAGTTCTCCAAATCACCACCCAGCCGTTCACAGCCTGGCAAGGATCCTTGGGGTGACTCCGATACGGATGGCCTGCCCACTTCCCGGGAAATGAAAGGTCCGGAGGTCCACGGGCTGGAAGTCCACCTAGACCCAACCTGAAACCAGCTCTGGCTGCCTCCCCTGGGGATGCCCGACCTCAGACACCTTCGGCCACTTCCTCCTTGCTCTGCAGGGTCCACCCCCTCCTCCCTCCACTCCATGCCCAGCACCTCTGAGCACACCCATGGGTGGCCTCTGATGAGCAGGAAGCCCTTCGTGACCACCCTTCTGCTTCCTCCTCCTCCAAAGCCACTCATTCTGTTCCTGGCACAGCCAGCCCTTCTGTCTCCTGGCCACTGCCAAGGTCATCCTGGGGCCACTCTGGCCTCAGAGACCTTGTCACCGTATGCCCACACCCTGTCCATCCCCCCACCCCCCCACTGCAAAGGCCGCCTCCTCTCACACCCACAAACACCCAGCACCTCCTCAGGCCCGCCCGTGCTCCTCCCCACCTCCCTGAAGATGTTACTCAAAGGCTGGGGGCAGGAGGCGGCCGGGGCAGGGCACTTCTCCCCAGGGCCGCCGTGTCTGGGGAGCCACGTCCACACCCAGAGAGGCTGAGTCTGGCTTCCTAGGAAGCAGCTCTCACCTCCCACTCTTCCCCAAACAGCCCGAGCCGACCCAGACATACCCTCCCGAGGCCCGGATTCCAGTAGGAGGCCACAGGTCAGCCAGCAGCAGGAGCCCGGGGCCCCTCCCCAAGGCCAGGGTCCACATCTGCTCTGAGGATACTCCCCCTGTGCCCTCCCATGGCCCCGTTTCTCAGGGGGAAGCTGAGAAAGGGGCTCAGCGCTGCAGAGCCAGCCCCCTGCCCCACCCCCAGCAGGATGGCCCCGGCCGACTTGCAGCTGAAGCTCACGGCCCACACCTCGCATGGCCCACACCTCGCACTGCCGCAGGTCCGCCTCCTGGCCTGCGCTCCCGTGCGCTCCCTCCATCCAAATGCTCTCCTGCTCTCTCACCCTCTGCGTCAGTAGGTGCCCTCGGGGCTTTTGTCCCCCTCGGGGCCACCCCAAAGTGAGCCAGCTGTCTGTGGGAAGTGTGCCAGGGTGTCAGTGTGCACTCGTGTGTGAACACGTCCTGCTCAGCCTCCCCACCGTGAATGCGCCTCGCCTGGCCCTGGTTGCCTCCCGTGGTGCCCTCTGCACCGACCAATGGACCTGCTCCCGCGTCCCAGGCCGCAAGCTGTGGGGTGGCTGGAGTCCTCAACCCTCAATTCTGTGCTCAAACTCTGCTGTCCTGGACCTACGGGCCAGCCCTGGCCAGCCACCAAGCCGCCCTTTGCAGTGTGAGGGCCCAGGGACCTCAGCGAACACCACACAGACCCACATGCGATGCACAGAAGCAAGCATGTGCACACGCTGACCAGCCCTGCACCCGGGGCCTGCTGCTCCCCACTGCCTTCCTTCCCCTTTATTCCCTTCCTCCTGTCCCCTCTGCTGCCACTGGGTGGTGGTTCAGGGGGTTCCCGGGAGTTCCAGCTCCCTCTGGCCATTTCTGGCCGAGGATCATCCCCTGTGTCTCCCTGCGCCCAGAGCTCACAGTGGGTGTGAGGTTCCCATTTGGAGGCATGGAGCCACGTGACCAAGTGGCCCGGGAACACTTATCTGCACTTGCTGCTTCCAGCCTGGCACGGGGCGCACACTGGTGCTCAAAGTGACTCAGGACCAGCCAGGGAACACAGAAAGGGCTCCGAGAGGCTCCTGACCCCCTAGGGCACAGGGCACACGATAGGTGCTTAGTGCAGCTCAGCATGGGCACAGGGCCCACAGTAGGTGCCCTAGAAATGCTGCTTTAAGTGCTAAAGTGAAATCATATGAAAAACTTCCCAGATGAGCCTCTGAGCCTCCCCAGACTGGTGTGACCCCTGACAGGGAACCTGGAGGCCAGCGAAGGGCCCCAAGGGAGGGCCCCGAGCGCTCCAGCTGGCCGTCCCTCCCCTTGGGCTGGAGGAAGAAGCTATTTATAGTTCCCCCTGGCCCGGCTCCCTCGCTCCTGCGAGACTACAGCGTGCCCCCTCTTCCAGACCACTGACAGGCTGATGCCCCTCAGAGCGCCCCTCTACCTGCAGAGACCCCCCCCAACAACCTTGCACCCCATCCAGCACCACCCCCACTGCCCCCAGGTCATTTCCCAATTCCCCACCCTCTCCACACCACCCTGAGCCTACCCTGCCTGCTGCTCCTTGACCCGGGGTCCGTCAGGAGGCTGCCTCCTCCTGTGCCTCTGTCCATCCTGCAACCCAACTGGCCGGGGCTACCGCCCCCTGCAGCTGCTGGAGCCCCGCAACCCCGCCCTCTGGCTCTGGAGAGAGGAGCATGACCCGTGGCCCCGCCTCCCCAGCCCCGCCTTGGGCCCGCCCCCCACCGCTGCTTTCAGCTGAGATCCACCTCAGTGCCCCCACTCCAGGCAGCCGCCCTCCGGCCGGGACTGCCTCTTTCCTGGCAGAGCTGCCCATACCGCCCAGCTCTGCCCTCATCTCCAGCTGGGTTGTCTGCACCGCCCGGAGCGCCTGCCCCATCATCCTCAGGCAAGCCTGCCCACACCATCCAGAAGGTGAGTCCCTCTCAGGCCCAGCCACGAAGCCCCGAGCGTGAGATAAGGCAAACCCCACTCTTCCACCCCAGGGGATCCGGTGTGGGGAGCAGGGAGCGGGCAGAGGGGCAGCATAGCCAGCAGTGCCGCCGCCTCCGTGTGTCACTGCCTGGGTGCACATGGCTGTGTGACTCTCAGCCATTCGGTCTCCAACACTGCATTTATTGAGCTCCGCCTGCATGCCACAACCTTGACGTGCACTCGTCACTCGGTGCCTAAAAGAAGCTAGGTGGTGTCACCTGTTGTACAGGTGAGGAAACAGGCTCGGAAAGGTGAGTGCACTTGTTCGGGACAGTTTGCTCAGGGAGGGGCAGAGCTGGGCGCGAGCCCGGAAGCCTGAGCCTGCGCTCCCTGGGCCCCACGCGTCCAAGGGCCCAGGCTGGGCGTGCCGGGCTGCAGGTGGGACCGTGCCTGGCTGTGCGCTCTGCACGCTGCACTCGGGTTTGGGGTACGAGCACCTGTTCCTCCCAGCCCTGTCACATGCCCTCACCTGTCACACACAGTTGTCAGACATGGGAGACACGGCTGCACATACACCCACTCCCCCCACCCCAGAGGCAAGGCTGCCAAAGCCACAGACTTCCCACTATGGCCACCTGTGCCTGGACATGCCCCCAACAGCCTGTCTGCCCCGGGGTGGGTGCTGCCTCGGGGAGCACAAACATGCGTGTGACCATCAGCCGCCACTTCCGTGTGGTGGCCTGTGGGGGCAGGGCTGACCACTGGGTCTGGTCTCGGGTGGGCTGGTCTCAAAGAGTCAGTGGTGGGCTCCTGTGTGGAGGTTCCTGAGAGCGGGCGAGGGTGAGAGTGGCCATGCGGGGTGGGTCCAGACGCCTTGTGACCGCGGGGCCCCCCCACACAGCAAGGCTGCATGGGCAGCAGCCTTCCGTGGTGGTGACCAGACGCGCCGTAAGTCTGCAGGGCTCCCAGGTGCGGCACGGCTCCGCTCGGCAGCCACCCGACACGGCCGTCCAGACTCTCTGCGGCTCCATGGGGCGCTCAGGTGTGACACGGCAGTGACCCCATATGGCGGCGTCCAGATGCACCGTGCCCAGAGTAGCACGTCCAGCTCCGCCACTGCCCTCCAAGTGGCCCCTGCCCCCAGGCTCAGCGGCGGCCAACATGGGCCAGGATGCGGGCATTGGCGGCTGCCTGCTCCCTCGAAGCTCTGGCCCGGGCCTGCTCCAGCAGGATCTGCTGCAGGCCAAGGGGGACGTCCAGCGAGAGGGTGATGCGGGGACCAGGGTGGGGGCCCGGGCTGGGGAGGCTCCTAGCGGTGGAGGGGTCCGTGGTGCCAGCCGAGGGGCTCTTTGAGGCCACAGGACAGGGAGTGGCCCGAGGAAAGTTCTGAGCGGGGGGCTGGAAGGCTGGGAGCGGGGTTGCCGGGGCAAGCGGGACCCTGCCCAGCGTGAGGACCATCAGCACCAGAAGAGCCCGCTCGGCCATCGCGTGGTCAGGCTGCGAGGAGAAAACAGGCTCAGGGCAGAGGCTGCGGTCCGCTGTGGCTCAGGGACAGGGACAGGGGCGGAGGGTAAGCGGAGAGATAGAGGGGAGACCGGCCACGAGACAGGGGCTGAGAGGTGAAGTCGGCCCCGCCAGGCCAGGGACAGAGGGAGGGACGGAGGGACAAGGAGAGAACCGGAGTGACACAGACAAGGGGCCAGAGAGGCCGGAGGGTGAGGACGAGGGAGACAGAGCTAGGTGCAAAGAGAGGGGGAAATCCAGAGATGGAGAGAGAGAGAGTGTGTGTGTGTGTGTGTGTGGAGAGAGATTATATTTGTATTTATACTTGTATTCACATCCACACAGAGGGAGAGGAGGCGAGAAAGAGATGGAGGGGGTGGGGGGAGGCAGAGCCCCCGGAGGGAAGAGAGAGAGAACCCAGGCTGGGGATCAACGCCGTGGTGGGAACAAGGATGCGGACACAGAGACACGCAGAGGGACAAAGGCGAGCCGCAGGTCAAGGCAAGAGTCCAGCACAAAGGGGTGGCGGTGGGGGTCCTTGAGCAGGAGAAGCAGCCAGGGCCCCCAGAGCGCCCCCAGGTCCAGAGACCTCCACTCACCCGAGTCCCAGACCCACCCGCCCCCGAGGCCCTGCCCCTCCCGCCCAGACCCCAGTCCTACCAGAAGCAGCAGCAGCCTCCTCCGGGGTAAGTCAGGGCCACCGTGGCTGCCCAGGGCTGGGGCCAGGCGGCTGCGCTGCGACCTCACCCTCTGCCCCCGGGAGAGCCCCTTTTATCTCTCTCGGCCGCCTGGGGGGCCGGGGCACGTCTCCTGGCAGGAGGCAGGCCCCCACCCATGACTCATCCCCTCCTGGGGGGCAGTGAGGACATACCCTCAGCCCCCTCCCTGTGTTCTCCTTTCTGGGGGCACGTCAGGGGCGGAGGGTCATAGGACAGCAGGACCCTACACCCGTGCAGGATAGCACTGACCCCCCAGGGACACCTGCCCCCCGACACCCCACCTCCCCAAGCAGCCACAACAAGGGTCTTTCAAAACAGCAGCTTTAATGCCCCCCAGAATCAGCACCATGTCATCACAGGCTTGGGTCAAGGGGCGGGTCAGACGTAGTCACATCCGCTGACTGCCCACACCCACCCCCACGCTGAGTCATCTGCCAGGGAGGCAGGAGCCACAATGGGGGTTTGTCCACAGGGGGGAAGGCGAGACCCACGGGAACAAGTCACTGAAATGACGGACGGCTCATGCGCGCTCACGGGCACACGAGCCTCTAGCACCAAGGAAAGGAACGGAACGTCCCGCTGAGACACCATCTCCGGGGATCACTGCACTTCAGCCCGTCCCCGGGGCTCAGCTCTGCAGGGCACCTGGCGGGGCGGGTTGGGAGCCGGGTCAGCCGCCTGACCCCACCCAGCACGTGGGCCGCAGGGCAGCGCTGGGCGAAGGAGAGCGGGGGAGGGGGTCCCCATCGGCTCTTTCAAGGACAGGGAACAGAGGGGACCGTACTGGAGACTCCACAGGTGGGCTCTCTCTTTAGCTCTTTGGCCTTGGGCTGTGTCCCAGGTCCCCCAGTCGGAGGGGTTTCTGGCCCGGGACCCCGGCCCGGGAGCTGATCTGGGCAGGCTCAGCACCCCGGCCGCCGGCCACCAGGGCAGAGGGCAGGCCCATACACACCTCCGCCCTGGCTCTGGGCGCGCTTGGGCGGGCAGCGGCGCTCGCAGGCCTCACGGGTCCCGAAGCGGTTGGCGTTCCCTCCGCAGCCGCCGTAGACGAAGGGGTGGCAGCCCCCCGGGCCTCCGGCCCCGGCCCGGTGGTACCAGCGCAGGGTGTAGGCAGTGCAGGAGCCCTCGTCCAGGGGGAGCGAGCAGGGGTCTGGAGCCCACGGGGGTGGGAGGTCGGCGGAGAGGGCGGCAGTCAGAGAGGGCCTGGGGTTGCCGGGGGTCCACAGGGGCCACCCGCTCTGCCTTCCCCTCCCCGAGCCCCCCCCCCCGAGCCCAGCCAGCCCACACCCTCACCGTCGCCGTGCCAAGGGGCCTCAGGGTCCTGGGGGTCCTCCACAGAGTACTCAGAGTACTCATACTCGTCGTCCTCGGGGGGCACTTGGTCTGCCGCAGGGCACGGGGCGGGCGGGGCTGTGAGGGCCGTGCCGCTGGGCCGGTGTCCCGGGGCCCAGCTCCAGCCCATGGTCTCCCGCGCGTGTGCACACACGTGCCCTGCGTGCAGGAGCACACCACCCACCCCACGGGGCCAGCTGTCCTCACCTTCCTCCTCGGCGTGAGACACCCGCAGCACAGGTACAGGGCGGCGCTGGTGGGAGGCGGTGTCTGCCGCGTAACCGGGGAGGGGGTCTGGAGCAAGGAGCAGGGGACAGGGCCCTGGGGTCAGCACGGTGGCCACCCCAGCCCTGCCCCTGCTGAGAGGGCCAGGGGGTGGGCGTGGTTTCCGGGGACAGAAAACACCAGAAAAAGACTCACGTGATCCAGATGCGATGAACTGGCCCTGGCAGGCTGCAGGGGGCCGCGGGGCAGGGACAAGGACAGAGGGAGCCAGAGACAAAGGCAGAGAGAGGCAGGCGAGAAGGACACACGGGGGCGGGGACACACGGGGAGGGACGGGGAGACCAGCGGAGGGGGCGGAGGATGGGGCGCAGGGGCAGAGAAGGGGAGCGAGAAGGGAGGAACGCAGAGCAGAACCAGAAGGGGCGGGAGAGAAGTTGGGGGGACAGGTCAGCGGAGGGCGAGAGAGAGGGGGACGGGGACAGAGACGGGCACGTGAGATGACGCGGAAGCAGGTGCAGGCGGAGGGCGGGCGGGGACAGAGCGTCACTGTTTGTTTGGTGCCCCACCTCAGGCCGAGAGGGACAGCCCCACCTCTGTTCCCCCCCCCCGCCCCCGCACTCCACGCATGGCCGAGCCGGGCACGCAGACTCCCTGCGTGTGCACCCGCTTCCGCCTGCCTCTCCGCTGGGGGAGCCCCGTCCTGAACACGCGGGTCCTCCTGTGTGTCCGCCCTGGCCACCGTCTCCTTGACTCCTCGCCGCCCGCAAGTTCTGGGGACCCCGCCCGACCCCGTCTAGGGACTCTGGGGCGGCACGCAGCCCCGCTCACCGCAGTGCTGACTCATCTCCTGGCGCACGAAGCCCCGAATGTCGTCCTCCTGGGAGCGCCAGACCACAGGGGTCACGGAGAACCCCCGGGCCCCGGGGAGGACAAAGGGCACATGAGGCAGGGACGATGGAGGGACAGCGTCAGGTCAGGGGGCAGGGGGCAGGGGGCAGGGGGCAGGGGGCAGGCCCTCCCTCCGGGCGCACACTCACCGTCAGTGCAGCTTCTCCCTTCTCCCCGCGGGGGCCCGCGGGTCCTGGCCGCCCCTGTGTGCAACGGTGGGACCAGGCCGTGACCTCTGATCTCAGGAACACCAGAGGTCACCCCAATCTCCGACCGCAAGCTCAGGCATCCCCACTCACCTGTTCCCCTCTCTCTCCAGGGGTCCCAGGGGCGCCAGGGGCACCCACCAAGCTCTCTCCAGGGGGGCCTCGCTCACCCTGTCAGGCGCAATGACCAGGGTCAGGGGCACAGGGGTCAGACACAGGGCAAGTTAGGGAATGTGGGTGTGGAAGTCGGGGCAGGGACACTGGGAGATGGGGAACGGGATCAGAGGTCAGCGAGGCTGGGAGAGTCAGGGAGGTCCAGGGGTCGAGAGTCAGAGTCAGGGCCCCCCCCTCACCTTCTGGCCCTGAAGTCCTTCGGATCCTTTGGGACCAACACTGCCAGGTGGCCCGGGGGGGCCAATGGCACCATCATTGCCCCTGGGACCCGGGACGCCCCCGATTCCTGGGGGCCCCTGGGGAGAAACAGGTCAGGGCCGGTGAACGGAGCCCCCAGAGATGGAGCCACTTCCAGAGAGCACAATGCCCTCAGTTCACCGTGACCTTGGCCTCGACTTACCCGCTCTCCTTTCTCGCCCTGGTCACCCTTGTGTCCTGACTGCCCATCGAAGCCTCGGTCGCCCTGGGAGCAGAAAGGACTATGGCAGACCCTCTGCCCTGGCCTCCCTCGGCCCTGGCAGCCCGGGACGCTCCAACCTCGGTGACACCCAGGACCCCAACCCCACTGCAGCGCCCCCCGACTGCACCTGTTTTCCTACACTGACCCGCTACCCGCCACCCCCACCTGCCACAGACCCCCCCATCCCTCCACCCTAAAGCCCACCCCGAAACCTCAAGGCCAGCCCCCCGTCCCCGCCACTGTGTCCCAGCCTCCACAATTTCCTCCACCTGAAACTCCCGTGACCCTATCACGGCCCTCCTTGCCCACCCCGACTCCCCCGCTGTCCACCACCGGGGGGCCCGTACCTTGGGACCGATCAGGCCCTCCTTGCCCGGGGCCCCTGCCTGGCCCGGCATGCCCGGCTCCCCCTGGAGAAGAGAAGGCGTGAGCGGGGCCCGGCCTGCCCCCAGCCCCCAGGCCCCAGTTCCGGGCGTGCCCGCACTCACCGTGTCTCCCTTGCGTCCCGCTAGCCCAGGGCGGCCCGGGGGCCCAGCTTCTCCCTGCGGGCATCAGGGGAGGGGTCAGCCCGAGGCCTCGGGCCCTGCAGCCCCCCACAGACCCCCACATCCCCCCACCTCTGCACCTTATCTCCCTTCTCTCCATCCAGGCCACAGGCTCCCTTGACGCCCCGTTCGCCCTGAGGAGAAAAGCAGTGGGAAGTGACCTCTGGATACTCCGCCCTGTGACCCCTGGGCCCCGAGCCACTCTCCAAACTGGCCTCAGACGCTCCAGCCCCTCCCCTTCCAACCTCGGACCCAACATCCCCACCTTCAACTCGGGGGACCCCAGCTTCTGACCCTGGACCCTGACCTCTGACCCCAGACACCTCACGCTCCAACATCAGGCCTCCTGACCAGGGGAAAGAAACCCAGGCCCCTTCCCACCTTGAGGCCCCGAAGGCCCACAAGGCCCATCTCTCCTTTGTCTCCGCGGATGCCAGGGACTCCGTCCTTTCCCGGGGGTCCCTGCGGGGGGAGAGGGGTCAACATGGAGTCACGGAGCTGGGGAGGGGTCACAGGGAATCGGTCTGGATGTAGTGGGTGGGGCAGGGTTTTCCATGGGGACAGGGTCACCATTGTCAGGGGTCACCTCGGGGTGGAAGGGTCACTGGGGTCACTGTGAAGGTGGGGGACACTGGGCCACCGGACAACACCACGAGAACATGGGGTCACCACAGGGGGAACGGGGCCTGTGGGACCGGGGCATCTCACCGGGTCCCCGGGAATCCCTGCGTCACCAGGCTCCCCCTGCGGGAAACGGGGGGAAGGGAGGCGGCTCTTTAGTGTGACCGTCTCCTGTGACTGACCGCTGCCGGCCTGTCCGCTCCACGCGCAGCCGCCCGCCAGCTCTGGGTCAGGCCCAGGCCCCGAGTGAACACACACACACACACACACACACACACACACACACACACGGCCGACTCTCAGCAGAGCCCTGCGTGTGACGTGCGGCTGCGGCTCCGTGCCCGGGGCAGCGGCACTTACCTTAGGTCCTGGGAGTCCGCGGGCGCCCAGCAATCCGGCCGAACCCTTGTCCCCAGGCTCTCCCTTGCTGCCCTGCAGGAGGCACCAGGAGAGGGAGCGCCCGGCCACACTAAAGGTGTGGAACCTGCCCGCCAGGCCACGGCCACCCAGTGCCATGGCCACCCACTGCCCCTGCGGCCCCGGCCCTTCCCGCCTGTGCCGTGGCAGGGTGGGCTGGGGGTCTGGGCCCACGGACTGTGTGACGTGGGCCACA